TATTTTGTAATTTGAAAAGCATTGAAAAGAATTGAAAATCAGGTCACTGAGGAAAAGCCAGAGAGATTTTAAGAAAATAAACCAATTAAGTTCACAGTAAATAAAATACATGTACATTATACAGTCAAACCATCCATTGGCAACAACCTTAGATTAACCAATGTCTCTTAATACATGAGTATAATTTGGAGGAGATTTGCCACCATGAGATAGTTTTCTGAAGAACAAGTTGTTATAAAAGAGTTGTTTGCTTAATGTGGCTAACTTAAAAAGTGAAAGCATATGTATTTCTGAACTACAAAATTTGCCAAAAAATTTGCAGTGTAAGTTAGCATTCATGTTTTTTTACCTCTAAGTGTAAAGAAAAATTTTCAGAAAATAAAGTCCCTGTCCTGTAATTCCCTGCAATCAAAATTTGCCTCTTTCCCCTCAGTTGACTGAATAATAAACCTTGAGATCTTGGATGAACCTCTACAGCTCAAGGCAAGCATTGTGGTTGGCAGGTTTTTAAATTTTATTTTCTGACCAAAACTTTGTTTCTGGGCATCCATTAATTGATTTTTGGTCACTGAATGACGACTTTGAAAATGAAAGTGAGCCATGATTAAGCAAAAACTGAATCACAAGCATGACACCCACAACTTTTAAAATTTGTTTCCTCACCATCAGGTGGCAGTCATGATTACTGTATGTCCAAATGGCAGTTGGTAAGTAAGAGAGTTGCAATTCAACTTATACTGTGTTGGTGGTATTTTTTCTTTTTGGCCTAATATTTCCTGAAAAGTCTCTTTTTTGTGATGGCTTAAGGAAAAACTTCTTAAATGAGAAAAAATTACCGGTAAGTGTGGTATCATTTTCAACTTTCAGTAAGGTTTGCCACATGGAAAGTTTGACTATACATCAAGTAACCTGGACATGCAATTCACCAAAGAACCATGCATAGATTGTATTAAGTGTATGGACCACTAAGATGAACTGTAAAAAGCAACAAAATATGATAGGAAAAAACTAACAAAAATTTGCCACTTCTAACCAAGTTTACTGTTGCATTTTTGTACTTTCTATTGTAGTATCTTTTCCCTAACTTTGGACTAAAAGAGATCACAATGAAGAGGAGGCAAATGAGAGGAAAGAAAAGGGCAGAGGAATGGATGCACTTAACAAAGGCATCTTCCTTAGTTCTGTCATCCTTTTGGTTTGCTGCGTGATTTCTTAACCTCACCACCACTGATATTTTTCTCTTTTCCAAACCAATTTATGAAAACTATCCCAAAGGGAAACAATGCTAATTCTATTTCCACAGTAAATTGGCCATTTGGGTGATTATTTGAGATCCTCCATAGGGAGACCAACTCTGCAAGTAGAGCCAAGGACTGAAGGAAGGGGTCTGGGAAGGAGAAAGAGACTGTTCCAAGATTGATAGAGATGGTGGCTTACAGTGAATGGTCCTATGTTCCAAGGAAAACAAAGAAGACTACATACATCTCATACACAGTGAGAATCAAGCATGGTATTTATATAGATTGCATGTCTCAGGTAAATTTAGCACTGAACTTGGCTTAAACAAGATTTTTGTTTACCTGGTTCACCCAAAGGCTGGATTGCAATTAAGTAAAACAACGACTCTTTGAAGATGACGGCTACATCCTGATTGCTGAGGCTGGTCTACTTCATGTTCCAGTTGGCATCTTCCTGTTAAAGTAAAAGTCAATTAGTATTACACTTCACAAAGTGCATTTAATTAAAAAAGTAATTATAAGACTATTCAAAATGTTTGTCAAATAGAATCATAAAATCAATAAAGGAAAGCTACTAATGAGACATAATTTATTGAATTGATAAAACAATTTTCAATCCAGAGTCAAAAGTAATTGGTTGCTTGGTTTTTACTTTACTTCCCTCTGTGATTGGTCCAGAAAACTCGCACCACTCTCTCAACCAATCAGATGCAAAACAAAAATCAATCACAACTTGGTCTCCTGCGTTTTCCTGCACTTCAGGTAGTTTGGTTGTTTTTACTTTTAGTTCTCATTGGTTCCTAAAGGTATTTTCTTTCTTTTGATTGGTCATTGTGATTACTTTCAAATTGTTATTGGTTTTACAACACTCAATCACTAAAGTGCTCCAATGTTTCATGACAACTTCAGCATAGTCAAAATATTAAATCATGCAAACTCCATTTCACTAAAGGCTTTCAAATGTGCATTCAAATGAGAAATGTATCAACTGTTTTGGAAGCATCACAAAGCATAGGCTGCAAAACCAGCCAAACACCAATATGGTTCAACTTACTAGTTCCCACAAGAAATTAACAGAACTGTTTTTAAAACTCTTTGAAGAAAAAATGTTTTTGTTCTACACATTAAATGCAATTAGAAAGTTTTCCTTAAAAAAGGGTTATCCATTTACAGGAGTTGAAGACCAAACTATAACAGGCTGCAAAGCCAGGCAAATACCAATACAGTTCAATTTTTTGGTTTTGGGTTTTTTTAATGGTAATTTTTCATGACATGCAAACTGGTGTAACAATGTTGAAGTATCATTCAGTGACAGTCTAATATGTCCATTCAATTAATCAGTGATGTAGTGTGTCAGTCAGTCATTTGATTTAACAGTCAAACCTTCCAGCCAAACAGAATGTCACATAGGCACACAATTATACAGTAACTCAGTCAGTCAATCTGTCAAATTGTCTTCCATTCAATAACACAATCTTACAAGTCAAATTGTCGGTCAATCAGTCAGTTTGTCAACCATTCTGTCAGAGTCTGTTGGTCAGAAAGTCAGCCAGTGTGTCAGTGAGTGGGTTAGTAACTTATTTAGACAATCAGACAATCAGTTATTTAGTCAGTCAGTCAGACAGTCAGTTAATCAGTTACTCTTAAGTCGATTAATCAGAAAGTCAATTGGTCAGTCAGTCAGAAAATCAGTTAGTTAGTCAGTCAGTTATTCAGTCAAACAGTTGTTCCATCAAACAGTAGGGTTAGTTCTTCAGCCAGTCAATAAGTTAGCAAATAAGTGGGAAAGCCAGTCTGTCGGTCAGTCAGTCAATCAATCAGTCCACCCTCCAACTAATAAGTAAGTCAGTCAGTAAGTCAGTCCATCAGACAATCACTCTGTCAGCCACTCCGATCATCTGTGAGTTAGTAAATAAGTGAAGAAGTCAGTGCATCAGACAGTCAGTCATTCTGTAAGCCACTCTGTCCATTAGTGAGTCAGTATATAAGTGAGAAAGACCATCGGTCAGTCAGTCAGAAAGTCTGACAGTGACCAAGTTAGTCAGACAGTCAGTCAAACAGTCTGTAAGTCACTAAGTTATATACTTAGTGGGTCATTCAGTCATCCTATCAATCAGTCAGTCAGTCCATCAATCAGTCTGTCTGTCAGTGAGTCAGTGAGAAAGTCTGTCAGTGAGTTAGTCAGACAGTCAGTCAAACAGCCTGTGAGTTACAGACTCATAAAGTTAGTGAGCTATTCAGTCAGGCAATCATCCAGTTGGTCAAAGTTTTTTATGTTTGTTACAGTTTATTTATAAAATAAAATTACAACGTTTAAAATCTAACTTAAGTAAGTTACTCAGTTACTCTAAGTCTGTCAGTTGGACAGTCAGTCTGTCCCACTGTCATCTCAAGGCTTAAAGGTAAACTTGCTGTTAAAAAGGATGATCTATTATCAAAAACTGTTTGTTTCACCACAAAAGAAGAGGTTATACGAATTCAATATTGGGCTGAGAGGGCAGCGTAAAAATTCTCGTACTAGCGTCTTTCCCCTATTTCAAAATGACGGATAATTTTTCCAAGTATTGACGACTGGCTATTTTAGGGCCGTAGCCCCAAAGGCAACCTCTTACTTCAGCCATTGCTTTTTTTCATCTTAGAACTGTATGCATAATGAAGTATGGGCTCTGTGTAAATCTTATCGTCGACTGCCGAAATTGAGAGCAAAAATCATAAATACCTAGGCTGTCATAAATACAGCCTTAAATTGAACGTAAATGTCATAAAAGCGAGAAAATCTTACCTTGTTAGGTGCAAACAAATCTTTCTAATCAAGGTCATCGCTGTTACGTTGACATCTTGAATTCAGTCTGCAAACCAGGTGAGTAAAGTTAACTTATGTTTACCCTGAGGTAATTCAACGTTTTGGGCCCTAAAAATATAGAACATACTTTCGCAAAACGCCGAACTGAGTCGATTCAGCTATCTTCTCTAAGCACATTGTGCACATTGTGCACATTGTCCACATCATGGCCGCCATACTGGTTGTTACCCGCAAAGACTGATGGGATGTGTCAGATTACTTCCGCCTTCTTAGCCTCACTCAAGTGCCGGAATTTTAAAGATAACTGAGTATAAACTTTTGATTGCGGAGCATATTAACCACTCTACTTCTGACGTTCAGTTAGTCAAGTGCAACTCGACGGTAAGCGGTGGATTGAAACGTGAGATTGGTCTGAATCAGGTCGCGAAATATTGAAGCCAACGCAGTACAAGAAAGATACCAGTCTTAACTCGCATGGCTGCGTTGCGTATACGTTTCTCAGAAGACGTTGTTTGTGAGCCGACTTAAGCTTGGGGTCCTCTGGGTGGGGGGTAAGGGTTAGCCTAATCTTGTATCCAGATCTTACCGTTTAACTATAATCGCGTAGCCGTGGGATGTCTGGGTACGAGACTGGGGCTACCATTGTCAAGGAGAGTGGGTCGGGACTTTACCTCTTGGGGGTGGACCTCATCTTTTGTTTGCTATCCAGCGTGATTTACTTCTATCTCCAGACGCTTTGAGACGACTAAAGCACCAGCTGTTATCACGGAGAAATCAACTATTTGATCGAATGATCAGTATTGCATATTCCAGGGGAAACGAGAAGTGCCTGCAAACAACCATAATGGCCGATCGCGGGATTTAAAATATCGCAATAATGTTATGGAAAGGTTTTCACCACAAGAAGAATAAAAAATTCATTCACATTTCATTTATTTTTTAAAGTTCTTTTAAATCATGTACAGTGGAACGAACAGACAACTCATGTTACACCTAAAATGCAAAGTAACCCTAACGAAATAACTTGCATAAATAATACTATAGCAAAAAAAATTCGACATTCTACATAAAATACGCATAACCAATTTCATATTCTGAGCAATTAGTTCCTTTCTACGAAATCACTAATTTTTCAATGTTGTAACTTAATGCTACATTGGAGACACTATGATTTCCCATGATGTAATCCCCTCTAAGTGCTTTTCTACTGCGCAGGCTCAAGCGCATGCGCCAATACACACCGTTAAAATGGTAGAGCCCGCATATAGATCTCAGGTTGGGCAAAGAAGGAATTACACTTCGGTTGATGAAGTATACATACGATTTCACAAAAATACTATTACATCTTGTTTTTTCATTAAAACTAATATTCATTTTTGTTTCGTAATTTGTGTTTTTTCGTTAGGATTGGAGGATCAGGCCTGGAGAAAAAAATTACATCCCATCTTAAATAAGCCATTAAAAAAGGTTTTGCACCTAACTACTTTGAAAGCTCCAAGTCTTTCCTAAACTAATGCAAAAAAGAAATCTGAAGTTGAAAACAAACAATAAAACATTCACGAGTTAGCAAATGTCAGTTCTACACCAAAAAAACATTAACTAAATATTTATCATTATCATTACTTGCAAATCTTACCTAAGTGAAATCTGACTTGGAATAACCTAGGGACATCTCTATGATATTCGACTTTACCTAAACCTTCCAGTTTTTCTAGGCAAGCTGCCGTTTCATAGTCACGCAATCTAACCCGTTCCGTGACCACTTATAGTCACGTCAGATAATGACGACAACGTGCGTGGCAAACCCACCATTGAGTTACGTTACAGAAGTTGCGTTACTTAAAACAACGATAGGGAAGAAAAAGACTAATTGATAAAAACTAAGTTTAATTATCTTTGACCAACTTTTCCATATCATACAGCACATCCAACAAGCAGCCGACAGACCACGCCTGTGCTGGACAGCCATCATAACACGGAGCCCCCCCTGCATTAGTAAGTTCTGGTAGGCTACGCCAGGGGGAGCTCGTTATCTCTACCTTGTGTCTTGCCAGGATGCTCTTTACACGCACAACTGCCAGTTCCAGTCCCTTTGGACCATGAAGTTTTTTAGCGAAGTACAGCCGAGCTCTCAAGAAAGGGCCAGTACACCATAGCCACTCCTACAAAATAACGATACAAAGATTATATTTCCCTCTCAGATGTGGGTAATATCATGTTTTCAAAACGATAAACCAAATTGTTTAAGTCTTGCTTGGTTCTTATATTTGAGTGCCGCAATTCTGTGGCGCTTCTTCTTTCAGGTGCCTCTCTTCGGGGGAAATGAACTTCTCTTAGAGTTGCTAATCTACGATTCTAAGCTTCTCATTTCGATACGGTATTTTTTCACTCAACACGTCACTTATTTGGGAGCCCGATAAAAGAAGCAAAAAAATTAACAGGACTGGTTCTCTCAAGCCAAAAAGAAATTTCCTAACTTTTTTTCATGACCTAGTCTCTTCGTCCTTTTCTTTTTCCCACTACTAAGGTGTCGAAATTATAGTAACTTTCCCTTTAACACCCTCCTTAAGTGGGGGGAGGAGAGGGGAGTAGCAACCAGCTACAAAAACACGATGTCACAGAGTTAATCCCGTCTTTCAAATATCAAATTATTGACTGACTCACCGGGCCTTGGTGATAAGCGAATCCCTTAGCACTCTTGTATGAGGTGGAGTCTTGCGAGTTGTCATAAACTCCTTCATACGCCCAGTCACTGAAACAGAAAGAAATAGTATCAAATTAAAAAAAAAAAACAGTAACAAGGATAACCTTATAGGCAATCAACTGCAGTGAATTATACGCGGGGCACCTGCAGATGGGTACAACAAAGCCTACCATCTCCCCTTCCTTACCAGTGGCGGATCCAGACCTTGAGCTAAAGGGAGGGGGGAGGGCGCTTTTGTATCGGTTGCCCTGCTGGCTTTTCTTCCTTCTGCATTTCTTTTTTTTTTACCCAAAATAAGCGGGGGAGATCCGCCACTGCTTACGCTCCCCCCCCCTTCACACTCTGTCCTTTCTACTCCTCTACTCTTTTTCTCTTTTTGTGTTTTACTGAGTGCGAAAGTTTTAATTACGTTTTTTTACATTTTTTCCACAGATGTGCGATTACGTTACCTGGGATCCAATGTAGCCATGCCCAGAGGACCTAAGAGAATATCCTCCACCATGTCTAGACATTTCCACGCATGCTCAGGGTTAAACATCTCTGGAGCCTAAAATATCAGCGAAACACGTAGCAAATTGGGCCAAGATCCAAGGGTTAACTCTATGTAACAATACCTTCACTTGTTTGCTAGTTCGAAGAATTTCCTCTTAATCATGAAAATATCATAACGCTTTAGCAAAAAATTTTTTTAAATTCTCATCGAGTTACCCTCTTTGCAACGATGGACTAAAATTGCAAGGATAAATTAAGCCCTGAACAAATCTCAAAGTCAGAGGTTGAGGTGTAGTGATACCGACAAGAATGTAACAGTTTATGGAGGTTTCGACCAATCCCACGTTCCCCTTTACCAGTTCGCCCCCATCACAACCAGTCTGCCCCTTCAAATATAACAAGATTTTTAAGGCGAACTGGTAAAGGAAGGAGCGCAATTGTTGTATTGCATGAGGAGAACTAGTAAGAATAGGGGCGATCTTGCTACCTACAAACACCGAACTGAACTTACCACAACCATAGCCACACACAAGTTAGGTCTGAACTGGTAATCTGTAAATCTGTGAGTAGCTCCGACAGTGTCTTTGTAAATTCCTCTTCTGTGGACCAATTTGTCTTCATCACCTTGCTGCTTTTTATCTTTAGGATCCTCAGGTATCCAGAAATGTTCTTCAAATGCATTCTGAATCTTCAAGCTCCACTCCTTGTAAGATAACTCTACGGGAAAACCTTAAAAGATGTAAAATTACGCCTGTAAATGAAGCGCCTGTAAATGATGGAATTCCTATTCTGCTAATAAATTTCCTAATGAACTTGCAACAATCAATATCAAAGAAAAGTTCAGTTTCACTCCCAAGAATGAACAGCACCTAATTTCTCCTTGTAACAAGTGAATACTTCTCAACAATATGACATCCAAGGTTGATGACAAAGATACCCTTTTAATTTCTTAAAATTTAGACAAATAGATGTACCAGGGAACTTTGCATTTAAATCGGCACTGTGATGAAGATTAAACATACCATCTTGAAGTTTTGACACGCCCGCATATGGAAACTTCTTTTGATCACACAGCTCAGCTAACCAGCGCACAGTTGATTTGCAAAGACCCACTATCTCAACTGCGCTGCCGTCCCTAAAACACAGAGTATTCAACTTAACTTGAATGAACTGTGCGATGTTCAACTCTCGAGAATTGACTTTACTGGAGACTACGACACGAAACAACGAGAAGCTTTCAAAGCGGGCTCACGAAATCAATTCACCCTTTAACTCCCGGAAGTGATTCAAATGTAACTTCTCCCGATAATATCTATACTTTATCCAGCAAACAGAAAATGAGAATGATCAAACTTATCAGCAAGACATTATCTTGATCTGACTGTCTGCTGTACAGTTCTTAAATGGTAGAGTATTTGAATTAAGGTTGATATCTCTGTTTCCTGTTCCCATAAACAATGAGCATGCTATTTACCTGGGAGTGGCTGGCACTCCAAAGTTTCCCGCCATATGAGATTCACCAACTTTGTCCATCCATGTCCCAGCATTCCACTGGCTCCCACCATAAACAAACCCAGTGCTCTCGCGGACACCAACAGAGACATTGAACCCTGCATCATGCATGTGGTTGTCTAGCTCGGGCCCAGCTCCCCGCTCACGGAAACTGATACCGTTGAAATGGCGTTGCATAACTTCTTGTATTACGTCATATAGAGGCTGATCCTGGAAAAAAAAGGGACGGCAACGTCTACTTCCGTTATGACGGACGTGCAGTGTGACATCAACAAGATTGCAAGCGAGAATGCGCACGTACGCGAATTGTAAGGATCATTAAATTGGAGTGAGAAGATTTTTGGCTGCGTGCACTGTTTTTCAGGCGAATAAATAGTGTTTATCTAAATTATTTCGAGGGTTTTTTAGGGAAGTTTAAAATATTTTAACTTACGGTTTTGCCTGGCGGCTGCGGATCAGAACAATCCGAAGGGAAGATCCTGGAGACTGGTTCCGACAGGATCTTTAGCCCATCCGGAACAATGGAGCAATAATCCTGAATACACTGGAGCCACCACCATGGGGCGTCCCTACAGTTATACCGGGGTTTGCGTCCACCGTCCAACAGGTTAGGAATGAGGCCATGGCGGATACATCCAGCAAAGGCCAAGATATGATGTCTGCAATAGTCCAAGAAATTAGAGAACATTGAGAAGGCAAAGGGCTTTGAAAACAAGTATTTCATTTTCAGTTCGATCGAGCGTCGTAAAACCAGGACCAAAGTAATCTCAACAGCCAATCACAAAAAAAGAAACTATCTCAAGGAGCCAATGAGAATTCAAAGTAAAAACAAGCAACTGCCCGAAGCGCGGGAAAATTCGGGCGACCAAGTCGCGATTGGTTGTAGTTTAAAATCTGATTGGCTGAGAAATTGGCGCGAGTTTTCTGGACCGTTCGCATAAAGAGGTATGGCAAAATCAAGGCAATTCCAGAGTAATTTTCGACATTAAATTTAAAACTGCTCAATAATATTTTATAAGCAAGCAGATACATGTGCTTCTTAACTTATATACCTGGCATCCTGGTACCTGCCCGTTACAAGTAATAAACCTCTAAGTGCAATAAACGTATCTCGCCCCCAACAGCGCATGAAGCCAGAGGAAAAATGAGGCAAACCAGCCGCTAATGACATCAGAGTTGGCATGTCAGCCCCAGATGATGGACCATGGTACAATTGGGGCGACAGAGCTGGAAGCGAGGCTGTCCGAGACAGGCCAACGAACTGGAGCGAGCCAAGTGAAAGGGCTTTGAGGAACGATGAGCCATTTTGAACAAAACTGAAAAAATGAAAATTTTAAATTACACGAATGGTAACGTGTTCTCCTCTAAGAGATGATACCACAAGATGAATTTCAAAGCATCTACGAACCCACCGGAAAAACTTCACAGAAAAAGAAACAAAAACAAACCTTGACATCTGGCTCCAAGCTCGATCCAGCAGTTTAAGATAAAGAGGGGTGATAATGGCGTCAAAGTAGCATGGAACCAGATATCTTGGACATTCCTTGATCAGACTGAAAACCTTGTCAAGCCATACACCCAACTACAGGTATAAACACAACGGAAATCATAAAGTAATTATACAAGAACAAAAACAAAGTCTTTAGAAGCTTTACGCCAAGTGCCAACTAGAGAAAAAAAGCTCTTACAATCTTTGTACCTGTTACCTATATTCAGTCGTGTTGACTGCAATTCAGAGCTCTTGCCTTAAACCCTCATATCCTTACATCAGTACGTATATTATCCATACTGTTCTCTATACATTTCCTAAGGTGCTGAAAAGAAGAATTTAGTAAACTATCCAGAGCTTCTTTAGTTGTGGATCATCTCCTTAATTCTCATTACCTTGATGTGTAATTTCGAGATGATATTGTAAGGAGAAATTAGATGCTATTCACTGACCTGTCTTGTACCAACAAAAGGAAGAAGTCTTCCCACAACATAATCCAACAACCAGTTTCCATCCCGCAGATTTCTACACAGAGGGTGAGCGAGATCATCAAACGGCCGGACATCGGCCAGCACTGATATCACACCTGTAGGACGTTAAACAAACAACAGAAAAAAAGGGGTAAGTTTCAAAAGAAATTGTGGTGCTGCGTTGGTGAGGAGCATTAAAAGATAATTTGCTTTTATAAACTGAGTTGATTACGTAAACTGCCCGCCATAAAGAATTTCGAAGGGCTGACGTTTCGAACGTTAGCCCTTCGTCAGGGTGAATAGGAGAATCGTGTCTTGTGTATGATTTGTTTACAGAAAGATGGAGCTACGCTATTGTTGGGTACATGGTAACATGAAAAACGCAACAACAAATAAATCAAACGAAAAGGGTTTTTTGATCCCGAAATGCCGATTTGAAAGAAAAAGTTTTACTCCAGAGTTTTACGGCTTTTCAAACTACCTAGATGTAACTGCTTAAGCAACGAAGGGTAGTACAAAACAGTACAAAAATAAAACAGATGAAAACTATGCACAAACGTCGAAGGACCCGAAAAGTGGAAGGACTCGCTTTATCTCTGATACAACACTTTCCTGAAGCAAACTATGCCATTCAAATCTTCTCACCGCACCCCTCTTGACCCACTAACTCCCAGAAGTGATTAATATGTAACTTCTCTCCATAACATCCATACATTATCCAGCAAACAAGTTATGAGAATATTCAAACTTATCAGGTAGAAGTTGTTATCTTGATCTACCACCAATAACCCAATATATAACCCAATAACGTTCCTTTAATGGAGAAAACGTCTGCACTGACCTTGTAAACCACAATAAACAAGAGGTCCTGTATCAGGCAGAACATACACTCCCCCACCATTACCATCATCTCGTTCTTCGGGATCTGCTCGGTACAACACTCGGTTGAGATCGGACAGCGACAGATTGGCGAGTATGTCGTCTAACTCATCAATCATTTTGTAACTCTCCTGGCTCCCAGACTGTTTCTGATACAAATCCACTCCAAGCTGTCTAAAGGAACAGAAGAAAAGAAAGAAGAACACAGAATATATCAAACGATTACTAAAACGGCTCAAAAGACATGACGCAGCAAATAACTATATAGCCTCTGTCTGGCACCTTACCTCAACTGACCGAGAGCATTCTTGACGTTGGTTTCCATGGTGACATCAAATGCAATGACACTTCCCGGAGCGAAATGATCAAAATATACTTCAAAACTGTTATTTCCTTTCTGTTCAGCACGACAAGTCTAAAGTATGATTAAAAAGAGAGGTTGAATGTTCCAAGCACGACAAGTCGATGACTTTTGGATGCAGCAGTATTCGTTACTTTAATTAGACCTTTTTGTGAAGCATTGGCCTTTGTTTAGATGAGACCCTTATTAAGTTCTTTTCAGTTTTTGCGCGTATTTGGGTCAGTTTTAAAGCCCTGCTTCCTTTATTTCGCTCCGCGATTGGTTCAGAAAACTCGCTACACTCAATCAACCAATCAGGTGCAAAACTATCACCAATCGCACCTTGGTCGGTAATTGTGAAGAACAGCTCCCCTCCACCGACAGACGGCTAACTGTCGGCCAACAGTCGGCTGACTGTCGGTAATCTGTCGGTTATCTTTCGGCCGAAAGATTCCCGCGTTTTCCTTCGCTTTAGGCAGTTTGCTTGATCTCACTTTGAGTTCTCATTGGTTCTTCTGGGCTGCATTTTCCGTTCTTCTGACTTACCGTTGTAATTACTTTGATTATATGACACACAATCGGAAAGCCCTCTGACACGCCTTCAAGTGGCAAATTTCACATGCATATGAAAATTTCACCTAAAAAACTGTGCGTGAATTTAACCACTTCAGGAGCCTAAATACACGGCAGATATGCGTCTAGTGTGCGTCTAGTTTGAGGGAAGTCAGAGTGACTACTCTCAGTTTTACCTTGGCCTCATGGAGTGGTTTATGCCTCTGGAGTAGCACTTCATGTGACTGAAGTCCATTGATAAATTCAGCATCTTTAATAAATTCACTTGCATCTTGCCTCTTCAGCAACATGGCTTCAAAAATGATTTCGTTGATCTCACCTACCGAGCGAAAAACATAGTCATCCCGAAACAAATAAAGAACTTCTGTAAAAAAGACAAAATAACTACGGAAACAGTTTGCTTGCCCTGTATGAGGGCCGTGGACGTAGGTCCGGCTCTTCCACTCAGTCAATAAGTACACAATCGCCGCTTAATATAAACATCGACTATGTGGCATTTAAAAAAAGACTAGCCATAGCATATCCCTAGTCATTCCTGGGTTCTGATTGGTTCTGACAGGGTATGATAACTCACCTCACATAGCATGGACACGGGTTGACACAAAGAAATACCCCATTGAAGCATTTTTGTTGCGATGTTGGATGCGCATTTTAGGATTTTCTCTGAGCTGTTCTCAATAAAAGCAACATTCCATACCTACAGCTAGCTTGGCTTACAACTATCATCCCATATATAACGCTTGATATAATAATTAGTATCGTAGTTATTTATCCATATGACCGACCTGGGATGTTTAGTGATGGAATACCACTCATGTGAATCTCCTGCCTGTCCTTAGTGGGTTGAAGATGATCAGAGGGGTGGTGAAAGGCAGAATGTGCTACTAACACGACAGTCTTTCTCTTGTCTGGGCAGTGCCTAGTAATGGCGTGAACATCATGGTGAATCTGGTCCACATACACCTAGAAAATAATATCAAAACTCACTCAATGGAAAAAAAGAATAATTACTTCTAACGTTTTGATACAACAGAGGCTAAAATTAACCTTTCGACGGTCCCAAGAGAGACCGCGAAGCAATTTTTTTACTGGAAAATAATAAAGAAAGAAACAACAAGAGGATGTCGTTTCTGTTGAAACTGGTACATGGAAATATTTAACAAATAGATCCCATGTTGCCTTGCGTCTGTTGGGTTCTAGATCATAGATGACGTTAAAATGTGGTAAGAACAAAAGATTTGCAAAGGAAACTTTGTACCTGTGTATATCCTTCTTCACCGAGCCATCTGTGCAGTTCATTGATGGCTTTTTTGGCTGAGAGAATACCATCAGTCTCTTTCACAAATGCCGCTTTTTCAAGTTTAGATTTGTCATTTGGCCAAGACAAGTACAGGCGATCTTCTTTTACGACATGGATCTAAAACACAATTTAAACACACAGGAATTAACTAACAAATCTTTGATTATGAATTTTAAGATATCTTCAGGATGATTGAATATCTCTTAATGACATGTAAGGAACAAGTATTTGCATACTATATCTCATCACAAGCACCCGTTTTCTTCCTCCTCCTGAGTTCTTACGCGACTAAATCTTTCTCCCTTCAATCAAATTGTTTTTATCTTCTCTTTGAACATTACCCACCCATCCCTCAAGTGTTTAACTGCTATATTTTCTTTGTTCCTTTTACTTTCTGTATCTCCCCTTTTAAACCCACCAAAAAAATGCATCTACCATCAGAGCGAGTTTAACTTACATGATGCGGCACCAGTTCGTCGTATCCTCTGGAACTACCCGTGGCACAACAAGCCATTGATACTAAAGCTGAACTGGCAATTGAGTCATAAACTGATCGCACCTGAGAAAAAACAATAGCTATATCATTTCACAAATAATACAATTTTCTTTCAATGCTTTTTAAGGAAAATAAGTAAAAGAAAAGTTCACAGATATAATGTTTTACCATAAGTGATAAAACACCCTTGGATACTCATACAAAAGCTTACAGAGTACTCTACTTTCTTCACCATCGACTCCACTAGATATTAATTTTGGTCTAACTGTAGCTGAATTAGAATGCACTCATCAGGATACATTTATTTGATTGAACACCTAACCTTGAATAAGCACTCACCCTGTAGGTGGGTGCCTAAATTCACTGTCTATCAATACATCTCATATTTTATGACAATTATTTTGAATAAGTGCCCACCTTCGAATAAGCACTCTCTCAGGTCCAAACGTCAAATAAGCCCTCAGGGTGCTTACCAGTAATCAAATAAAGTCGTTACTTTAGGCGTAGCTGAGAGAAACTCTAACTTCTTGAGTACTCTCCATGTGCTTCATATCTAATCAAATTCACAGCTGGCGCTTGAAAGGGTTGTTTTGTTCCACGAAGCGGAGTGGTTTCCTACGCTTATCTCGTGTTCTCCCAACCTCCCGCGTGTTTACATTAGGCTATGTAAACACGGAAACCATTTTACATTTCTTCAATGAAGCACTTTCTCACCACAGAATTTGTTTAAATAAATTGACCAGCAAGTTTTTACTATCATATTACTCCTACAGGGAGATATACTTAATAAATTCTCTTCATGTACCTGAAATGGAGAAGGATTATCATGTGTAACATCCATAAACAGAGCATGCGCGATGACAGGCACAAGAGGCTTCACAGCTGATGGGTGCATGAAAGCACCAACAGTTTCACCCCCATAGAGGTGAATCAGCCTGCCTTCTTCATGTGGGTCAGGAGCATTTAGAGCTTCTGTTTGGGAGATAAACGAACCAAAACGTTCAAGATTAAACAACGAGAATTCAGAATGAGAACAGATATTTTGTAGTGGAGAAGATGCTTAAGAAACAGCTACTGTAAACCAAGTTTCGTTACAGTCACCAATATCGATTATTTTATCTTCCAAATGTTTTCAGTTTGGTGACCTTATCTACAAGTATTTTCTCCCTTTACACCCTAACACCAATATGAATATTCTCTTTACTGTTCTCTATACATTTCGTAAGGTGCTGACAAGGAGAATATGTTTAACAATCGAGAGTTTCTTTGGGTGATCATTTCCTTTATTCTCGAGAACTTAACGAGGGGAGCTCTGGGGTCTATCAGAAACCGCAAAACCAAGGGAAAAAAATCATCCAGAGCCGTAAAAAGATTCGATCAAAACCGAAAACCACATGCAAAACCGTCAAAGCTGATAAATTTTCACATCCTAGTTATCAAAACCCTAATCGATCCGATGCAGAGGTGACAAGCGGAGCAAAAAAGGGTTTCGCGGCTATGCCTTGCGTTGCGTGGAGGTGAAAATTGCCGCTCAGAAGGAAGAGGAACTGCGAAACCCAAAAAGGAAAAACCGAAAACCACATAGGATACCAAATCCGAAAGCCCAACAGTATTTTTGACAAAAACCGAAGACCAAATGCTAAAAACCGAAAAATTCGCCAACCGCAATAAAAACCAAAACCACAAAACCGAACTTTTATTGACACAAAAACCGAAAAACTGATCTAAAAGATAACCAAAACCGCAAAAGCGAAAATCCCAATATTCCCCTCTTTGAGATTTGATTGTGGGGTGATTTAGTAAGGAGAAATTAGACGCTGTTGAATTATAGTAGTCAAAGGGTTCTTACCTCTTATAAGAGATGTAATTCCTAGTCGGTTCACAAAAATATTGTCCGTAGCTTCAGAACCAGTGAACAATTCTGCTGTAACATAAAGGTCAGGTTCCACTCGCCTTGCTGCATCTACAAAGTACTGCAATTAAAATTTAACATTTTAAGAGAAACATTTATCCATTCTTTCTCAACACGACTGGTCTGGATGCACCGACTCAGTTCACAACAGTTTTAGGGAAGAGGTTTGGAATTACTTTATGTCTCTCTATACAGTTTTATTTAATGGTTTAAAATATGTTCTACTAACCTCTGCCACATGAAGTGGAGTGCTGTGACAATTATCAAGGCGAATGCCATCAAATACCCTAAAATACAGAGCAATTGTCAGAGATATAAACATTTAAAGCATGGTTACTGGACCTGCAGATTTCACTAGGCACTGGCTGAGAAAGAGGTCATTGCCCGCAAAATTTAAGCGGCCATTGTGCTATAAAAACAAAGAATAGTCTTGAGTTGTTACTGTGGAAGTTATTTCAATTGCTAATTAAAGCATCATATCGATACGCAAAAACAGATCAGTTATAGCCGATAATCTGGACATTGCAGGTGAAATTAGGTTTTCTATTTAGCAGTTGTTTACGGCTTCTGTCGATGGTTTTTTCCACGGACTTACACTTGCTGTAGCAATTTTTTTGGTGGAAAGAAAACTAAAGAGGAGACTAAAAGATATTCTGGCCATTATCTCACCTTGCACAAATCTTCACATACTTCAACATGAAATCCCAAAGAAATGGTACGTCCTCTGGCCCTTTACCATATCGAAGTTTAACACTGTCACCCCATGCAATTACTTCACGGCGGAAATAGACAAATGATCCTGGGGCAGCAAAGTCCCTTAGAGGGTCACCACCCCATATCCATCCTGGATGTGCCATGCAAAACTTTGCCTTGTTCGAATACATGAGCTTCTCCTCTTCTTCTACTGTATCACAGTCGCCAGGCGTAGTGAAATACCTGGTAATGAAGAACACAAGATCACCACAGACTAAGGTTTTACTCAACAACTTTTTACATCATCATTGTCAGCTGTGCTCATTGCACCAGTAGGTATTTTCCTTTTGCCTCTACAGGTTGTATATTTTAGCATAGACACAAATGCTTAATAAATAATTTAAACTCAAGCATCCAAGGTCAGACTTAACTTTTGAAAGCCCAGAAGTTCATCATTACAAAAACTTGGGTTTCCACTTCATGAAGTGACTGGGAGCATAAGGAATCTTGACTCCTTGTGTCTTAATGGCTAATTGTGCTCTTGTAACCGTTCCAGAATTCAACAATACAAACCATGGTTCAGAATTTTTTCCATGCCATTGACAGCATAGCATAAAAGCAAATTAGCTGAAATAACTTAGGTTGATTGCAATGGGCAAAAAAAAACTGTGCCATTAAACTTGACAACAGCACTCAGCCTTGGGCCTCAGGCTGTACCCAAGACATAGAGCACAGTTCAAATTCCTCATGGACCTCCTCCTAGTAAATAACACAACTATATATCTTCATGGTTGGGACACTGGTCCATCTATCAAAATAACCCAATAGCATTTCATCAAGATTCCCCAAAAGTTCCCCAATACCCACCCACAGGTGAATTTTTCTTAGATGCTTAAGCACTGTGAGAACAAAGTGTTCCACACAAAAAACAGAGTTTGACCTCTTGATCCAGAGTCCTTCATGTTAAGCTCCCTACAAATTCTCCTTGTCAGCAGCATAGGAAATGTTTAGAGAACAGTATGGAGAATATGCATACTGATGTTAGAGTGTAAAGGATTAAATAACAAATCTAGAAATTCCTAGAAATGTCTCCTTACCTTGTTACTAAAGGACATGTTCTTGTGACTCTTGGATGTCTTGGGCCATCCCCATTCAGACGTTCATACCGCACTGTATTCTGAACACTTTGGATGGCAGATTCAATATGATCAGCGACTTCTCTGTTCTTGACATTGTCATTGAGGTTATTGAGATGTGCTTTAAAGTCCTCACAACATAATTGAAGCCGTCCTTTCTCATCCAAAGCATCAGAACTTAAGAGGTAACAAAGTACAATCAATTTAAATGCCTGAAAAGGGAAAGCCTTAATTCCAACAATCAGGTTTCTATAACAACCAAGTTTGCTGTTGTTTAATTTAAAGAAATTTTATGATGGAAATTTATGAAAGATAAGATGAAATAAAAATTTTAAAAATAAAGAGAGATACACTACTCATTTTCAATCAATTTGTCTTTAGAGACAGTTTGAAGTTTATCAACCTATGAGACAGAATTATTATGTTCTAACAGTGATTATATTTAATGGGTTCCATTTCAAGTATGTTATGATGAATTTAAACACATGCAACTACTGTTAGTATGGATATTATGATGCTGAATACCAGTGGGTGAACTAAAAACAAAAATTATCTGAACATGCATATATCACAACATTAGATCAAATGTGATTTAGCATGGCAGTCAAGGTGTAATATCAATTGTGGGAGCTGTATGAAGTAATTATTTAAGCTAGTAGTGATATAGCCATAAGTGAATTTAAGTATTACATTAGAAAATTAAAACAAAGAGAATGTATTTACCGTTCTCTGTTAAACTTTGCAACAGCCTTTACCATATCAACAGTTGCTGAAAAGCGTTCGTATGATGGACCTACTGTTAGTTCAAGTGGCTCCTCGTCATGTTTTAAAGAGCCACTCCCTGGTTTTTTGACCTTCAGCATGGCTGTACGGAACTGATCAACTGCCTTTGCAACATCCACACCAAACAACTCCCATAGCCGTAGTTTTGGCAAGACTTGGTGCCTGACATTAAAAAAAAATAACTTATTAAATAAATCAATATCTAAATTGGTAACAAAATCTTGGTATATATCCGTTCTGTAATTTCTTGGTACTTGTAAATAATTTATCTATGCTCACGAAAATAGGATTATTATAATTTTTTAATAACTATCAACTCATAAAAATGATTGAAAGGTTTCAATGTACTGTACTTCTCCTAATAATTCGATGTTTGCACCAGCAAACAGGTGATGAGATTTGACAACCTCATCAACTATCAACTAGAGGATACTATTGCAATATGAAACCGCGTTTTCTCAGTTGATTTATTGAGAAGGAGTACATGTAACTGAGAAGAAAGGACCATTTCAGAGTGAACACTTTTAATCAACTCCCAAGAACTAATTGTCAATTCTCTAGCTGCCACACATTTCCTTGTAAATTAGTTACAAGAATTTGGTGTTAGACCAAGATAACAACTTCTACCTGATAATGAATATTCTCATTACCTAATTTGAGTTAATTCTCATTACCTATTTGCTAGATGATGTATGGATATTACAGGGAGAAGTTACATGTTGATCACATCTGAGAGTTAAAGGGCTTAAAGACAGAAAACTCCCAAAACTTACCTCAATATATCACCTATTCTATGTATATGGTATTCACAGTTCACTTCTGCAGGTAAACCATCTGCAGCCCATTGCCCATCAGCTACTTGACAGGTGAAATGCCACAAGGCACGATCCAATAAAAATGCAGGTTTGAGATGAGGAGAGTTGTCCAAGTTGTAAGAGCATTCTGGATGATCCCATAACCAAGGAGAGTTGTTAGCTGTGTGATTCAGAACTACATCCACAATAGACATCACTTTCCACTCACTACGCATCTTGTCAAGGATATCCTAAGAGAAAAGTTTATAAAAAAATATCAGCGCATCAAATTGTTAACATATGGTCATGAAATGGCACCTTTTTAACCCTTTTATTGCGAGGAGTGACCAACAAGTAAATTCTCCTTACAATGACAATAAGATAGTTCATGAAAATTAAGAAAATTATCAGCAAGGGAATTGTCTTGATAGTACTCTAAATTCTCAGTAATATGCAACAACAGTCAGTATTATCACAGGTTAGGAGAATTAGCACTCAGATCTTTGGAGTGAAGGGGTTAACAAGTCAAGCTTAGAGTTGTGGATATGATTGGGTCTTAAAATTGTTTTTTGAATCACCTTTTTCAAACAGTACAATTAAATGAACTGAAGATCAGTTATTACAAATACTAACTTAGTAACTATCATTATCTTTAGTTAACCCTTCAACACCCAGATCAAATTTTTAATTTTCCTTATTGTTAACCAGACAATTCTTATCAAATAATGATAGTTCAGAGAATTTAGTATTGCACCTACTAAATTAATTTATCCCCAAATTGATATTTTTCTTTATTCTCATCACTTATCTGGTTAATATTGTATTGACATTGTAAGGAGAAATTCTGTCTTGGTCACTCATAGGAGTTAAAGGGTTAATGAATCAGTCATGACTAATTAGTCTAAAAAAATCACCAGTATGATTTTTTTTATCTATGATATTACTCAAATAAGTGTTAATAATTCATGAATTGCTGTATAATTTATTTCAAATTCATGTACCTTAACTCCATCAAAGGAAGCATTTTTTCTCCCAGGTGAATGAAAAGCAGCATTGACGCTGAGCTGATCTAACACAGAGTATGAAGAGTTTGACTTTCCCAGTTGTTGTATCGGCGTAAAGTGAATCATATTGTAACCAGTTTCTTTGGTTACCTGAGAGATCAAAGCAAGTTATAGAAAATACTTCAGTTGAACAAAGTATCTAATATCAAAATATGTATAAATATAAGTATTACTTATTATATTGTGGTAAAATATAAAGGGAGTTCATTGATTTCTTCTCCCCCTGAATGGAGGAATGGAATGTTACTCCATCACACTTCAATGTGCTTCCTAAAGGAGACAATGTGTCTCCCAAGGGGAGACATCAACAAAACTTGAAAGTATAGGTAGTAACTTGCTATAGAACACATTTCAATGACCTGCCCAGGGAATTACCCAGGGAAAAGTTGATCCTCAGTTCTTGAGGTGCAGTTGTTTAACTTGTTCTTGAAATAAAGCGCTCATTAGGGCCTGCATTTTGAGGGGCTTTTACCTTCACATAAGAAGAAATTGAAGGAAAAAATTTAAACAATCAAAACTGTCAGCAAAGCTACAAAACTAAACCGAAATTGTTGGCTAACCCTTGGTTAGCTTAATTGTGCTTTGAACAACCTGGGGTCTTGTGTACTACAAAATTCACTGCACATACTGGGTACTAACCCTAAGTCGATCGCTCCACTCCTCCAAGGGTCCTAAACTCTTAGACAGCACAGTCTGTAAGCTTACACACTCTAATGGGATAGTTTCTGAACTGTTCACTTTTAAAACTGGATCCACTGAAAAATAGCCTGAGGTTGTCCTTCTCTCTCTAAATCAGAAACAAAATAAAAAGACGCAAGGTAAAGTTTAATGCATAATGACATGACAGCCAAATATGCGGTAATGGAAATCAATTCCACTTGTAAATTATTGAAAGCACAATATTCAGTTACATAGAAAAACAAATTCCCAAAAATTGTGTCTAAAAGAACATTTTGAGTTCTTAAAAAAATAATAATTGAGAGAAACAGCACACCAGGTTGTTTATCATTGGTTAAAACTTTGACAGCTGATTAATAACTGATCAAGTGAGTGAGAGTGGCCACAAATGCCTCGTTTTAAACTGGAAATTCTTGTTTGAATGAGATCAGTGTTGAAATGTCTCATATCAGAGCCACCCTATCCAGATTTTAAGTAACCCCCCCCCTCCCCTATCTAGAAACTCCAACCTGACTTGATCCTACTAACTCTTAGAAGTGATCAACAGGTGACTTCTCTTCTCAATCTTAATATACTACCAACTCAAAAAGTGATGAGAATTGACAAACCTATCAGATGAAGGGCATTATCCTGATTTACAAGTTAAACCTAATTTTCTTGACTAAATTTCTATCAAAAAAAATAGAGTGACAGAAAAGGAAAATTTCCAATTTGATGTTACAGGGTTAAGACTTAGCCATCCCAACTCAACCCTTTGATTCCCATCAGAGACCAAGATAGGATTTCTCCTTACAATATTGATACAAAATCAAGCAGGCAAATGATGAGAGTTGAGAAAAATATCAATTAGGGGATTATTAGTTGATCCAATACCAAGTTCTTCAAACTAACAAAATAAGAATACCAGACAGTAAAGAGAATTGCTAATGAGATCTTGGGAGTGAAAGGATTAAGGCAAGACAAGCTTTCTTACTCTTTTCCTCTGTTTTCACCATTCTGGTAAGTGACATAGAAATGAAATGATCCTGCAGTATGTGCTATAATATCTGCAAATCTATCAGCATCGTCACATTCTTGTCCAGGTGGGCATGTCCATGCCAACTCTGTGTAATTTTTTCTATCAAATGACTGCTGATTGGATGGCGGGTGGTTGCAAAGTAAGTGAACATTGTAAGGTTGTAGTGAAGGACCCAAGGTGAAGCGTAAAGTCCATCCTTAAAAGAAAAAGAAACAGTTAGCCTTTTCACCCCTAAGAGAGACAAGCATCTCATTTCTCCTTACAGTATCACACCTAACTCAAACAAAGAGGTCATGAGAATAATGGAAATGATCAACAACTACAGATGTTCCTGATTATGAATTAAATTCTCCTTGTCAGCACCTCAGGAATGACATGGAGAACAGTATGACAAATATACATACTGATGTTAGGGTGTTAAGGGTTAAGAACTTAGCTATTGAACATTACAAAGCTGTTAAAATACATAATTGTACAGGTAAAAAAATTTAAAAAATAACCCTACCAAGTTGGCAGTTTGCTAAATGAGTTACTTTTCATAAACACAGTGATTTAGCCACTTTAAAAATAGATTGTTTTCCCAGAAAGAAAAAAGTGACCTAAAATATGTGATCATGCAAAATATCAGGCTAATAGTGCTGATGGTTTATATTTTTCTTAACTTTCAAACTACTGTAATGTTTCTCCTACTCCAGCAATGCATTTACAAATTGGTGGCCATGAGACCAACAGTTGCCAAAGAACCCCTTTTTTTTCAACTGTCCATGATTATTAGATTTTGTTTGAGTCAAATTTTCCTGTATACAGGTAAACTGAGGATGAAAGTCACATTAATTCCTTGCAAGTTCAATTAAGAATGCAGTTGAATATTTCTTGATTTTGAAAGAAAGCTCTGATCCTGCCCGCTAAACTAGTTAGATTCATTCATTCACAGCTTTGGATACATATTTGGCACAGTTGTACGTGAAAAAATCAATTGGACCTTGTATCGATCCAAATCAATATCATTCGTGTCACGCATCTGGTGAGGTGTTTACAATTCTGCTTGCACATTCACTGGTTAATAGCAAAAAGTTTACTTCCCGGTAAATTGTACACAAATGATATAAAAATCAGTTGGAGTAAATTTACTTACTTCAGTCATAAAATAAAACACAAAAAATCCATAGAAGCTTCCTACTGCATAAAACATGCGGTGCAAAATTGAATAAATTGGAAGCATTGGAAAAGGCAACCAATATCAGGCCTCTCACTAAACTTACATAATTTAAAAGCCGATAAATATGTTTATATCCAATGTTTGTCTGAGACCATCCAATCGAAATCGTGAAAATAAATCCTTTCAAGAGCTTTCTTAAATCAAACTGTATAAAAGACAAGATTAGAGGCAAATCCGCCTGCATTCGTCCCAATTTTTCTAGTGTGTGTTTGCTTATCAGGGTGTAACATAACCCTTGATGTGGAAATTTCACCGGGAACTTCGATCACAATAATAAATTTTCAAATTTTCGCCCTTTATAAAGAGCAAAAAATTGCGATTGCGAAAATATAACATGAACATGCTACAACTTGTGCAAATGCAGTTTTTCGGCCCAGTTTTTCTAAGAAAACATGAGAAACTGAGAAATCAGCTGGTTAGAAATGTAAGTTTTGCGCCTACGTAAATTTGCTGTCACCCCACTCTGAAACATAGATACAAATTTTCGAACAGTTTTTGAACGCTCCCCGGCATAAGTGATTTGTAAAGCACCAGAAACTCACCTTTCTCGATTCTGAATAGTTTTGTTTCCAACTCTTGTCCAGCTTCGAGTTGAAGCACTCGAACCTGACCCGCCATTTTGGATGGTTCAGTGGGTCCAACCGCGCTTACTGAGGGATCTGGGCCGATTCTGCTTTGTCACGCAAGTCAAGCAAATGTTTTCTCGTGTTTGCGTGACAATACGGCGGATTACAGTTTGGCATGTACGAGGTATATTTAATTCAAGAACGCTTATCAAGTAAAGAAGAAAAAGAGAATAGTGTGGAATAAGTAGGTTTATTTAGCAATTCACTCAGTATACTGGTCCACAGTTCGAATTCTCCCGTCACGATTCTTCTGGACAAGAAACACACGAGGTTCAATAATGTTCAGTCACATGAGCGCACATTTTTAAAATTAACCTTGGGCAAAGTGGTATGATTATATTTGATATCTTCAAGGACACACCATTTCGTCTTATTACGAGTCCACGAAAAAAAGCTACAGAATAAGATGCAGGAATGTCTTGGAAAGACACAAATGAAAATTAAATTCTAGCACTGAAATTCTCATCCCCAAGAAGTAGTATCTCTCCATTGACGGATTATCACATGGAAACCATGCCTGTTAAACGTGTTAACCTTTAGGAAAAAATTACCCAGCTTTAGAGTCCAGATCAATCGTGACTCATTTTCTAGAAAAGACATATTCTCAGGAGTGAAAGCATTTACATTTTTTGGAATGGCTAAAACCGATGATGGTTTATTTTTCTCCATCAAAGAAATTGCACTGAAAAAAGTCAAGGGGAAGACCATCCGAATCTCTCTTAGGAGAGAGTTTTGTTTTTAAGTATCTTGCAAGTATCTTTGCAATTTGCATACTAAATCACCAACCCCCCCTCCCCACCCTTCCATCTAAATTGTCACCTTATGGTTCCATCAACTAAACAACGCACTTAGAAATACTTGTCATGAATTCTTACCGATTTTGTAACAGTTTGATGGCATGAACTCCTCAGAAATAACCAGGACAAGTTTTGCTTATAGTGCCGACTAAAAAAATCATTTCAACGTTATATTTAAGTTATCAAGGCCAAGTAAACAAACATGAGTTCCTTATTTTATTTTGCGAAAATGAATGTCTATTGTATGGTAACTTTAAAGTTTATTTTAAAATGTATCTTAGCGTGAGTAATATAATAATGGCATAAAAGGTAAAACCCAAAATAGCTTTTATCTTGTACAACTTGAACGCAAACGAAACAAAATGACCCCTTTCATCGGGACAATACAAGTCATGTTACTGTTCGGAAGCAAAAAACTTAAGTTTACATATATGATATGAAGCATTTAACACCTAAGATTTTTTCTCTAATAGTTTGTTTTATAATGGGGCTATCTTATCAGTCCTTTGAAGGCAAAAACTTAAGACTTAAAAACCTTATTTTTAGCGGATAGGAGTACATTACGTGACATGACCAAGCGCAAAACGTTGCTGTCACGGTAAGAAAGTTCCCGCGCTTCAGGCAGTTAGCTTGTTCTACACTGAGTTCTCATTGGTTCCTTAAGATATTCTCTACTCTTATTGGCGGCCGTGATTACTCTTGTTTTGGCTTTAGGACACTCGATAAATTTGCGCTCGGCTAAAATTTTTACATGGCTGCAATAGCTTAAGTAAGTTCTCTAGAGGATTAACCAGAAAAAGTTTCGAACTCTCTTAGTTTTTGTGGACAATGACTAGCTTACAGGACAGGCTTTTAGCGAGAACGCGAGTAAGAAACGTGTGAAAACAGACACGCGGGTAGTAGTGCTTTCCCTTACTCGCGTATGCGTGCGTGCGTGACGTCTCGCTAACATGTGCACAAACTAACAGAAAGCAATAGGATTATAAACTGACAAAACTGTGAGCAACACAGAAATAATGACGATGCTAATTCACGTTTGGCTTTCTAACTATCTGGCAATTTCAGAGTCTATTTATATGTAAGTTCTGCGAATGATCCAAGATCTGTGCCACAGCGACACAGCTGAGCCACATCCATAGAAGATTGCCTCTTTCAGAGAAAGATGGTCCTCAGACATAATCATTCTTGATGGTCGCTCTAATTCTCCAGGCCATGTAACTCTTCATCAGCTCATAACAGAAGTTGTACTGGTCCTAAACACAGGTAAGGAAAATTGACCAAGTTATCTTACAAAGTATTTGAGGCTTATTTAGACAGAAATAGAGACCAGATCTAAAGGAAAAGGTTTAACTCCTTTGTAAATCGCTGTGTACCTACCAAGCTAGATACCAGTCCGGCTCTCTGTGATCTAAGCCATCGGACAGTATTAAATATGTCCACGTTATCATCAGTTTCCAGTCTGTCGATACTCAAACACAGGCTGAGAAACACTCCTGTGCGACCATCACCATTGCTACAAGGACGGGGTAACAGCAATAAAGTTAACAGGATTTAATTACAAAAATAAACTGAATAATACGGAAGCGTATTGTCAGTCATTTATTGTGCTGATAGCTCAATCAATCACTTTATCAAATGGTGGACTAAGTGTTCAGCCACTGAATGAGGCATTCAGAGAGCCAGTGAGTAAGTCAGTTAGACAGTTCTTAAGACAGTCAGTCCACCAGAAACCAATTAACAGCAGCAAATTCAAACAATATCATCCACTATTTCAAGTTAGTAGCACGCATGTTAAATGTATCTCAACACTGCATAGATTACTCGAGGGTTTGCACGTGCGTTACCTGCAGTGAACAATGATTGGTCCGTTGTGATACTCCCCAGGCTCCACCTTGTGAACCTGGTGCTGTAGGTATACGAGGCTCTCGGCCCGAGGCAACCCATTCTCCTTCCAACCGTGGCATTGAAAATGATACACCACGAGACTTTCGTCGCCCTGTGAATAGCAAGGAAACAATCCAAAAGGGAAGATTCATAACAAAAAGATAGCATATGAGTTGAAGGAAAGGAAATCCCTTAAAAAAAAACTGAAATCCATTCCTGCTCCCGAAAATGTGAATTTATCAAGTAGTTCCACAATTAAACTCACCCCATGACGCCGCACTTTAAAGACTCTTTGGGTGTGGTCCTCGAGAACCTCCTCGTCAATCTTCGTCACCCGAATTTTTCCATATTTGGCACAACCTTCTTCTTCTTCGGGCCAGTAGCGATAACATTGTTCCTAGGAAAGAAGCAAGGAAAGAGAGACTTTAAAACAACGTGAGAAAAATAGTAGGTCTGGTATCCATAGAGGAAGCGCACTAAGGCAAGCCGAAAGCTTCACAGCAATCCGCCAAAAACAAATAAGTAAATAAATAAATAGACGAGGAAAACAAAAAGAAGGAAAGACAGTGAACAACTTCTAACTGAAATTTACGTCAATATCCGCTCAAATGATGCTCGCAAGAACTGTATTATACGTTTCTTACCACTCCATTTTCCCGGAGATCAGTGAGCATGACCACTACGGTTGACCGCTGTTCCCACAGCATACGCCAAAAGTCATTGACTGTGCTCGGCATGGGCCCTTGAGTGGCGATGTATGCGGCGCCTTCGTTATAGCTCTGATGATTAAAAGTAAAGCCCAACCTTTTAAGGAAAGATTATAAGATGCATAATCATGGTTCTAAACTCTACATTCCCTTTTCTTAATCATCAATATTTTATCTGATCCAACATCTGTCTGTTACACATGAAAGTCCAAGGCCTTATTGTTCTCTAATTCAAAACTATTAACTTGAACAAAGAATGCACATTTCTTTTTCACTTCAACTAATTGCGGAGTAAATAGCGCATAGGAACTTCTTACATCAATCAAGCTGGCGTTGATGTAGTCGGAACAAGGGTCGTCTGGAAAAGGCTTTAGGTAAACTCTGTTGTGATTAACTAGGAAACAAAAAGAAAAACATAAAAAACAAAATTTGTGTAAAAAATGTTCTATTAGTGTTTCACACTTTCAAAAGTGAACACAAATACACGAGACAAAGACTACAATTTCATGAGCCAAAGCTGAGCGGAAGGTGAAACAAACTTTCTTACATGGTAACATCTCTGGTGAACGGTTTTTCAATGCGTTTTCTCGAAAAAGTGCTTCTCTAAACAGCGTTTCGTGAGCGGAATAGTCTTGAAGGTTCTGTTCGTAAAAAACACACAAAGAAAATAAGAATGTTGACACTTGTTTGCAAACCAGGAAACAACGAAACTACACACTATTTGATCCCACACCCTAGATACACAATCTGTCTGCCACACAGTTTTAATCCTTAGATAACATCCTGACATTAGTATTACTTTTCTTGTAGTATTGAAAAGGAGAAATCGTTTTAAAATCAAGATTTGTGATCATTTTCTTTATTCTCATGACCTTAACATTTGACTCAAGTCTGATAATGTAAAGGCAAATTGGAAACCAGCCACTCTTATGGGTTAAAGGGTTACGTATTTTTGGCGGAAAGAATTTGGTGGTCGATGCAAAAATATCCCACAGCTGATACTTTCTCTTTTCTCCTTTCTTCTTATTGCCTACCTGCTCGGCAATATATTGATACTGAAAAGAGAAATTACTTACTGGTCACTTCAGGGAAGGAACAGGTTAACCCTTTAATTCCCATGAGTGACAAGGGCAGAATTTCTCCTTACAATATCAATACCATAGCAACCATACAATTGATGAGGATAAAGAAAAATATCCGTTTGGGGATAATTAGTTGATCCAATACTAAATTCTCTGAACTAACATCATAGAAATCATACGGTTGACAGTAAGGAGAATTACAAATTTGGTCTGGGAGTTAAAGAGTTAAGATTATTCTAAAAAGAGGTCTTACCTCAAACTCAAGAGTTCTTTGCTCGACTACCTCAGGTTCATCTCCCGAGACGCAAAGAAGATCGCTTCCAAATTCACTTGATGTGATTGTAGTAACACCACAGATGGATGCGTCTCTAAGGACGTCGTAGATAAAACGATATTGCTCCTGAAGCGAAAACACAGATGTAGTAGCGTCAGATCGATAGGGAAGGAGTGTTAATTAAGCCAACGCCTAATTTTGATCGCACTGAGGTTCAGCTTTTACATGTGAAATGTGCTCTTAGCAGCAAATTAAGTTGAATAAACTGTACAAAGCGTTGTCCTTGATCTTATTTGAAGTTATCTGTTTATTGTGACGAAGGTTTTTTTAAACGTGATTCTTCAGAAATAAACGTTTTCGAACGATTTTTTTCTAAACTTTCTTGAAATGTTTTCTATCAAGCTATATATCGAGAAAGACAACATGATAAGAAAAGATAGGTCGAGCTTGGCGGCAGGGAAAGACGCCCTCTTAATGTTGCCAATTACACAAAGTGCATAGTACAGGAGGTGCGGTGCATTACTGAAGAATCACAGCAGGTCTTCATTTGAGCACAAGTGAAGATATATAAAGCAAAAAGAGCAACTCTTTTCCAAAGGAATTGTAACTTACTTCAGTCTGGACCATGTAGTTACGTTGTTTTCTCATTTGCGCCACAAAGCCATACACGTCTACCACCTTCTCAGTGTCCATTTGCTCCATCAGCGAGTCAATGGCAATGAAAGATCCCGTGCGTCCGACGCCAGCACTAAGTAATGCAAACAGTGATTTAACTCCTCCAGCTAACACCAGAGCAAAATATCACCATAAACTGCAATGCTTGGCTATCGTTCTACAAGAACCTTTGTGTTCTTTGTTTTCATAACTACAAAACGTGGGGGCTGAGAGAAAAAGGTGAAGGCCACACGAGAGAGTGTCAGATCTAATCAAAAACGCACTTTAAATTTTCATTTTCGCTAAGTTTGATGAGTTAATGCTTAAAGAGGTTATTACGAGCGCCTTTGTTGAAAAAGAAATTCAAATTCGAACTGTATAATTCAACTCATATTTCCTTTTTTTCATTTTCCTTGATATCCTTAAAAATATCCATAGAAAATATTCAATTGTACATCATATGCAAAAAGTTTCACATAACTAAAAGTGAAAGTTTAATTCTTAACAGGTGCTGTTCCCTAAAACGTGACTCTAAATTCCCTATTACATTCCACGAGTTGAGCCTACTCGACAATCTTATCAAACGGAGAACGCCCATATTTCACAGATTAACGCGACACATGTAGACCATATGATAAAGCTATCTATGTCTATTTCTACCGCTGACCTGCAGTGAATGATAACAGGCCCAGGGTCAGCAACCAGAGTTGTCTTTAACTTGTGATGGAACATTAAGAAAGCAATGGTGTCCCGGGGAACCGAGTGATCAGGCCACGATGTGAAGTGATACTGAACTACTTCTCGCTTGTCTACACTGTCAGGATCTGTTGACTGCAGAGTTCAATGAAAACACCATATTCAAAACTTTGTGTTTTGACGTTTTTGTCAAGATATTTTGACAGCAAAGAAGAGGCCTGGTAACGAAAATTGAATTACCACTGGGAAACAAGATAAGAGTGTGTGATAATTTCGAGTGTTCGCCCTTCGTCAGAGCAAATGATGGAAGTCTATACAGAGTGGGAAAAATAGTGAGTCGATTAAAAACCAAAACCAAAAAACCACATGAAGAAAAAAGTCCCCTCAATAATGGTTCCAGTGCAAATAAGACTTCACTCCAGGTATCTTGTATACTACAGTAGCAGGCACATGAGTGCAAGTTCTGCTTGGTGCTTACTTCACACCATTTAGTAATTCTCCTTACTATGTTTCGAGGCCTAGAATAACTGTTTTTACGTCATTGCATGATTTGCTCACTCACCCAAAGCATAAAATCCCTGATAGTCCAGTCTGACATAGCCATACTACTAAGAAGTGATACAGCCACATGACCGTACTCTTTGGGCTCAGCCTCGCTCCAGTACCTTTCACAAGGTGAATCTTCCTAAAGTTGGACAAATTGTTTACCAAACACTAATTTAACTGTCCTAAAAGATACTTACGACTTTAAAAATGTTTACATATATTATTGTTATTATTATTATTATTATAAGGAAAGCGCTAGAGAACGTGGACTCAGAGAAGTCCCTCTATACCAGTGAAGTCGGTCGGGCGAGTCAATACAAATCGGCTGAAAAAACAGTTGGTACCGGTAAATTAACTTGTACCACAGACTGCAATGGTAGAAATAGAAGTGCTTTTGGTGTACAAAGAACAAAAAGGGAGGCATCAGCCTGCAACAACTTACGTCTCGCCCCAACATTTCTATCATAATAATCGTTTTTACATTCTTCTCCCACACCATTCGCCAGAAGTCGTTCACCGTTGACTCAATAGGACCTGGAGAGATAGAGCCACAAGACAGAGTGACTTAGAGTGACTACCATCTAATTTCTCCTTACTATATCAGCCCTGAATCACGCATTAAAGCCACGAGAATTAAGGAAATGATCACCATCTAAAGAAGCTTGAATTCTCCTTGTCAGCGCCTTAGGAAATGTATAGAGAACAGTATAGAGAATATACATACTGATCTTAAGGTGTAAAGGTTTACAGAAATCCTATGCAGATTCTCAAACAATTGTAGGAGACAACAGCGAACCCGAATGAAAAACCTCGATCAAAAAAAATTCATCTCTTGTGTTTCTATAGAACCTCATTTGTGATAATGATAAAACTTTCCTGTCATCTCCTAACCAGTGTTGTTAGCTCAGTCGAGATGAAATTTAAATTCTCCTCACAGTATCAGCACATTATCCAGCAAACAGGAATGAGGATAGACAACTGAACGCATCTGCCGCAGGGTTTAATCTTGGTAAAACACCAGATTCTCATGACTATTTTTCAAAGAAATGTAGAGCAGGTGGAGGCGAGACTTGCAAGTCAGATTGTGGGAGTTAACGTTAAGTGCAGTGTTAGGAGAAAGAGGCTGCCATCACAACAGTGTTGTGAAAAAATGGTTCTGTGCTTAAAATGAAAAACTTCACCCGATCCTTAAAAGACAAAGGTAATTTCCTTGATACCTTGTGTTGCGATATACTTGGCTGGGAAACTGTAACCCTGAAAACAAAAACCAGCATTACCGGGTTGTTTTAGTATCTATATAGGGTGCTTTTCTATTGAGTGTTACAAGGCTAAAACTGGAGTAAATAGGTAATTTAGTGTTAACAACTGAGTTGAAAACGTAAAATTAGCCACCGTAAAGGGTAAAAAAGCTGACGTTTCGAGTGTTAGCCCTTCGTCAATCGCTCTGACGAAGGGCTAACGCTCGAAACGTCAGCTTTTTACCCTTTGCGGTGGCTAACTTATGTTTTCAACTCAGTTGTTAACACTAAATTACCTGTTATACTCTCCCACCGAAGCAGCATCACAGTTTCTTTAGAAACTTATCCCCTTAAAACTGGAGTAAATAACCGAACAGCATCATTAGAAAAAAGGAAAACATCACAGGGAGCCCATGAGAAATTGATGTGAAGCAAATCTGAATGACGCGCGCAAAACACAAATGCCTTAGTCGCAAATGGTTGACGCTGCTCACTTGATTGGCTGGGAGGGTAGAGCGAGTTCTCTAGACCAATCACATCATATGATGAAGTAAAATCGATACGATCCCGGATAACGTTCAGTCCGACTCTTAGGAAAAAAAAATTGCCTTAAGAATCAACGTAAACCAAATTGATCAACAAACAAGCTTTCTTACATCAACGTAGTTGGCGTTAATGTAGTCAGATCCGGGGATATCTCTCTTGGCTGTGAGCACAACACGACTATGATCATCTGTGGAGGAAAAGATATAGAGAATGAGGCATACACCATATTCAAAAACTCTAATAGTTAAATGGCAAAAAAGTAGAGTAACTGAAGGCCACATAGAGAAGAGGAAGGTCAAAACGAAAGAACTGCCAAAAGAGAAGTACATAAAATATAGAAGAAGGCTTAGTTCACAAACGAGTTTTCTGTAGTTCAGTTGGTAAAGAATCCGAATGCAAACTCAAGTCTTGAGGTGGAGTCTGCAGGGGTCGTGTGATTAAGTATTATTGGCACAATCAGTTGAGAAAAGGATAAAATAAGTTATAATCACAGTTTCTCTTGATATTCAATGTAAAACTCCATAAAAATTTGACTTATAATGTGACTGACTCTACAGCAAGTTGGCACTGCGTTAAAGCGGGATTGTTGACGAGTTTGTTCCATTCAATGTTGTAATTCATCCACTTTACCGTTAGGTCTCCACGAAGAGAAACGTTTTAAGACCTGCATCAAAAATAACAATTTCAACTTACACGCCACTACGTTACAATAGCGGTTTTTGGTCCTGTTATGTGGGACCTGACTCGCCTCCCACGTTGATTTCCACGCAAGCCGATCAAGGCACTGAAAACAAATCCGAAAAAAGGTTGATCATTTTAATTTTCGTATCAGTTCAATTTATACCAGAAGACTCATATTAACAAACTTCAGTAAGAGTGTATAAACTCCTAATCTTCACCAATGAATGTCAAAGTCTACCTTGAATTCGTCGTTAAATAACGCATTATTGTTGTCATGGAAATGAGCACAGTGCTCTGCCAACTCTTTCACAGGAACAGGTCGCCTGGGTCGAGCAGTCTGTGATATGATGGACACTTCAAGATAATAACATGATGATCAGACAATTACCACTACAAATAATTTGTGAATGTTAAATAAGTGGTTTTGATCTGTAAATTAGAACTCCTTGAGACGGAAAGAACTTCGCATCAACTTTGCATAGAGGTAGGGTCCACCAAAAGGATTGATTAGTAACTAAAATGACTAGCAATAAAATGTGGTCATGTCATACATTGTGCATGTTACTAGAGGAAGACAAACTCACAGGTACGTTTGGTAATGTCGCCTCCCTTTTTTTTTGAACGTCGAGCATCTCGTCTGAAAAAAAAACATGCAAAGTTGGCCAGAAAGAACAAAGAGGATACAAGAATCAGTTTCGCCCAAAAAGTGCCGCTCATGGCATGAAGAAATTGTCTTAGCATCACGAGTGCCAAGTTACGGTGTGGTCCCCGGCGAGGCTCAGTTTAAAAAGGAGGCAGGGTTACCAAGCTAATTTTAACAGTCGTGTGTCAAGGTTGATGTGCACGCGGGCTGTTAGAAACCTATAAACTGGAAATTTTTTAAGCAAACTGCGGCTTAGCGTCGGATGCAAGGGGAAGATTGAGTTTGTAGTGAATTGAAATGAAACTACAGTATATGTGCTTGGATTCTGCGTTGGACTTGTTGCCGCCCGGTCAGTTTGCGCTGGGATTTTTCGCTTCTCGGATCGGGCGTTCGGAAATGGAGTGTTCAGCCTTGGGCTTTTCTTATGTAGGTTGAAAACCTCGAAATGGACAACTCGCTAAAATGGGTTCTTTTCATCAAAGTAAACGGACAGATAACAAGTGATACGCTGTGGAAGTAAGGTGAGTTATTTTCATTTAGAATTTGACGTATTGTATTTATAAAAACTCTTAGAATTCCGCCATAACTGTTATTGTGCAAGATGATCATCTCATAGCTGGAGCTTGGGCTGCCTGTGCTCCCACGTGTCTTTTTAACCCAAACACAATTTACCACGCCACGGTGTCACCTCCTCATCCCCATGACAAAAGTAACCTATCAACCAGTACCCACCCCTCCCCTAACTCAAAAACAGTCAACTGATAACAAGTTTGGTTAAATGTTGGGTTAGGGGAGGGGTAGGTCCGTAGTTTCTTAGGTTTTGACATAGATCCTTTTATCTAATACCCAGGTAAGAGGGAGAATCATCCATCATATACTGAAAGCAAAAGAGTTGAACCTGCTTTTTTTTCCCTGGACATATACAAACCTGAGGAGTAGAATAGTTGTGATTACCACCAGTACGAAGACAAAACCCACCACTCCGGCTATGATCCATACTAACTTAGACTTGAACAAGCTGGATTCTTTGGTTGGTACACGAGCTAGGAAAGTAATATTCATATCTTTTATTTTTAAGAGCGAGCAAGTGAGGATTTCTCGTAGCAGACGTTGGTGGTAACAAGCAAGAGGAAACACTTGTGGTTTTGAATTAAACTTGTTTCTTGTTTAAGTATTTAAAGTTTCGATTCATTGTTAATAGTCGTAATATTCAGCAAAACACCTCTCAACACGAGCGTATTAAGAATATTTTATCAGTGACTCAACGAATCTAATGACGGTTGTGAACTAATTTCGTTTCCCGCGTCCTAGTTCCTTCGACCAAAAGGGTAACGAAAGGCTGGGAACGACATTGGCTGCAAAGCGTCAATAAGAAAGCTATAGAAAACTGAGGCCATATAATGAAATAAGCTGAGAGTTCAGACTACAAACGAAGCGGCCTCCAAGGACAGGAAAACACGAGCCTGGTGTGCTGTCTGGAAGAGAATCAAACTACTTCTATGAACGTTCGGCAATTGAAGATCTAATACGACTCGTTTCAATCCTGATTAATTAACCAAAATCCAGTTGCATCTTTACTCTGACTCGTAAAAGCATTTCCAAGCCTTTTCAACCAATTAGACAGTTAAGACGAATAAATAATGTTAAGTATCAATCAAGAACTTCTCTGACTTTCATATCAAAGTTTGATAATACCAGAATACTTTATAGTATTTACCCTTTGAAGTCTGAACACTGGGTGAATGCTGTATGGTTATCTCGTCACTCATTTGCCCCTGTTTTGAGTTATATGCCTGTACCTAATGATATAGAGATACATAACACATCAAATTTAGTTCCTCGCGAACGTTTTGGTCATCAAATACAAGCTTATAAGCTACAACTTTTCCTTGTAAGTGTCTAGGATCTAAAAACCAACATTCCAAGTTCTCTGTTTAAGTCCAACATTTTTACTTACTTTGATCTTGTACTCAGCCTCGACATCAGGAAGAGTCATTTCATACGTCACATACTCCTTGTCGACGTCAGTGTCCACAGTGTAGATCTTCGTGACCTGATCGCCATCGGTAAAGTGGAGTTCGTATTTCGTGAGGACACCGTTTGTTTCTTCTGGTCGTCGCCACTGAAGAACTAAACGAGTTTTTTCTTTGTATTTCACTGAAATTCTGCGCGGCGGAGAGGGAGCTGGAACAAACAAAGTACTTTGTAAGATCAGAGCAACAGAGGAGCTTGTAAATTTTTGTATGTCTTTGGAAAAATCACATCAAAATATAAAGATTGAAATCTCAGAAAACCAATATTTTGCAGTGATTCTTCTTGGCAACTGACGGAACTCTTTCTGTAAAATCATAAACCGGTCATGAACAGAAATCCGAGTTCTTAAGAGGAAAAATGGCAATGACCTTTCACCCCAATGACCTCTTTTGGTCGGGTGCGCACACTGTACACTTAAGCCAAAGGGAGTTCTTAGCTACAAAGGCTACGTACAACTATAGAGTTACAACCACGCCATATTCTACTAGAATTAAAGGTTGGTCTTGTTATGTGATCGCGTTATGTTATTGAGTTGTGTGATTGTGATATGTGATCGTGTTGTAGGATCATGCAGGTGAAGGTAGTCCTGTATGGCAGTGACTGACGCCTATACAACAGGCTTAGGAGGGGAGGTCATTACCAGATTCAAGTGAATGTTACATGTCAGGTTCCTTAAAAAATAATCACTTTTGCTGCGAAGTTATTGGCTGCAAATTAGTCAACTTACGACTGTGGATGTCGCCTAGCACTCTCTTAAAACGTCGAATTACACACTTTTTCCTGACGCTTTCAGTGAATGCTTATATAACACAGGATAATACGGTTTGATAAAGGTTGAAATAAGCTTACCATCCTCAGGCATAATAACATCAACAGGATCGGAGAATTTTCCCCAGTTGTTTTGCCCAGTCTCCTCTCGCACCATGAAAGAGTACATGTTATGGGGCTCTAGTCCCCCGACTTGAGTCTCTCTCCGGTACGGGTTTCCCGCGTTTACAATCTTATGACCGTCCATTCTAGAGTCAGCGGTGCTACCCACATGAAGCCATTTAACCATGTAACGCGTCACGAATTTCGTGAAGCTTGAGTGAGACCTCCAAGTAATAAGAACACTCTGAGGGTTTTCAATACTGACTTTGACTCCCTGAGGACTGCCTGGGACTACAATTGAACGAAAAATAAACAATTCAATAGAATCTAATAAAATGTAGATTTATTAGTGCATTTTTTCGATTTTACTTCACTGATTGCACAGAATCAAAGAAAGAAAATATAAAAGATAATAGTTCCAAAAGATAAGAACTAACAAACCAAGAATTAAAGACAACAAGGGCTAAAGGATGAGGATGATCAACCCTTTACACCCTGACGTCTCCATATTGTTCTCTATACATTTCCTAAGGTGCTGACAAGGAGACTTTGATTAACAATCAAGAGCTGTTTTATTTGGTGATCATTTCTTTATTCTTGTGACATTAACGTTTGATTCAGGGGTGATATTGTAAAGAGAAATTAGATGCTGATTACTCTTTGGTTTAAACGGATTGGAAAAGACTTACTGACCTGTTTGAGGTGTGGAAACAAACGTTTTATCGCTGCTGGGCCCTGAGCCCTTTTTGGTAAATCCCGTGATCCATACACGATACCTTGTCAGCGGTTTCATGTTGTCCAAAGTGACATGCGCCACAGATTCGTTTACAGTGATCACGTTCTTTAGCACAGGATAACTCGTATCTATCTGACTATAGTGCACGTGGTAACCTTGGAGTAATCCTTTCACGTGGTGTTGTGGTATGGGTTCCCATTTGACAAATACTGAGTTGGGACTCTTTGCAAACACTTCGAGAAGGCGAGGAGCGCGTGATGGTACTACATTGAAAGGAAATGTGGAGCAACGGAAGATACATGAATATGTTTGGGTCAATGGCAGCATCTGAGTGACCGCGCACCCACCCCTCTCCTTACACATCGTTAAGTCGAACTTGTTATCAGTTGCCTATTTTTGTGATGGGAGAGGTGGGTAAACAGTTGCTGAGATACCAACACTAATTCAATAAGTTTCTAAGATTAAGTTACTCAGTGTTTTTTAGCCGTTGCCACAAACTTATTCCGCTTAGTTTGCTCGATTTTAGCTAATTCAAATTGTCTGCTGTTTCTTTTCCTTTTTTTTTGGCGTTTTCATGGACCAGGAAAAGAAACGTAGACGATAAACAGTCTAAAAACTCCTCATATGGAACCACCTAAGCCAAATAAGTATTAAGAATTTCGCTTTCGCGGAGCTGAAGCAGGCACTCCGCATATAGGCATGATGGGTCAAAAATAGGAACTGAAATCAAAATGGTCTATCAAAGCCAAGGAAGATATCGTAAAGAGCAACTGGGAACTCAAAATAAGAGCAAGAAAGAAAGCTGCCTCAATAGGAGGAAAAAGTGAGTGATCACCGAGACGATAATTTAACTCATTGGTTGAGAGGTTGACGCAAATTTTCATGACCAATCGCAGAGCTTAGAGAGGTAAAACTAACGCAAATCAGGATTATTATCGACACTAGGTTGAAGCTTGCTCTGTAAGAAAGACTATATCAGTGTGATTAACATACCATCCTCATCAGTGGTCACTGTCACGGGTCTACTTGGAGGACCGCTGCCCATCGCAGTATACGCAGAAACCCATACGTCATAAGGCGTAAACGCCTCTAAAGACGTTATCTCCACACTTTGAATTGACTTATTGACTGAAACGGCTTTTGTCACTCCCATTTGACTGACTGAACGTTTTATCATTGGTCGACCTGCTCTGTAATACACGTGATAGCCTCTTAAAACGCCGTGTACGTACTGCTCAGCGACTGGGCTCCACTCGATCAAGATACTGTGTGCCCCAGTGCTACGCACCCGCATAGACATCGGAGAACGACTTGGAACTAGGTACGAAAAAGCTGGTTTTAGATTTTCCCATACTCTTTAATATATAGCGCTACTTACAGTAACCCGGAACGTTTTCTTACCGCTGAGGACGACCAGCATTCAATGAACTCCGTAATAAACTACACAGGTCCGTGATTGAACCCTAACCATGTCAGTGTGTTGTGCACTAGGCAGGGGTTTCATTAAAACTGGTTAGTGGCGGTCTACCACCGACTATAGGACCCCCTACCGCTATCTGTTTAGCTTGAGAGCAAGTGCCCGTATTGAGGTATCGCCTTACGGCCCCTTTCCGGCACAGACCTTTTTTACACCATAAAGAAGCGCTTACAGAAATGGTTTCTCCTGGCTCTATTGTAAGATTCTTTTCTTTCACTTCACAATATATCTCGCAGTGTGTGCCTCTTAGCTCGGACGAAATGACAGAAGTCTAGCAAACATGTTACTGACACAAGGCAATTTGATTTTATCAGCTGAGTTAAAAATGTAAATTTGCCGCCGTAAAGAATTTCTAAAGCTGAAGTTTTGAGCGTTCGCCTTTGGTCAGAGCGAATGAGCCAACACTCGGAAACTAATTTACATTATCGACTCAGCTGATACAACCAAATCACCTAGTAACACCCCTACCGACGCAGCACTACACAGTTTCTTTACAAACGCACCCCTTTTATTTTTTGATTGACACGATCAGAGAAACCATGCATGAAAAAGCTACGGTAAAAAAAACTCCACGTATGAAGTTTTCTTCATGATAATGTTTATAAAACTTGTGTAGTTAACCCTTTAACTCCCGGATGTGATTCACATGTAACCTCTCCCCACAATATTCATCCACTGTCCAGCAAACAGGTAATGAGAATACTCAAATGTATCAGGTAGAAGTTGTTATCTTGATCTAACACCAAATTCTTGCAACTTATTTACAAGGAAATGTGTAGCAGCTTACCATCTTCCATTGTGGTAACGGTAACTGATGCACTTGTATCTCCCAGTCCCTCATCCGTCTTAGCTGTGACCGTCACGGTATAAGTAGAAAACTTTTTAAGATTCTTCAGCTGTGCGATAGATTTTCTAGCTCCTATCTTCTTCGTGTGAGCCTTTCCTGATGTGCCCCTATAGGTCACGTGATACCCTTTTAGAGAATCTGTGGGGGAGATGTAAACTGGGTCCCAGGTCACTGTCAAGCAGGTGGAACAAAGACTGAAAACGCGTAAGTTTTTTGGAGCCTTCGAACCTGAAAGGAAAAAATTGGCCGATTACCAGTCTGTATTTAAATGAAACGTAACAAAAGAGGAAGCTTTGAATTATGTTTTTCCTTTTTTTAATTAGGGGTCATGTATTAAGGACGAATGTCATACTATTGCAAACAAAAGTAAACACGTACTTCCAAATAGAAACAGCAAATCTAAGTGGACAGAATTTTTACCGATTAAGTCAACTCCAAACCATCACAAAGAAGATTCCTTCGTCCTATGAAATAGCGGATATGTTTTTCTAGGTTTGATCTTTGCAGTACGTAGGACACCTCAAACATGACTTTAAAGTTCAGTCTCCCATATCGACAAGTTCCCCGCAGCTCAGTGGGTAGAGCATCTGACCGCACCATGTTGCGGTCCGTGGTCAGGGTTCAATCCCTGGCGCGGGGAACTTGTCATTTTTGTCTTTTTTTTTCATTTTTCTCATCATATTTTTCTCCTTGCTGGTAACATATCTTTCATGTCTCTTTTAGTTGATACATATAACAAATATAATTGAATTTATCTATTCTTTTTGCTCACGATGTCAAATTGAGGAGATGCATTAGCGCACAAAATTCTTAAAAGTAAACACGTACTTCTGAATTGAAACAGCAAATTTAAGTGGACAGAGTTTCCTCTTACTAATTGAATCAATTCCAAACCATTGCAAAGGAGATTATTTTCGTCCTATCAAATAGCACATATGTTTCTAGGCTTGATTTTTGCAGTACGCAGCACACCTAAAACATGACCTTAAAGTTCAATCTCACATACTGACAAGTTCCCCGCAGCTCAGTGGGTAGAGCATCTGACCGCACCATGTTGCGGTCCGTGGTCAGGGTTCAATCCCTGGCGCGGGGAAATCTTGTCATTTTTGTTTCTTTTTTTTTTTCTCATTTTTCTCAGCATATCTTTCTTCTGGCCTATAACATGTCTTTGATGTCTATTTTTGTTGATATACATATCAAATGTCATCAAATTAATTTGGTGCTTTTCCTTAAGATGTCAAATTGAGGTAATGCATTAGTGCACAAATTTCCTAGAAAATAAAAGTAAACACGTACTTCTCAAAAGAAACGGCAAATCTAAGTGGACAAGGTTTCCTCTTACTAATCAAATTAATTGCAAACCGTTACAAAGGAGATTCTTTTCGTCCCAAATAGCACATATGTTTCTAGGCTTGACTTTTGCGGTGCGCAGGACACTTGATACTTGACTTTAAAATTCAAACTATTATACTGACAAGTTCCCCGCAGCTCAGTGGGTAGAGCATCTGACCGCACCATGTTGCGGTCCGTGGTCAGGGTTCAATCCCTGACGCGGGGAAACTTGTCATTTTGTCTTTTATTTTTTTGTAACATTTTTTTCACCGTATCTTTCTCCTTACTAATAACAAGCCTTTAATGTCTTTTTTCTTTGATACGCATATTATTTATCATCAAATTGATTACACCAGTTTTTTTTTTCTTCTGTCTTTTTTTTTTTGGCATAAGTTGTCATTTTTGTTTTATTTTTCATTTTTCTTATCATATCTTTCTCCTTGCTGATAACAAGTCTTTGATGTCTTTTTTTGTTGATACACATATCACGTATAAATATGATCGAATTCATTTCTTATCTTCGGTCGCGATGTCAAATTGAGGTTATGGATTAGTGCACGAAATTCGTAAAAATAAAAGTAAACACGTACTTCTGAATTGAAGCCGGAAATTTAAGTCGAAAGAGCTTCCTCTCACTAATTGAGACAATTCCAAACCATTGCAAGGAAGTTTCCTTCGTAGGACACCTAAAACATGACTTTAAAGTTCAATTTCACTTACCGACAAGTTCCCCGCAGCTCAGTGGGTAGAGCATCTGACCGCACCATGTTGCGGTCCGTGGTCAGGGTTCAATCCCTGGCGCGGGGAAACTTGTCATTTTTGTACTTTCCTTTTTTTCATTTTTCTCATCATATCTTTCTCCTTCCTGATAACACGTCTGTGACGTCTTTTTTTTTTTTTTTTTTTGATACACATATCATTTATCATCAAATCGATTACATTTTTTTGCTCAAAATGTCAAATTGAGGTGGTACACCAGAACAAAAATTACCAATGTACTGAAATAGGAAAGGTCATCCTCAATTGAAATGGAAAATCTAAGTGGACAGAGTTTCCTCTTACCAACTGAATCATTTGCAAACCATTACAAAGGAGATTATTTTCGTCCTATCAAATAGCACATATGTTTCTAGGCTTGATTTTTGCAGTACAAAGGACACCCAAACATGACTTTAAAGTTCAATCATACATACCGACAAGTTCCCCGCAGCTCAGTGGGTAGAGCATCTGACCGCACTATGTTGCGGTCCGTGGTCAGGGTTCAATCCCTGGCGCGGGGAACTTGTCATTTTTGTCATTTTTTTTTTTTTTTCATTTTTCACATCATATCCTTCTCCTAGCCGTAACAAGTCTTTGATGTCAGTAGTTGTTGATACACATATCATTTATCATCAAATCGATTACATTATTTTGCTCAACGTGTCAAATTAAGGCGATGCACTAGAGCAAAAATTACTTTTAAAATAAAAGAGGAAAGGTAATCCTCAAAAAAAAAGCAAAAATTCGTGGACAGAGTTTTTATTACTAACTGAATCATTTGCAAACCACTGCAAAGGAGATTCCTATTGAACCTATGAAATAAAGAATATGTTTCTAGGCTTGATTTTTGTAGTGCGAAAGACACTTAAAACATGACTTTAAAGTTCAATCTCAAAGCAGACAAGTTCCCCGCAGCTCAGTGGGTAGAGCATCTGACCGCACCATGTTGCGGTCCGTGGTCAGGGTTCAATCCCTGGCGCGGGGAATTTGTCATTTTTATCTTCTTTTTTATTATCTTTTTTTTTTTTTTTCCTTTTCATTTTTCACATCATATCTTTCTCCTAGCTGTCAGTAGTTGTTGATACATATATCATTTATCATCAAATCGATTACATTATTTTGCTCAACGTATCAAATTAAGGCGATGCACTAGAGCAAAAATTACTTTTATAATAAAAGAGGAAAGGTAATCCTCAAAAGAAACAGCAAAAATTCGTGGACAGAGTTTTTATTACTAACTGAATCATTTGCAAACCATTGCAAAGGAGATTCCTATTGAACCTATGAAATAAAGAATATGTTTCTAGGCTTGATTTTTGCAGTGCGAAGGACACCTAAAACATGACTTTAAAATTTAGTCTTACACGCAGACAAGTTCCCCGCAGCTCAGTGGGTAGAGCATCAGACCGCACCATGTTGCGGTCCGTGGTTAGGGTTCAATCCCTGACGCGGGGAAACTTGTCATTTTTGTCTTTATGTATTTTATTTTTCTTAGCATATCTTTCTCCTCACTGATAACAAGTATTTTTTTTTGTTGCTGTTGGTACACATATCATTTATCATCAAATTGATTACACGAGTGTGCTTGTCATTTTTTCTTCTTCTTTTGCATTAGTTGTCATTTTTGTTTTATTTTTCATTTTTTTTTATCGTTTCTTTCTCCTTGCTGATAACAAGTCTTTGATGTCTCTATATGTTGATACACAGATCAGACATCATAAAATTTGTGTCTGGTTTTTGCTCCAGACGTATGTCAAATTGAGGTGGTGCACCACAACCAAAATTACCTTTGTAATAAAAGGGGAAAGGTAATCCTCAATTGAAATAGAAAATCTGAGTGAGCAGAGTTTCCTCTTACTAATTGAGTCATTGCAAACCATTACAGAGGAGATTCCTTTTGTCCTATCAAAAAGCGCATATATTCCTAAGCTTGATTTTTGCAGTGCGCAGGACACCTAAAACTTGACTTTAAAGTTCAATCTTACATACCGACAAGTTCCCCGCAGCTCAGTGGGTAGAGCATCTGACCGCACCATGTTGCGGTCCGTGGTCAGGGTTCAATCCCTGGCGCGGGGAACTTGTCATTTTTATCTTCTTTTTTTATCTTTTTTATCTTTTTTTTTTTTTTTTTTTCATTTTTCACATCATATCTTTCTCCTAGCCGTAAAAAGTCTTTGATGTCTTTATTTGTTGATACACATATCATTTATCATCAAATCGATGACATTCTTTCGCTCAAGATGCCAAATTGAGGTGGTACACCACATCAAAAAGTACCTTTTACCCTAACCTACTGAGGTTATGTATTGCGGCGTACCGAAATCCTGACCAAAAGTCTCTAAACAGTTAAGAATAACACACGCAAAATACGCGTCGCAGCCTTCCCTGAGCAGCCCCTTTCCTCATCTTTTCAATGTTTAGCCTATTTTTACGTAAATTTTAATTTGGAAAGGATAAGTGAGTTATTTTCAGCAATTACATCGAGGTTAAGACTTGTACATCATTTTATCTGTAGTGACCGTGTCTTTCAGAGGCGTCCAAACCTCTGTCTCTGTAAACATTTTCGCTATCACAAAATTTATTTTACAGATAAGATTAGTGCTTTGAAATAACAAAACGTTCCTTACCATATTTGGTGGTGACTTTCTGCGTTCGACTGAGGACGCCATTCCTAATATAGCCCCTAACGCGAGTCAGCCCCGTCAGTTGCACCCCATAAGAAGTGTTCCTTTTAAGCCCCACTATGACCACGCTTAGCGTTGTTTGGTTTACTTGGATCACATGGTTGTCTTGGGACACACGAGGCATCCTCCAGTAAATGACGTAATAGCCTCTGAGCACTCCATTGACGTGTTCCTCAGGTATTGGTTCCCAGGCTACCCTGATTGCAGTGGAGTTGGTCGTCAAGGATGTTATTTTAGGTGCGACTGAAGGAACTGAAAGAGAGACGAGGTTATGCGAAGCTGATACATTGAGGGGAGGGTAGAAGGGACAGATACCCGTGGATGTTCTCTTTATGTTTTTCAGGACATTATAAGACTTGATAACCAGATGCTGTTCGTCAGATGAGCCTGCGCTCATCCTTCTTGGGAGGGGAATCGTTTCTTTGTTCCAGGTTTCCCTCAATCTCTGGAATCCAATACGGCAGCTTCAGCACTCGCTCGCCAAAAAAGCATACGCGCTGCAGGCCACAAAATTTATTGTAACTTACCAAACTCATCAGTCCAAACTTGCAGTGGTTGACTGGTGGGTCCTTCTCCCTGATTGTTATACCCCAGCACTGTGATCCAATAGGGAGTGAATGGCTGCAAGCCACCCAGCTCTAGTCCTAAAGCAAATACAGCTGTACAGTATAAAACGCTGTTGTTTGTATCGGCACGTTTGTAACAAACTTTGTAACCAAGAATATAGCCATTCCGGTGGTATCTTGGAATCTGCTCCCAGAATACAATGATGCCCATAGAGCTTGTGTTGTAGGCTGTCACGTTTGCAGGAGGAGCTGTGGGGACTAATTTAAAACACAAGAAAAAAAATTAATAATTATTAGTGTGAATCTTAAAGCACACTATAACAAACGCTGCGATCTGATTGGCTACCTTAATCACTTTTATTCCGTTTAGAACCGAGTAATGTGGGTGGTTTAACTGGATTACAGAATTACGTTGCCTCGCTTAACAAAAGTTCAAAAGAAAGAAGAATTAACCCACACTGAAGCAGCTCTAAGCATTACTTGAGTTCTTATCCGCCAAACACGCCCGACTACTTCAAAAATCACCTCTGCTATGTGGCTTAAATTTTAAGTAAATTAAGTTTAAAATAGACGCGACTGAACAGGCAAACCGGCGCCAGAACGCAGACGAATTCAGCAGTTTTCTAAGCATTAAAATTCCTAACAAATCTTTATATCCTGAATTTAAACAGCAACTTAGTTTTTCACCAAGGGAGGGTGAGTCGCGGTGACATTCAATTCCTTTAGCTGACAGAAATGTTGGCGAAAATCTTTATCCATGAGATAGATTTTTGTTACTGGATTAAATCGTAAAATTTGAAACTGGTTAGTTATGGTGCAATACTAGTACCGAGAAAATGAGATCAAGAGACTTATTCAATAGCGGCATTTCACACCAGGCAGTTTGTTACAGTCACTTGTCGCAGCGACGTTTTGGGACAAATAACATCCCTACAAAATTTGATTCGAGTTAGGAGAGCGTTATGCTTTGGCGAAAGAAGAGAAGAACTACATTTTTGTTCATAACGTCGCTGTGAGAAGTCATTATCCGTTCTTGAAATTGGCTACTGAAAAAATTTTCGTTCCGCGCTTTGCCTCCATTTGAATTGAAAATTTACTCATCCAGAAACATACCAGTTGAGAAAAGGGAACATCTTGCAAATCCACCCCCAAAAATAGCACTTTGCAATAATTAGTGTCACTATTGCGCGACTCTGAGGGCACAGACTACATTTGGTCCAAACACCAGCATTTCTCCTCCTACCCCCTCACCGCCCCCCATACCCTCCCCGCCCCCCATACCCTCACCGCCCCCATACCCTCACCACCCCCCATACCCTCACCGCCCCCCCCATACCTTCACCCCAAACAAAAGGGGAGACTTAAAACAACTTAATGTAAGTTGCAAGTTTTAGAGCGTGACAGTAACATGACTTAGTTCTTCATATGCCGTCACACACTGGCGTGACATCCAAAGAATGATTACACACGCTAGTGTGCTGCGACTTCTAAAATGCACACAGTACCTCCTTCCGGTGTCCAGACGTGAGTATATTTTGTGAATCCTCCCCAAGTGCCATTCACCAAACCTTTCCGTATACGAAAGGAATACTGTGTGTATACTCTAAGACCACGTACGGTAACATTGTTTGTGGTACCAGAGACAACCATGAAGGACTCGTCGGACTTCGCCCTCCATCTTAATTCAAAAACAGTGTCATTTGATGGAGATGTCACCTCCCAAGCCAACTTTACTCCTCTATCGCCAGTCACGTAACCCACAAAGTTACCAGGTGGCGAGAGGTCAAAAGCTGAAATTTCCCAACAAAAAAAGATCATCAAGTTTTATATGGAAAATGCCATAAAACCCTCTAAAATGTAGATTTACTTGGTACTTCGTATATGCTTGATTATTTTGATGTCGCTTATTGTTCGCATCAACTGCGCTTGCTCAGCTACAATCGCTTCACACTTTAACTCCTTACACCCTAAAATCAGTATGCATATTCTCCAAACTGTTCTATTAGCATTTTCTACAATGCCGACATGAAGAATTTGTCTAACAATCAAGGGCTTCTTTAGTTGGTGATCAGCTCCTTTATTCTCCTGACCTTCATGTTTGATTCAACCGTAATATGGTAGGGAGAAATTAGGCGCCGGTCACTCTTGGGGGTTGAAGGGTTGATCCCTAACATTACTCTGCACACTCTCCATCCTAGACACTGTTCTCTATACGTTTCCTAAGGTGCTTACGATGAGAATTTGTCTGACAATCAAGAGCTCCTTCACCTGGTGATCATTTTCTTTTACATCCATGCGATTCATAGGTGATACGAAATTAGATGCTTGTCACTCTTAGAGTCTAAAGGGATAATTAACTTTTATACACACATTTACCGACCGATCGGTCGATCGCGACCAAATGGTAGCGTCAGGTAAATTATAGTTCAGTTGTCTTTTGCTCATATCTCTGATTCTTCAAAATTCCTTGACAGCTCACGCAGTGCAAGACTCAAGCTCTCGACTGACGCTGAATTCTCAGTAAGGTCACTTTAAGACAAACTAATTATGACCTGCTAAGGCCGAACACGAGAGAGTGTTAAACATTTTTTTAAGCTACATATTGCGTTTCAGTTAAGCGTATTAGGCGAAATAAATATGTTTCATCAGTTGATACCTCTCACCAGCACAACATGACCTGGTTTATCCTCCATGAGTCATTTCAACTATAGGAGTACAAGCTTTCAAAATTTCGGAATCCAAATGTTACCTAAAACACGGCTAACGATGCAGACTATGTAATAAAACAACATAAATTACTTTCTCGGGCATAGTTTTGGTCCCGAGTCAATAGGCAAGGGTTTAAACGACTCTGAGTCGTGCCCTAAAACTGTCACTTTGGAGGGCATTGAGAGAAAAAAAATAACAACGAAACAGTCTCAACAATCAAGGGAGAGTGCGAACGGGCTGACAGCCAAAATCTCTATTTTAGCCCGCAAAATGCGTCACAATGCCCGTCAAAGAGATAATAATAAGAAGGCAACACACTCGCACTTTGCTTCATTAAAAAGGTGAAACTGTTTTTTCACAGCATTACAAAAATTTTAACGCGATCGTCACTCTCTAACGAAGCACGTCGTACAAATTGAAATTGCATTTTTTTTTACTGCTTTGAGATTTTGAGATGATCACTTAGGCCAAAATGAGTTATAAAGCATAGTTTTGGAATTAATATATACAAAACAGTTTCTCGCAAGGATTTGTTGCAACCTCTTTTTTTCTAGATTATGCTGGCCGTAATTGCAATCAGATCTCGCTTGAAAACATGAGTTTAGGCTTTGATAGGCAAATTGTCGCCGACAGACTTCCATGCGTGACTTTCATGAAGATTATCCTCTACCGAAAGAGGACTGGTTATGAGTAAGTTGCGAATTAGAAACACAGAGGTATTTTACGAGATTAATCTATTGTTCGGTTATTTTTTTAAACGGATAAATGCTGCTGATTCGTCCTGTTACAGAACAAGTTTTTCATTATTTCTCGTGATGGTTTATGAATTTCTCGACATATTTACTTTAGCTATCGATATCCAAAATATGACGTGCCAAAACCGCAAAATAAGGCACGCAAACAACAAACCTTTTTATTGTTAAACAAATTCTTCTTGTCAGTACTTCAGAATACGTATTGAGAGCGGTATGGATGATATGCATACTGATGTTAGAGTTAAACGAGAAAATATTTAAAAGCAATATCTTAACCAGATGTCTATTTACACCCCATCTCTCCAAATATGTAAATTAAATTAACACCATTAATTTTCACTCGTAGACTTTAACCCTCTATCTTCCATGAGCGACCAAAAAAGAATTTCTTCTTACAATATCAATACACTATCAAGCAGACAAGAGATGAGAATATAGAAAAATATCAGTTGGGTGTTATAAGTTGATCCAATACCAAACTCTCCAAACTAACATCACAAGAACTGAACGGAAGACAGTACGGAGAATTACTAATAAGATCTTGAGAGTTAGAACTTGACCCCGTTTCTGATTAATGACATCTCATCTCATCTCCTTCGCTGCGATTTTCAAAACTACCAACAAATTCTCAGCGTTCCTGGTCAAACAAGATAATCGTCGAGATCTTAAGACGCTAATCTGGCCGCCTCAGCGAGTGTCAGAGAATTTTCGTGCGCACGTGAAACCAGCCTGTTACTCGTCACTCAGTTACAATACAAAGTCGACCCGCTGCGAGTTTCCTGAATTTACCAGAAAATGATAAAGAACTTTTGCGCTCGGCAGCCCTTCGGCTAAATTACTTTCAGATAACGTCAATCTCCCTTGGATTGGGGTTTTATAGGGATTCTTCGCCCCCAGGAACAAACACAGTCAAACTACACAAAGTAGTACACTCGCTTAGTATTGTCACGCAACGCTTTAAGAGATGGTGTTGCGTGACAAGATCTTCCTTAATCCCCCAACCTATCCCAATCGAACACACCTTAATTAAGACTGTTAGGACCTTTAGAACTGCTACGCTGATGTTTTCCGTACCCTTTATACCAAAATTCAGCTAACGTCATTGCTGATATGCGAAACTTATTCAAAAGTTATTTTTAAATCAAACCAGCGTATAACTACTCAAAAAATTGTTGACGGATGCTTTTCACAGTTTTTTTTTCCTAATAAGATTTAGGTTTCTAGAACAAGTTGACCTACATTTTTCTTAAGATGTGAGATCAACCATTTTATTCCTAAGAGTGACTAGAATCAAATTTCTCCTCACAGTAGTAACCCTAAATTGATCATTAAGGATATGAGAAAGAGGAGAATGATCGCCGATTTAAAAAGCTCTTAATCATCACACAAATTCTCTCTTTCGTTTCCCTAACAAATGTTTAGATAATAGTATTGAGAATGAGCATATTAATGTTAGGGTGTAAAGGGTGAAAGGGGCAAATATTTCCTCTGCCTTCATACTTGAAATTGTAAAGCAATACACCCCAGCGAATGTCAAAATGCAAGCAACGTAAACCATGTGGGCATAAACCAAACAATCAGATCGCCAAACGTGCTCTGAAAGAAATATTATATTTGCTTTTTCCTAACGATCGGCTAATGATTAAACTAACAGACGAAACAACAGATGTTTACTTTGAAAGCAAGAACTAAAGACAATTGGAAAGATTGAAACGGAAAGATAAACATTACTGAAGGGTTTGTAACACTCACTAAATCGGGATAATGGAAAGTTTTTGTTGAAATCTAAAAACAACAAGTGAAAAATGAAAGCTGTAGAATTTGAAGTGACATTCGCAAATTCCTTCGTGATTACGCTAAGAACGGTTGGCTTGTGGCTGAGAAACCTGATGCTTCACACTATTATTACTAGGGATAAACTGTTCTTTTCTTGTCCTGGGTATGGTGTTATGAACAAAGCTGTTTATCCAATCCAACGGCCAAATTGCTCCAGTTAAATACGTGTAATTGGTTTGGTGAGGAAAAAAACACCGCCGGTTGTATGAAGATAAGAAAACGTGTAGAATAAACTTCTGCCCTGATTGCGAGAATGGTTTGACGTTAATTAATTTTTTTTGAAGAGACGTTTGATATTATTAGATTGTAGAATCATCACTTCAGAGGCTAAAGCCCCATGTACAAGTTATATTCCCTACTGTACAACCGTAAAGTGGTTACTTAACGCATAACGCTCCTGTTTGCAAGCTAGCAGCGGAAGCAGTAATGAACGCAGTATGTTTCTCACTCACCATTCACAGCCACTGTAATCCACAGCATGTGAAGGATAAGCCAAAAACGGTACATCTTCCTTGAATCTTGTCTTTAGGGATTGACTTCGATGCCTACCTGCGCGCAATCCTTACAACTGTCAGAACACGCACCAATATCGAGCATCACATCATGCGAAGACTTGTACACAAGCCATGCGTCAGTAGCACTATCCTAAACGTTTCAGCACAGAGGAAACCTGTTGAGGATACCAGCTCTCAGATGCCCAGTTCCTTTTCCCAGGTCAAGAGCAATTCACGGATTAATTTTTTCCTGTAGTGCAATGAGTTTGATCAACATGCCTTGTGTCAACTGCAGCTCTGTTTAGAGTTGAGTTTCCAATTAGGTGGTATATGACACCACAATTAGACTATCAGCTTACAGTTAACTGGTGAGAGTGCCTTTTACCGCTGTAAATTAACTAACCACGCGATTGTTTATAAACACACGCTGCTGTTCTTTTGCTATCTCATCAAGTCTCCAGGCAGGGGGCAGCAGTAACTGAGCTCCACAAGAAAAAGACAACGCGCTCTGCTTGAGATGATAGCAAACATCTCAAAGCTTGTTAACGAGTCCACTGTATTCTCCTAGTGAACCAAGCCTCGAGAGCATTCTGACATGACAGGATATATCTGTTTAAAGCAGTTTGAGAGACGCTTTACTGTTTTGATTTCTCTCTTCGTTAATCTTTGGTATTTGCGGTTTTTTAACCACTCAATTGCGGCATGGAGCTTTGATGTTAGGGATCTAACACGTTACAGCCTGTTTTGGTTCAACTGGCTTTTCTCTCTCTTAGGGAAAAAAAAAAAGAAAAAATATGAGTAACATCCTACTTCTGTAGCCCAGGTCTGAGCGAATCTCTTTCAGTCTAATTTTTTTTAGGAAATAACATACAATAAAATTCAGCACTAAGAACTTTGGGAAATATATAAAATAAAAACTCTCGATGTGTTATTTCGTCATCTTCTTCTTCTTTTCATTTGGAACATTTTCAGTCTCAGCCCAAAACTCCTTAAACTTAAAAACTCTTCTTTAGTTTCCTTTTAACATGAAGAAAGCCAAAAAAAAAAAAGGATATTCAGTACGAATAACCTTAGAACTAACAAGATGTACAAAGGAAGATTAGTTTTTTATATATTGTATTAAGATAATCGCGGTAGAGAAAGGGAAATTAATCTACGAAGAGTTTAAGATCATCCTTTTAACAGCTCATGAGATCGCCAAATTTTTCGAAGGCCAGAGAAACAGTATGCACGTTTTTGCCCTGTTTTTATTTTTGTTGCTGAAAGATATGGATCCGTAGGCTAAACCGAATGATAAGCATTTCACCCTGTTTTGTCTAAAGAGAAAGACTTTTAGGTGGGTGTCCACTAAATTTTCCAGACTTGAAGTTCTAATCGGAGATAAAAATCTAACTCTTTGAGAGAAATTAATTACTGTCGGCTGGTCATTGAGCGAAAACACATCGTGTCATTTTAGACCCTATCTTATCAGCTGAAAACTGCCGCAAAAAAGTTGACAAGGACAGCAGCTTCAAGGACTTAATTATCACTCTCGTCTGAAAAAATCAATTAATGTCCACCCCGCGACTGAACGAGAGCAAAACACGGGTATTGAGGGGGATACTCAACGTTATCAGTCCAAGGAACTGACACAGGAATCCCTAAAAATAACAGAAACAATGATCTTGCTCGTCACAAGGAATCAATTAGTGTCTCACACTGATAAGAAAACAGGTGTGGCCATGATATCTTGCGACTATGCCCCACTATCTTTGAATCTTAACACAACAGCAGTCTTCGATAACGCAAATTGAATTTCGTTGACAAAAATTACTTCAATGTCGGAAATCATAACACAATTGTATTTGTTTTCGAGTTGTTTGGGTGAATTGTCAATAATACCCATGCTTCTGTTGTTTGACATGTGTACAAAGTTTATTTTTCCCCCCAAACAGCAGAATACAAAACATTTATCCAGCTGACAGAAAGTCATGTCGCACATAAATGATAACAAATGATGCGCGAGCTTGTACAGGGCTGTTGTTTTAATGTTACAAGAGCGTCGCTTTTTCCGGTCGGAAAGAATTATAACGAGCTTTATTCTGTAATTTGTAGTAATCCAAGCCGTTTCAGAAGCTGAATTATTGCTGATTAGCCATGAATTTTCACCCTATTTTCTGTAACTTAGCCAGGATGTAAGTTTAAAACGTACGATCTTAGATAACCTACTGACCTGCGGAAAGGATTTTTGTAACACAACACGCACTCTGCGGTATGATCCTTCTCGCATATTTCACGGGTCATCACAATCAAATTTCCCGAATTAGTTCTTTGATTAGAGATGAATGCTGCGAAGGAAACGACTAGAATGGATGAGCCATTTCCGTAGATCAATCACATTTCCTGTTAGATTTTGAAGATTTTAGCCTACAATGCACCATATTCTGCTGCAACGATCACAAAAAAAATCATCAGCGGGGTCAAAGGGAACTGTGATGGGCGAACAAACCCAATTTGCAACTCATTTTCACACATTTTTGCGACGCGCTACTCTTCATTATTGATGAAAACCGTGCATGACAGATGAAAAGTCACAACAAGTTACGTAACCTTCAAAAAGAACATTAAAATTTGATCATGAACAGTCGACGGAAATTATTAAAAACAAGAGTTAAGCCCAGATACACCAGCAAGTCGTGCAAATATTGAAATGTATTTTTTGCCCGCATTTTATCATTTATTGGCGGAAGACGACTGTTCATAAAAGCTGCGTCCTTATTAACAAGCAAGAGCTCGCTAAATCCATGTATCGCACGGGGTGAAGAATGTTGTTATTTTGGCAAGGTTGGGTTTCTTACTCACAAATTTTCATTTAACTTTTTGGCTTGTCCGAATCGTCCCCAATCGTCTAAAAAAGGTGCGCGGCGTGCGGAGAAAGAGGTGAGGGAAAGACGACTGGGAGCAAGTCAGGGTTTCTGCTTTATTATGCTCCGAGAAACAAAGTCAAGATTAGATTGTTAATAAAAGAATAGATTAAGGAACAAAGGTCGAATGTTAGGCTATTCAAAGGTATGAAAAAAGATGAAGATATTACTTTAAAACCCGTTACCCTCAACAAGGAGAGGAGACCTTGAGAAAACCTAAATATGACGGATCAAGTCACGGGTTCGGAACCAAATCTCTTTAATTAAAAAAAATTACATTAAATAAGCACTAATTTATATAATTCCTCTACGATCCTGCTAATTCAGGGCATACAGATTTACCTTCCAATATCCATTCGTTAGCTTCGGTTGGCCCTAAAGTAATACTGTAGATATTAAGCTGTTTATGTAATAGCTTTTTTATAAAATATACTTTTAGACATGCTTTTCCATTCATCAATTACTGTTAAACATAACGAGCTTTTGTCGTATCTTCTCGTGGACTCTATCTGTGTTATAAATATCTATCTCCTCAAATAGTTTCATAGATAATTTTTCCTTAAGAAAAAAATGTAACCTAGAGTAAAATTTGACTTGAATTTTGTCCACAGTTTAACCTAAATATGTAACATATAACCAGCAACACACACAACTAGCTTTTCTTTGTTTTTTTTCTAAAAAAATCTATAATTTGTGTGTTAAGTATACAAGTAGTTTGACTATGTAACTATACGTCTGCATTGAATTGAAAAACATTATAAAAAAATATTATCTTTTTAACAACGTACAAAAGAGATCAAAATTTTCAGAACGCTTGGTTATTTGCCAGCAATTCTTGAGCTGAGTTCGCACTTTCTGACTTACTTCGATGTTCATTTTGCAATTTTGGGTTACAAGAAATGTTTCAGTTCTTTTTGATAAGAAAGGAATTCAAACTTAATAAATTTATCCTCAACTGCTGTGCAAGATAACTGACTGACAAACAAGTTGATTGTACATCCGATTAACTGATGACTAACAGACTGCTCAACTAACCGATTCATTCAGACTGACCACTGAACTAAGTAACTAACCCATTCAATAGTCCGACCGGCTCACCATGACGGACTTGCTAACTGACTACCTTGCAGACCGACCGACAGTTCGACCAACCAACACACTCACAGACCGCTCAACTGACCGATTCACTCAGACTGACGAACTAAGTAACTAACTACTGCTTTTACTGACCATTTAACCATCGTAGCGATGCCGCCGCACAATAAGGACCACTACTGCTTTACGATCCTTGAATGAATTTGAATGGGCCTCATTGGGGTGATGGCTTTTACGTCTAACGCTTAAAAAGTTGAGCCATTTTACGGCGATGGTTAACACAAAATGAAATAAAATGACACATTGCAGACAGCAAAAATTTTTTATGGTTAACATTAAATACCGCTTACGGCTAATAGTTAACCCCATTGAGACCCTCCCTAACCCTTTAGCTCCCAAGATCTCATTACTAACTCTCCTTACTGTCTGCTATACAGTTCTTGTGATGTTGCTTTGGAGAATTTGGTATTGGATCAACTTATAATCCCCTGTTTGGTATTTTTCTTTATTCTCATCACTTGTCAGCCTAATATTGTACTGATATTGTACTGATATTGTACTGATATTGTACTGATATTGTACTGATATTGTACTGATATTGTACTGATATTGTAAGGAGAAATTCTGTCTTGGTCACTCATGGGAGTTAAAGGGTTAAATAGAACCTGAAAACTCCTTTACATAGGATAGCTTTTTGTAAACTTAAAACTTTCGCAATTTTTTGCAATTTTCTAGAGTTTTTCTTTTTTTAAGTTTAACTGTAGAGATCTATGAAATATGCTATATTGTAGAAAGTAGGTTAAATATTTATCTCTTTCATATTATGAAGCACTTAGGGGATTGCAAGAAGCGCTATGTAAATTGTAACTATCATTTGTATCGAGCAGCAATTTACTACTAACAACTATTTCAAGTTGACGCTTCAACAATCTGCAAAGTTTGAGTAGGCGTTAAAAGAATCCAGGTAGGCTAAAATTGTCTTGTAACAGAAAACATAACGATCCTGAAAAATAAAAATTAATAAAAAGAAATAAAATAGAATACGTGATTGGGAAACGCTGTTCATAGAGTACAAAATTTAAAAGTTGAAGGTCCAGTGCAGTTTACGTCCGTAATGAAAATACTGTTTCATAGACATTCATACTCTCCATACATGATATCATCCACAAACGAATTCACTAAAAATTTCTTTACAATTCTTTATAATTCACGATGAAAATACAGCACGCGCTTAAAATTAAGTCCAGGGAACGGACGTTCTAGGGACGATGTTTTCAAGAGAGAGAAAGAGAGATAGAAAGAGAGAGTTCATTGTGCATAGTATTTATGTATAAAAAATAACATCTCATATTTTGCCAAATTTCTTGATTCTTGTATGTTGATCAACGTAACAAAAACTTTGTGGTTAAAATTGTACCCGTTCCCACGATTACAAACGAAAGCCAAAAAAATGTAGACAGTGATTCAACTGGTCTACAACGTAGTAATAAAAATAAGTTACACCCAGGCCAACAAGTAAGATTTTGCCCTTATATCGTCCCTTTATAAAGATAAAATGTGAATAAAAATGGTGCTTATCTTACCAGAGTGTTCACAGCACCAGGCCTTTTAGCCCGAATCAGTTTAATGGTTTGGAAAACATCAACTGTTTGTTCAATCTTGACTCGTTCGATCACTGACATTATGGAAGCTACACAGCCGCTGCGACCAATACCATCACTACAAAAGTAGTAACATTACCATTGCGTTATTATCAAATATAAGAAGAATTTTACATGGAAATTGAAAATTGAACCCCGCTCGATGAAAACAACTTTAATCAGATACAATGACGTCTCCATCATGGATACTTACTCTGCACCCTGGACGAAATGAAAATGAGCAAGACTTTTACACTAATTAACATGTTCAAAATGTAATTCCAAATCCAGAACAGTTGTGATCAAGAGATCAAGGAATTAGCGCACTAAAGTCGCTCATGATAGTTTCATTACGTTCCTTCCAAATCAATCCAAAATCCATCACCTGTTCTCAAGTGACCTTCCAAAGACGTAAAGTGATAGTTTCAATTTGTACTCTGCACAATGATGCAGACACTAGCAGATAGTGGTAGACTTAAAATCTTCCTTTTACCTGCACTGGAAAACTATGGCGCCATTTCCTGATTGTTGCTGAGACTGTTGCACAGCGGTCAATAGGTCGATTATTTCCTTGGAGTCTGGGCACGAGTCTCCGTTGACCCACCCTGTAAAGTTGATATGCTGTACAGTTGTTGTCTTCTGGGGAGGCTGAAGAAGGAAGTTGAATTGTACTTAAAAGCTGTGACTTGAAACAGTCCTAAAGCTATTTCAAATGCAGCTCATTCACAAGTGATCACTCTATATTGCATATATCATGAACCGTCGTCTGCATCAATATCATAAATGTCATTATCATAACTAAAATGTTATCATAAATTCAACTTGATTTAAGCCAAGCATGGAAGTTACACAACAAGATAGCTCAATTACGTATCATGGAAGTTACAAATCGCGATATCTCAATTATGTGTGATCACTTCTGAATCACTATTTAGATATATTGTCATTATCATCATCGTCATAATCATTATTAGCAAAAAAAATTATCATTTCAAGAACATGATCTTGACTTCTACGTATATCGACAATGGATAAAGTCACAGAGATACTTTCGTCCAACGCTAAATCTTAAATCATCAAAGCAGTATAACACTCCTAGATGAGTCTCACCTCATTATTTATTATACTAAATCGTCTTGTGGTGATGTTGTTTGAGGTATTTTCCGACAAAAGTTGTACAGTGATGTCTCCATGCCTGGCTGATCCTTGACCCGGCCAATATTGTGGGTAGTTCTACGAAAGATAGAACAAAAGAAATGCAGTAACTGTCAGGTCGTTCATTCCACCAACGAAGACATGTGAAGTAGTTTGTAACCTTAATTTCTCTTGCAGAAAGAATCGCTCCCTGGTGTTTAACTGCACCCCTATTTGGTTACAAATGAATAAATAGGGAGTTTTTAAAGAAGCTGTGGTGCTGCGTCGGTGGGAGACTATAACAGGGAAATTTGGTTTTATCAACTGAGTTGACAACGTAAATTGGCCTCTGTAAAGAGTTTCAAAGCTGACGTTTCGAGCGTTAGCCCTTCGTCAGAGCGAATGAAACTCTTTACGGTCAATTTACGTTATCAATCCAGTTGATAATACTAAATTACCCTTTTCTGTAACAACTTTCGTTGCTTACAGTTTCCTTTTGGAGCAACAAGGCAAGACGGAGTCCAAAACACGTGTACTCGTTTTTATAATATTATTCTTGAAGATTCATCGGATATCTTTAGAGATTACTAAACTGCTTATTGAAAGAAGTTGCTCTTATGTTAGAATTATAGATGAAATACCTGTTTTCCTTCCTTCAAGTTATTCAACATCACAACTGTACCAATGTTATACTGTGATATCATCCGCCAGAAATCTCCTATAGTGTTGCCTAATGGAGCTTGAGTCAGGATGTAAGCGTTACGTTCCTTGTAGTCCTGGTAACGGACGAAACGAGATCAAGATCAAGGAAGGATTAGTTCTAGAACCTATCCACGTGTACATCACGGCACGAACCCCACAAGAATCTAGATTTCTAGGAAACTAGAGGGTACACTTGTTTCGTAACTTTTGTAAAAGCCCTTATTAAACGACAAATATGTCCTATTTATCTTAATGTAACATTTCCAATGCTAAACTATGGCTCTCAATTAAGTGTCCGGAACAGCGCTTTTTAGTTTAGTGAACCAAAATCAGACTATTCACAACAGCAAACCAGAAAAGAATAAATTTGATTTGTTAATAGGGTGGCACGTGTTTTCTAAACTGATTGACTGGACTGAAATATAACTGATATACTTACATCAACAAACGAAGCATTGATGTAATCTTGGTCTGGTTGAGTGGACATCAAGCGGACTCGAGCAGTATCCACTGACGAATAAAAAAACAAACCGCAACCATACTTAATAGATAAACGACCTTCTTTTTTTTTTTTTTTTTCAAAAGAGGAAAATAGACCAAGCAACAAGCACTATCAACTCCTGACCGTGACTTTTGGATTGCAATGGGCAACACTTTTTAAAAAATTTTATACCTGACTGAAGAACTATATTAATTATGGTTATACAGGAAATTTAATATTATGAAGATTGCTAAACAAGACACCACTTACACGGAAGAATATTGGGAAACCTGTTCTTGTCGATGTTCGAAGGTTGAGAGGCTGTTGTTGTTTCTTCAGAAGACAGACAGTCAGTGACAAACTGCAGACGCTAAAACACAAACAATGTTTACTGCTGTATTATTGTCGAGAGATACTATTTTCTCTTGGCATCGTATGTGAAATAACCAATAAAGGAACCTCTCCCTTATCAGTCAACTCTCAATAAACAGGCATTTTCTTAAAAACCAATACATGAGAAGTTCTCAAGAAATGCAAATTGAATTCCATCATGCAACAAGAGTGAATAAAAGCGATAGCATGTAACACTTTCGTTGTAAAAGTGCTGCTAATGTTACTCCATGTAAAAATGATGAAAAACTCAAGTCTTCAGATCAGGATTTCACTGAGAGATCATTGTGTTTAGGTGAAATGTATAATAGTCTCCGTTTACCTTAAACTCCGCGCCAAAACCAGTGTTTTTAGAAGGTGAAGCAGCTCTAGATAGTTTGTTAATCGATATTCGTAAGTCCTGAGGAGCAATCTCTGTATTCCCACAGGTCAACGCTTCCACCACAGCCTGATGCAAAAAGACATACTGATCCTACAAAGAAACACAAAGTCGTTAACCCATGAATAACCATTTTATATACCTATACGCAATATAATTCATCAAATCTGGTCTCTGATACTTACGTCTTTTTGAACCATATGAGGACGGGATCTACGCATCACTTGCACATAATTACTAATGAACACAGTTTTAATCTTCTCGGCACCCTCCAACATGGCATCAATAGCAATGTACGTACCAGTTCGACCAACGCCAGCACTAAATAAAAAGAGGAGATGCTTTGTAAGAATTTAGAACGAAGATCTAAGGGTAGCCTTAATGCCTCCCTCCCCTTGAAAGTTATAGGGGGTATGCAGATTAATTAATTAAAGTAAAGGGCAGGGTTTGTCGTCCGAACGAAGGCTGCCACAATTCCGCTAGACGGGGAAGGTAGTATTGAATATCTACTAGCCTTGACATATTTTTGGCTTATTTAGGCTCTAGTGTGTAAACATATCTGTATTTTCTGAATAAAACTTTAGACCCCCTCCGCTCAAAAATTTCTGGATCCGCCCCGGAGACAGGAACGGTCCATTTTTTCCAGCCATTTCTTAGGATAAAAGAAGGAATCAAGTCAGATAAATCCAGTGAAGGGGGTACCATAATACCTACTTGCATTATTTCACAAAAAGGCACGGAAAAAGGAAAAGTTTAGCTGTTTCTTCATCTTCGTTTTCTTCGCCGACTACAGCTGAGCGTCATCTCTTGTCTTACGACTCTGCATTACTAATCATAGATTACTCGGCAAAAGCTTAATTGCAAAATTTCCAACAAGAACTGAACTTAGGGCATGGGATAACGCCATTTAAGAAGTAACAACCTTTAGCTATCTACCTGCAATGCACAACAAGTGGTCCACCAGTGGCCTGGTGTCGAGTATGAATCTTGTATCTAAATCCAAGCAAAGCTGAAGAACGCGCAGGAACACCTCGATCTGGCCAAGTAAGGTAGTGATACTGCTGTACCTCACGTTTCTCTGAGTCCTGAAAATCAAACTCAAGTGTTAAGATAACAGCTGTGATTGTGGATATTTAAATAAGAACATGACACTCTGAGCTGCTGTAATAAACATTTTTCGGCAGATGCGTCTGCTATCTTCAATGTATGTTGAAAAATGAAGAATTAACAACAGTAACTAAGAAAAGTATCCGCCTACGCGTTGTTCGTAAATTATCTAAAATATAGAAGATAAATCATAAAATGCAGAGCAAAGTATCTGTAAGTCTTCTTACTTTGACAAGTATAAATGTCCGAATAATGTAATCGGCAAACACTGCAGTCTTGCGTAGAGTAACTGTAATGGCTCCAAGCTTAGAATTACTCTCTGGCCAATATTGCTCACACTTGGTCTGAAAAGTAATACATTGCGGTGCTTTCATAATACATGCGCTAATCGAACCAATGTTCTCCATCACAACAATCCCACGCCCCTTCCCACCCCCCCTCCCCCGAAAAAAGAAGTGTTGGGAGGGGAGAAAGTATTACGTGACATCTCGGCTGCGAAGTGAGATTTCCAACCCATGACCTTTATGAGTGTCTGTTGAGTGTTGTAACGATCTTTTTTCACTCCTGAGCACGTGTACCCTCACCATTTCGACATGCGTAAACACAAAAAAAATGATTATTTATTCATTTATAGACTTTTTCCTTCACAGGGATGGAAAAAGTCTCAGAAAGGCAAGTTAGCCCCCCTCTATAAACAGACATCAAAATTTAGCATGACCAAGACCAGCGTCGCAATAAAATTTCAAGTTCGCGACCACTTTCTTGCCACATCACCGCGTACAAAGTTCTTCTTCGAATTGTTTAAAACAGAATTGGTACTATACTAATCAGAATTTGGCGCAGCTAAAGTAACGTAAAAAGTTTGCGTGCAGCGTATCCAGGATAGGTGTCAATTGGGTTTAGAAAACCCAACCAAGATCTTGAAAAGTTGGAAAACGCAAAATTGGCATACCTTCCCCAGTTCGACCAGGTTTGTCAGCATGACGATGGTAGAACAATTTTCCTGCCAAATCATTCGCCAGAAATCATTAACTGTCACACTATTTGGACCTAAAGGAGTATTTTTTTAGAATCAAATTAGAGAGGCAGACACGTTTCTTTAGATGTGTTAATGAGCTTGGCCAGCAAAAAGAAATCTTCACAAAACAACCATGGACAAAATGGTACAGCTTGATACAAAGTCCTTATGGTTTCTTGAATAAAAATGATTACCTTGTGTGGCGATGTAACACATTGTTTTCTCGTCATATGTCTGAGGAAAGGAAATTGAACGCAAGAATGAAAATTAATGGCGGATTAAAAAAGACACATCTCTTTTATGGTAGACTTTCCTCAATGAAACGCTTCTCTTTATTGCCATTTGAAAAATGGTAACAAAAAGAGTTGTAAAGAATCCGGAACTGAATCGGGTTTGTTTTTAGGACTTTCCCTAAGTACGCGCTGTGATTGGCCAAAAACATTGGCATCGTTTTCTCACACAATCAGATGTTAAATTGAAAACTATTATTCCTAGAATAAATAGAATGAGAGAGATGGCAAGTTTTGAGCTCGGAAAAGAAATGGAGAAGGAGGTTTTTCATCTTGTCACGAGCGTGAGACAAAGAAAAGAAATCTGATTCCCCATGAGGAATCGAACCTCAGATCTTCGGATTTCGCGCTCCGATGCTCTACCACTGAGCCACAGAGATACTACGGTGAGCGTGGTCTTTCTCTCTTATTCTGTCATATGAACTTCATAATAGACCTCGCTCATCGTAGAGTCTCTGTGGCTCAGTGGTAGAGTTACGTCTTGTCATGCTCGTGACAAGACGAAAAACATCTTTCTCTATTCCTAGAGTAGTTTTTCCGCGCTTTAGTAGTTAAGTAGTTTACTCATAATGACTTTGAGTTCCTATTGACTCTTTTAGATTTTTCCCACGTTCTGATTGGCTCCTTAAGATTTTTCCCTTGCTCTGATTGGTCGTCGCGTTGACTTTGGATTTGGTTTCACGAAACTTAATGGAAAAAACTCTGCATGTGTATTTACTGGGCTACTTACCGGGATGTAACTAGCGTTAATGTAGTCAGATGTTGGATCGCCTTCGATTTTTTCCAAAACAACACGAGAATGATCATCTGTTAATGAACAAAACCTCTCATTAAAATGGGTTTTGAGTGGAGCTCTAGGGATCTGAGACAAAGATATGCAGGAGTTCAAAACGTTCAATACGCACTTTGTCACAGCAAACTACACGCTCGAGTTAGCCTGTGTTAATTACGAGAATGTCAGTTAGCTGAAGTCAAAAAACGAAGATAAAGATGACCTTGGCAATGAAGAATACGGTCATAAGTTAGTTGTGAGTGTAAGACAGGAAAATAAGCGAGAGAGGGAACTTACGCGACTCGTTTTTGAAGCAGATATCGTCAATTAAGATTTATATATAAAGAGAGTACGTTTCTACAGAAACTGGTGCTGCGTCGGTGTCGGCGACTCATTTCTGAAGCAGATGTCGTCAACTACAATTTACGTATGAAGAGAGTAAGTTTCTAGAGAAACTGTGGTGTTGCGTCGGTGTCGGCGACTCGTTTTTCAAGCAGATATCGTCAATTAAGATTTATATATAAAGTGAGTAAGTTTCTGAAGAAACTCTGGTGCTGCGTCGGTGTCGGCGACTCGTTTTTGAAGCAGATATCGTCAATTGGGGTTTATATATAAAGTGAGTAAGTTTCTATAGAAACCGTGGTGTTACGTCAGTGGAGAGTATAACAAGATAATTTTGGTTTTATCAACTGAGTAGATAATATAAATTGGTCATATGCTCTGACGAATGGGTATCGCTCGAAACGTCAGCTTTGAAACTCTTTAAGGTGGCCAATTTACATCATCAACTCAGTTGATAAAACCCCAAATTTTAAGATTAACTAAACTATACATGCAAAAAAAAATTGGTTCTTTGAAACAACTTATAAGACGACAGATGCACCTACCAATGTAGATGGAATCACTATTGACAACTTTTGCCTTCTTTATTACATAAGACAAACAGATTACATTTTGCAGTACCTCTGTCAAGTAATGTATCGCAGACGACGTCAAAATGTGGTAACATCATCTGCAAACACTCAACTAAAAACCAATTCTGGTTTTCCCCCGCTGAAAGTAGTTTGCTCGATCCAATTGGCTGTTGTAATTAATTCGTTTAGGTTTTGGTTTACGGAACTCAATCAAAATGAATGCACACTGTTTAGCAATTAAATGAATTACTTACAAGTAGTTATGTTTCCATAACGGTTCTTAGCTCTGTTATTCTTGCCAACATTCCAGGACGCCTGCATTCCTCCAGGAAATTGCTGGATAATAATCAAGAGTTCATGACCAACATAAAATTCCATTGGAACTTATTGCGATGTATTGACTAGACATTGCTTTTCACTTTATAAGTTAGCTCGTAAAAACAACTCACAGTTCGAGGAAAAGTAAGCTCCAGAAATCTTATTATTTATATATCCAACATTAAAAACTATGTCTGAACCTGTGACACCGCCCGCGTGTTGAGATTCCAAACAGAAATCTCTCCTCTCCAGAATGGTCTTTAAATGTGCCGAAAGTTTCATTAGGAAACAACGCGATTGAAAAAACCTGCTTTCCACTCCGGCCGATTACCTACGCCACAGCTACGTCTTAATTATCTTTTTTTTTTCGCCCCTTTGAATAATTTGGAGCTATTCTGAAGTAAATTAATGATTTTCTTTCGATAAACAGGGCAACAGATGTCTCGTTTTGAACCGCGAGTTGTGGTTTAACACATGGCGGTGTCCAACGAAAATTGACTTTTGATTTAGCTCTGTCTACTAAGCAGAGCCCATAATTTCTCTGTGAAAAATAATGATGCCTTGAGTTTTGAAAGAACTATGGCATTACATATCTTACCTTAAATTCGTCTCGCAGCACAATCGCTCCATTTTCTGATTTTTGCTTATAGTATGATGGAAACTCATTCACTGGAATTGGTTTGGGTTTACCATCCTCAGGCTGACTGTAGACAAGTTCCTCATCATCGGGCGGGGATGCATCCACAGCATCTACAAAAAAAAAAAAAGAGTTCAGAGGTCGTAAGATAGAGTAACACTTATATCATTGGTTGAAAACTCCCTTGGAAGGTTTGGATTGGGATGTGCACATAGGTTGTTCATATCTGTCAACCAGGAAAGTGCGCGTGACCAGTTGTTGGAGTAGTCTACCATACTTCTTACAGCGGATTTATCCACCTTTACATTAAAAATTTTACGGGAAAGGGTGAACGTTTTCAACTGACTCTTCAACATGAGGAGAAGGGGTCATTTTTAATTTTAACAAAGAAACTACAATTGATTCTGTTAAGTTAGGGTCATTACTGAGACCTTAAACTCCCATAGGTGATGAACATATAATTTCTCCAAGCGATTCAAATATGTTATCTTGCTGACAGGTTTTAAGGATAAACAAGTTTATCAGCTGGAGGGTTTCATCTTGATAAACCTCAAAATTCACAGCTCTATATCTCCAAGGAAATGTATAGCAGTCAGTAGGGAGAATTACCAATTCAATCGTGGGAGCAAAGAGTTAAACCAGTCACTGAGCTTGGGTAATAGTGTCACTGGATTTGGTAATAGTTTCGCGTGAAAGATCAGATCTTAGAAATCACGAGGGAGACTTCGTAAAGAAAGATGTTTTTTCGTCTAGTCACGGAAGAAAGAAACAGAGTCTAATCCCCATGAGGAATCAAACTTGAGGCGCTCAGATTCTGCGCCCTAAAGCTCTACCACTGACCAGCATAGAACTTTATGGTGAGCTAGTGTTCATTCAGGTGTGACAAACGTCCTGGCATAATACTAGCATTGGCAATAACGAAGGCGACGTGTGAGTGCATCGAACAAAAAGGACAGTACATGTTCATGTTCAAACTGATTAAAAGGAAGATTAACTGGAAATAAAAAAGCAAAATAGAGGGATGGGAGGGTTTTACAGACGTCGAAGTATACCAATCCGGTTAAAAGTTTGGCATTCGTCTATAACTAGACACCTTACCTGAGCAGATGGTTTGATCACAAAAGGGTGTTCCTAAGATTCAGTTTCTGATGACATAAACCACACAAGGGGCACGTCACTGAGTTAAACGTTTATCATACCTTGCTGTTGTTGTTTGTCAGCGCGAAAATTCAGGTTTTCATAAACTGCTCCGGTTGAGCCAGGAACTGGACTATTCTGGATGTCATTTAGTGGAACTGAAAACTTATCTTTATCACTCTCCTTTTGTGATTGCTTCCTCCTATTAATTTTTTAAAAAAAAAAGAAGGGTAACGAAAGGTGTGGTTGGTTTTTGTCACGAGCGTGAGGTATCGTAAAAATTATATAAGCTGAATCATGCACGCCTTTTGATTGGTTCTTATGATCTGTTGGAGGACAGACGAGGAGGTGACGTTAACATTAACAACATTCTGATTTGTTATCATATGAAACAAATAGATTCCAAGCTGCCATGAGTCTCATCAGGAATAGATCACAGATGACGTCAAAATGTGGAAGAACATCAGTGACACGCTTGGTTGCGCCTCGAATGCCACTTTTTCGTTTTTACCACATTTTGATGTCATCTGTGATTTATTACTGAACGACACACGGCAACATAGGTTATAACTGTTAACCAGATCCCCCTCTAGGAAGTGAACTCCATATTTACGCTCCGATGCTCTACCTCTGCTATAGAAAGAACTCAAAGGTACATAAGGTGAGTCACAATTAGCTTCATATGTGATCAGCGTCCTGCATATTGCTGGGAACAGCAATGTCGAAAGTGTAAGGTGAGTAACGAGAGGAAGAGTGAAGTAAAGAAGTATACTCTTAGAGGGAATTTTAGTCGTAATATGAACCTTTCTATTTTACCTTTTTCCCTTTTGACGGAAAAACTACACGTTGTATACCTTTTTCTAGCGGTACTAACTCACCTTCGGTAAAAGAACACCGCAACAACAACTGCTGGAATAAGGAGTAGCAACAACACCACAGGTACAGCAACAGCTGCGGCGTTTGGACCAGAACCCTCGGATTTGTCATTTTCTCCTACCACTGAAAAATAAAATAAAATATAAAAACATTCACTTTTGAAAGAACTACTCTGAAGTAAACTCAAAGTTATACGGAGAATTGGTACTACATTGATGATGAACATTATTTTCAATTCCTTTTTCTTCTTCTTTTCCAAATAAAGTGTATATCTCGAGACTTTGGATCACTACCCTTTATCGGGAACTAATGTTTAAAAAACATCAATTATAATTGTTTTTTTTCTCTCGGCTTGCCCCTAAAAGAAAAAATTTTGTAAATCACTTTTCGCGACTTTCCTCGTCTCAGACTCGAATACCACGGGAAAAAACTATAAATGCTTGAAATATTATGCACTTTTATTCATATAATCTCGTTTTCCACGTTTATTCTCCAGACCGGTTCGCACTCTGACTGCGAGAAACATTACCAACAAAAATAAGATGCGATGTCACAGATAGCCAATTCTTACTATTAATTGACAAGTGAACATGTTCCGATTGAAACAAAGATCAGAACTCTACGAAGTTTGCCACAAGGTCTATAAAAAGTATTTCCCTTTTTATGAAATAACGTCATAACGTAAACAACGTTAAGAAAGGTAACGTTTACCTGCTTCAACAGAAATCTTAGCGACTCTGCTGACCTCTCCATAAACGTACTAGAAAGGACATGAAATTCATGGAAATTAGTATCAAATTTCTTTTGCGACATAAGTAACAAATTTGTCTTTTAGAAAATTAAATACTGTCGACTCGCGCCACCTTTTCAACCAATCAGATTCAAAACTTAAACCCCTCGTGGTTTGGTCACTCGCGTTTTCCCGCGCTTCAAGCAGTTTGCTTGTTTTCACTTTGAGTTCTTATTGGTGTATGATAGTGTAAACCTTATTAACGATTGGTCGCTGCGATTACTTTGCTTTTGGTTTTTCGACACAATTGAATACTGCCCTATATACACGTAGTGTAGATCATGATTACCAAAATTCACTTACACCATTGACATTTGTTATGGCTCTCTGATAAACAATGTAGTTATCTCCTCTCTTAAGTTCTTTGTTTACAAAAGGTCCGTATGAATTTTCATCACCAACGGTAAACTTCCAAGGCTTCTCGTATAATGGACTGTTCTCTATCTCAGCAGCAACATAAAAGGTCAATCCGTCTTTGTTTGAACCATCCAGCTGTGATTTATAATCAGTGGGAAGCTCCTCAACACCATCAACAACTCTCAGAACAATGACTTGATAAGCACTGGAATATTAAAAAAAAACAATTATTAACAATCATTCGCCAAAGTGGAGGCAAGTATCCACCACTTTCACCGACACTGACGTGAATACTTGTGCTAGTATATAACACACAAATACGAAAAACAAGTTTATTTCTTTTAGGATACCGAAAAAAGGTCGGAAATAAAACTCTTGACTATTCACTTCCCAACTAGCCGATCAGTACGGGCAGAGGCACTATTCACCGGAGTGGTGTATACTAACAAAAATTATTTGGATCAAACGTCACAGAGATCACTGAAATATTAAGAACAAAGAGTTTACATGAACAAGATCTCAATTATTATTGAAATAACAGTCACCTTATTGGACCATTCCTTTGTTCTGCAGGCCAAAGTTCAATTTCAGCCTGCGACCCAGCGACCTTCCTGGTGGTCAGTGATGGTACAACTGGAGCCAATGGCTCTGGGAAGAAAACAAATATAATAACATGATTCGCAAAATATTTACATCAATTTCAAGATGCATATTCTCCATACTGATCCCATACATTTCCTAAGGTGCTAATAAGGAGGATTTGTTCAACAATCAGAAGCTACTTTAGTAGGTGATCATTTCCTTTATTCCTGTGACCACATTGTGTGATTCAGGGATGATATTGTAAGGAGAAATTAGATGTTAGTCACTCTTGGGGTCAAATGGTTACCTACATGTTATTGCTTACCTCCTACTTTCGTTTTTACTTCCAAAGATGAAGAGAATCCGTTGTTTCCACATTTTGAGATTCCATAAACCCGAAGGTCATATTTGGTACCCGGTACCAAGTTAACAAGGGTATATTTTGTTGCTCCCTGTACATCTTTGCTGCCTTCGTGTGAAAAGCTGTTGTTGTAAGACTTTTTCCCAGAGTACTCAACCTTAACAATCAAACAATTGAGTCAAATGCAGATACAGTAAATACCACACCTGCACTAATTTATTTACAAATAAAATCTCCCACGTGGACGTGCATTTTCATGATCACAGCACAAAACAAAAAAACCTTATTTTATAAAGGAGTTGTGGCATGTACATGCAAAACAACATACAGCTGTGCATGTACATATAACTCCTCTCACTTATTACAGTAGCTGCTCCCACATGGTAGTCATACTGATGGTACCAGTACTCTAGTACACTTATGCATCATACTCATTATGACAGAAGTCATTTCCATCTGTTCTCCTTGAACCCTTTAACTCCCATTAGTGATCAAGACAAAATTTCTCCTTACAATATCGATACAATATCAAGCAGACAAGTGATGAGAATAAAGTAAAATATCAATTATGGGATTATTAGTTGATTCAATACCAATTTCTCCAAATTGACATCATAATAATTGTATGGCAGACAGTAAGGAGAATTACTAATGAGATTTTGGGAGTTAAAGGGTTAAAAAACACTCTTTGGGTTATGAATTACAAAAATCACAAAAATAGTAGTTTAGGATTCTCAGATTCAAAGAGTTGTGTACAATTGTGTCAAAACCCAAGTTGTTACAGCAAAGTACACTGAAAAAAAGAAAGCAAGCACTTCACCTTCCACTTTTCTTCCATAGCAGGTTGGGGTCTCACCCATTCCAGTGTCATCTCTGTGGACTGAGAGTCTGTTGCCCTCAGGTTGTTGGGTGCCTTTGGTACTTTGTCATATTAGGAAGTAAAGCAATGTAAGTATCATAGCCTTTTAAGATTCCAGAGTAAGTTTCTTCTTTTGTGTATTCAGTATATGCACTCTTTTTAATTTCCTATTTTTTCTGTACTTTTTTTCTTTGTATGATAATAAATGATAATAATAAAAGTGAATGTGGAAAAAAATGTACAGTCAATTGCAGTGATAAGTTATAAGAAACACTAGGTGCATTTTGAATATCTCTCCCTATTCAATATATCAATTTCCCAGTTATTAGCCAAATGAAGCTACAACCAAAGAAAACCAAAATACCTCCATTTTCTTACTCTTACTATGATTTTGAATCAGTTTAAACATTAAGCTTCTATGCAGTCTAAATTAATGAATTCAAAGAAAAAATTTGCATGCTCTAATCTGTTGAAAAAAAATGATACTCACGTATTTTCAGAGGTAAGGGTTGACTATATGGTCCAGGGCCAGCTTTGGTGTATGCTCGGACAGACACACTGTATCCTTGAACAGACACATTGTAACAAAGCTGAATATCATACAGGACAAAAAATGCTCTCGTTGTGTTAACAGTTTTGCTGTTGGCTGGAGATCTCTTTTGTCTACTTCCTGAAGACACCAATGATGCCTTGACCTCATATGAGATAACTTTGCCGTAACTCTCTTTCCTAGGTGGAGGTGACCATGAAATATTGAAGGTTGTTTGGTTCAGTGAACTGAAAGACACATCATTTGGTGCTACACTGGGTTCTGAAAAAAGGAAACAAAAACATACCAATTCAGATAAGTGATCAGCTGTCAGCCATTGAACAAAAAATTTAATGACTATTTCTAGAATAATATTTGATCAAAACCTTATTCCCAAAGTTTACCTGAATTGTGTTTCAGTAATTCTTCCCTCCTTTATCCTTCATCACATGTTTGTTTTTTTTTTTTTAGGAATGTAGTCATTCACATTCAATACAATCATGCTCACCAGTCCTTCACTATAACATGTATATTGAGAAACACTTGAAGTGGATAAGGAGAGTCCTTCCTGTACAACTCCTATAATGCAGCTGTTCTCAACTTGTCTACATGTACCTTGATATCACTTATTGTCAAATAACATTAAAGTTGAAAGAGAATCTAATAGTCCATTTATGATGTATTAAAATTCGAACTTGGTGGCAAGGGTTAGGGGAATAAAGCAAAGGAAATCACATTGAGTTTGAGGGATGAATGATTAGTTCCTTTTGCTTTATACCCCCTAGCCTTAGAGCTATGTTAGAATTTTAATATATAAAAAATGGCCTATTGATTATAATCTTTTCTAATGTACACCTACCATAATCATTAACAGCAACAGACAAGGTTGCATTTGGTCCAGGTTTGATTGTTGTAGCTCTGACGTGGAACTGATAGGTGGCCCCACCTAACACATCCACTGTATAACTTAACATGTTTCCTCCTAAGGTTTCAGTATGAATATTATGAGGATCTTCATTGTGACTATAAAACACAGTGTAATGCCTGATAATTCCATTTTCTTTTGCTGGCTTATCCCAGGTGAGCTTTATCTTTGGACCAACTTGTTTATCTGGTTTTATCTCAGAATGCGAAAGGTTTGAGGGAATACTTGGTGCTAAAGTAGTAAAGAAATGGAAGGTGAAGGTTATTATTTAAACTACAATGAAATAAACTTGACCTTTGGCAGAAAAAATTTACAAATTAGATGATGCATTTTTACCTGTTCACTTAAACTGTAGAGAGCAGTTAATTCATTATACTAATAATTATAATAGCTTAACTCTGACAATATCATACATGATATCATTACAATAAACCTGGCAAGATGTACATGTGAAGTATATTCCAGTCTCATTAAAAAAAGCTATGTGTTTTTTCGGAAAAAATGTTTCTTACAACCGACATTGTTCAGTTTTAGCCTCTTACCATCTTCCAATGTCTGCCCAACCACTACAGAACTTTTTGGTCCCTCACCACGAGATCCAGTGGCCAACACTTGAAATTCATATTTGGTATACTTGTTAAGATTAGCAAAATCTTTAGTTAATGTTGCAGCTCCACTAACAGACTCCATGACTGAATTGTCCACTGAGCCCTTCTGTCTGTAAAACAACTTATATCCTGTTATTGTTCCATGTCTGGCATATTCTGGCAGTGATGTCCAGGATGCTCTTATACTAGTAGATGAGGTTGCAGTCACAGTGAAGTTACCTGGAGCTTCTGATGGAACTGGATTGTTGAGTAAAAATGATTATAAGATATTTTAATTCTACAGTTTCACAATGGTCATGTGCCTATAAAGGAACTGAATTAGTCAACAAGATGAAAGTTGTTTTAAAATAATGACGAAGTGTTATTTCAGTACCATCACAGTGGTTGTGTCCTCCCTAAAACTTTGCAACTCAGAATTTCAAGTTCTTTCAGGCTTCAGTGACTTCATTCATTCCCAATGGATTAAATAAGTGCCATTTAGTAAGTGAGTAAGTGGTAATCTGATTTCCTTAAATTCAGGGATAACTTACAAATAAGATTACATACACAGAACATATACATATATCACTCAAATATCTACCAGTTATGCAATGCTGAGTGGTATACAATGGAATATCCCACATGTCACTTGTATTCTGTCATTACCTGAACATTAATGTTGAGGGAAGAATTTGGCTCTGACATGATTCAAACAGCACTTGAAATACACTAGAAATGGTATTGTGTGCTTGATTTTGGCAGCAATAAGATCACAGCACACAAAGAGAGGAATGGGCCCAATTAACCATCAAATATACATTGAATTCCTGAATTCTGATTGGCTATATTTTCTACAGCATGGTATCAGCATATGATATCAGATTTTATATAAAATTTTAAGTAAGGTAAGTCATAATATTCCCTTCCACTTTTTAACAACACTTGTAGGATTTCAATGATAAGATACAGAGAAAATAGAATTAGTACCTGTAGATAGGAGAACTCCATAAACTTCCACTCTCAATGCCTTAAAACCATAGTACTCTGTTGGCACAAAACGGATGAACTTTGCCAAAGCATACTCCCTCAGACCATGTTTTACTATGTCATTTCTCCCAGAGTTTCCATTAAAGACCTAAAATATTAAAGGTTGCAAAAAGCAATAAGTTATGCTTTCTGCAAAAGCAAGTCATATGTGTCAAAGTAAATAAAATTGAACAGTGATATACATGGACATGTTTATTCACTTCTGCAACACTACACTACTACCTGTACCTGTGCACACTATTTTTTTAACCTGCTTTTTGCATACAGAATGAGCTGTACTGTAAGTACGAAAAAATTTGAACTTTCCATGCACAAGTAACTGCAGACTTTTCCTTGGCTTGAATATCAGCAAGCCTATATCCAACCAATAAAAATTAAGCAACACCATCACAGAAACAGTGCTGAAAGAGGATAATCTACAGCTGTAACTCTAACAAAAATAGTTTTAATCACAAAATGAGTCAATTCAGAGGTTATCAAACACTGGTCTACATTACACCTTAAAAAAAATAAGCATTTCAAAGCCTGAAAGGCCTGACCTATGCAGTTCATTTCAGTTTTTTCACTCATTTCCACCAATACTTGACCTGGTAATAAAACTGGTTCAAATTTACACATCATAAAATGCTAAAATCCTCTCACATAATAATTGTTCATTACTCTTCTGTTTTACATAAAATTAGGCTTGACTAAGTGTATTTCTATGTAACTACATGAACAAAATATATGAAAAAAAATGCAACCAAGTTAAGCACGATATTTCAATTAGATCAAACTGACCTTCTCAGTGTTGTTTTCTCTATAAATGTTAAAGGTGGTACTATTCAATGATAACTGAATCTTGTACTTTGTTATCCACTGATCACCACCATTAGCTCCTTGGGTAGCTACAGCACAGATAACATAATCATACAGCAGGTCAATTTGTAGGTAGTCAGAATGATTGGTGTTAGTCTTTGGTAACCAACCCCAGCTATTTTGATTCAGACGACCAACCGAAGGTCTGCGGTTGTTATTATAAGATGATGAGGCTGAGAAGCTGCCATCTGGAATTGCATCACTGCTGGTCACACCAATGGCCTGACTGTGACATGCTGTTAATAGACAATCATAATTACCATAAACTGTGGTTTCAACCCAGCAAATCAGTTTATCATGCATGTACAGTAACAATCACAAGTGTGCTGCATGTGCTGAATGTGGTCTTCTTACACCATCAGCTAACTACACAACCACTCCATTATTCTTTACTACTGATTTACAGGTTAATAATAAAAGTTTCACAAAGGGCCACATTTTTCATTTGTAGCATTTATGTTTAAATAGGTCACAACATACATTTATACATGTACATGTATATAATATATCAACTTTTAAACCAAACTATCATACTTATCTGCTACACACAACCAGTTTACATTTATTTAACAATGTTGAAGTACCTACATGTCTACATACAGAAATTAAATAGCAAATTTTCCTGAGAATGTAGATTGGAACCCCAACTCAGTAAGGTAGCAGTTAATAGTAGTTCTTCAAAATATCCAGATATGCCATACCTCTTTGTTCTGAATACACTTCAACTTCACAAAGATTGAATCCCGATCTACCTCCCCTAACATCCCTGATGGTGACATATCTTCCTTTCAAACTAGGATGGCAGAAGAATGACAAACCTACTCCTTTAGGAAGGTTATGAGTAGCTGCCCTACCACATTTGGGACTAGTCATACTAGTATCAGTAATACTTGATACTGTGCCTGAAAGAATATCGTAATAATAAATCACTGTTAAAAAGTGCAAACAACTTCAAAGAGATGACTGTAAAATAAGACATATACCGATCAAATAGAGATATCCACTTTCAAAACAAGCAAGATTTACCTCCCTAGTGAGCCTTTGCCTTAATAAAAGCTGCCCTTTTTCGAGTGCGTAGGCTAGACTGACTCAAATGTTATGCATAGCAAGGGCATGATGCTTAGTAATACAAGCCAATAGTCCATTTTACAGTTGTGTGCTTGGTTGCCATGCCTTTGAACAGGAGTGAGGCTAAGGGTGACCTTGTTATGATACAAACCTTGCTGCTTTTGAAATGCAAATTAATTTTTTCTCATGCTAACTAGATTCTGGTCTCTAACACAACAAGGTCACCTTCAGCCTCACTCCAAATCAAAGGCTTGGCAACTAAGTACACAACTGTAAAATGGCCTATTACCAGAAATAGATACTGCTATTAGTATTATTATTTGTAATAAGCTAGTCCCTGCCAATACTTGTGGTTGTCTGGCAGTTATTTTACACATCATCAAGACGGAGCTCCCAATAAAATTTCAATGTAGCCCCTTAACTATCAAAACTGCTCCTGTTCCTTCAAATTATGAAGATTCTTCCCTTTTGTCATTTGGCAGCAGCCATTTCAATGTCACTGAGTTTAATTAGGGAAACTGTCTACAGGCCACAAAACTCAGTGAAGAAAATATATCAAGTGATGGGAAAACATGACTAATTTGCATGGAGAAAAACTTTCATATGCTATACTTCATTCAAACACTGGTAAATGTATAAGTGATTTTAATCAAAAGGATAAAAATGGACTATAAAGTATAACATTAAATTAAAAAATAGGACATGTTTACATCTGTGCCATTTCTCAGACTCATGTTACACATTTATTGTTAAATCATGTGGAACAATAAAAAAACTAATGATTTTAGCCAATGAACATAATCATGCATCCAACTTGAAAAGAGAGTAAAAAGAGCACAGCCAGCCAACCCGCTCAGTAAAATGGCAATGTTTTCCAGTTGCCTGAAGCTAAAACTCAGTTCCTTTTGGTAAAGAGGAACCAGCAGAGCACAACCATGTAAGGGTATCTATGTGTACAACTGTCAAATCAAAACACCAACATCTAAACCTAACAGCAATTATATGATGCATGTTCAAACAGAAATAGCTGTGGCTGAGGGTTGACAAGAATGTGGAAACCACAGCAGCATTGACAAAAACCAGGACCAGATCAGATTGGATTATGGATCAGAAAAAAAAGGTTTGAAAAATTAATAATAAACAAAATATAAGATTAAATGAATAAGGGGCTAAGTCTCTGAAGAAACCGTGGTGCTGTGTCGGTGGGAGAATATGACTAGGTAAATTGGTATTATCAACTGAGTTGATAATACAAATAAATTGGCCCCTGTTCAGATTTTAAAAGATGAGATTTTGAGTGTTAGCCCTTTGTCAGAGTGAATGACAAAGGAATGTTTCCCTCTGACAAAGGGCTAACACTTGAAACATCAGCTTCTGAAATGTTAACAGAGGCCAATTTACATTATCAACTCATTAATAATACCAAATTACCTCAAAGTAAAAGTCCAGGAGTTTTGTGTAGTGCCACCATGGACAAAGGCTAGCAAGAGGTACGAATCACTTCATCAGTCAGTTATTACCGTATTTATATGTGTATGAGTCTACTCTCCATTTGCACGGGCAAAAATCAGATTTTTCATCATTTCTACTCAAAGAAGTAACATTCAAACAGATAGAAATTTCTCAATCTATTATTTCTGAGAATGTATTGAAAACACGGGGAATTAAAAAAACTGCAGAGCAAAATGAAATCATATGCTGCGAAGTTTATTAGCACTTGTTTATATCACCATGACCAAAGCATAAACGAGCACTTTGGTTTCCTGGAGAAGTATTTTACCATATTTTGTAAATCACATTGAAAATGAAATCTTCTTGCATTTAACTAACTTTTTTTCATATCACCTCACATTCAATATTACTAACCACATGCAAAAGAAGAGGCTTGGTGAGGAGTAAGAATGGTTTAAATATGACAGCTGAAATACATAACTTTTGTGTGCAATTTATGTAAAGCAATTTTTTACGTCACACAGATTTCATTTTGGCTTGTCATGCAACATTTCTAATATAAATTAACATGTTTTAGTTTTTCAATCTTATTTTTATTTATTATTATTTTAAAAACAGTTATATATATATATATATATATATATATATATATAATATAATGTGTATACATATATATACACAAGTTAAAGAATTAAAGAGGACGCATTGATTCAGACAGAGAATTGACGCGTTCTCTTTAATTCTTTAACTTATGTATACTTAGCTCTGCTACCACAGCATTGAGCACTTTATGCTAAGATAGACTCTATATATATATATATTTTTTTTTTTTTGGGTTAATTTTTTAAACCTTTTTTTTTTGGTCTGTGATGCAACCAATGATCTGATCCCTGATCCTGACCATGATCCAACCTAGTCCAATCCAGCTTTTGTCAAAGCCAGAAACCACAGCACACCATTTTCCCCTCTTTTCTTGAGGACATTAAGCTAAGAGTGCATTGACCACTTCAAAAATAACCATTACTGTAAGAGTATTAACCTACCAACTCTGATCTCAAATTGTCTCAGACGATCTACATCAAGTAAACCGACCACATACACTTCAGTCACAATCTCATCTTGTCCTAGATCCACTCTCCACCATGGAAATGGATTCTTTTGCACAAATGAACATGATCCACCCCAAAAGTCCATATTGCTATTTCCATCAACCGCTCTATCACTTGTGCCATTTTCTAATGTCTTTGTCTGCTGATATGTTGGTTTTCGAAATGCCAGATTTTCTAGGAGAAAATGTACACACACACAAAAAAGAAAAGTTTCCTTAGACAAAGATGATCGCTGTCTGCATACTGATCATAGAATGACAGTTGCATGGAGTTGTATTGAATATGTTTGTTACACTGTACATTACATAGAAAAATTAAAACAAAGGGTATTTTTAAAAAACTGGTTGATGGTAGATATTACATTTTGGGCAGCCTACAGATGTACCAGCCTTTGCCAAAAAGCTGGAAAGCAAAGGACACCAAACTGTAATAACTTTGATATAAGAAAAAAATCATGCACAGGTGTATGTGTAAATTTTGAAATAAAAAATATACCTCCATTGTAATTATGGCATTTTACTCAATTCTTAAGCTACAATGTACTACTATATAAATTCTACTGGTCATCTTTAACAGGTAAATTAATAGAGAGACATACTTATATTGCTTGATTGATTGTACAATTGAAGATTTAAAATTGCTGACATACTCAAAGATAAATTGTACCATTCTTAGACACTTAATATTAAGGCAACAGACCAAAGGTAAGTTTTAAGACCCAAATATCAAGAAAGGAAAAGTGTGCTTATATACATATATTCAAATAGCAAATAAACCTATATTTAAATTACTTATCAAAAGACATTTCTCACAAGCATGACTATAAAATAATTCCCAACAAAACTTTTCTAAGATCTTTATGGTTAAAGGGTTTCTGTGAGATTAAACAAGAGTCTCAATTTATCCACTCTTCAAGAACATATTCCAAGGGCACTTGTTGATTTAACTACTTTTGATTACATTCCATTGTTTATCAATATAATTATAAAATCAGGTGTCCTTTTCAAGGCTTTTGTGCAACTTAAAATTCAGTGTGACTTTTGGCTGTAGTAATTATGGTAAATACAGTTTGCACATTAAACATGCAAACATAAGTATGTTCAAACTACATCAGTACGTATATGTTTTGAGATATATAAAAAAGTCTTGGATGAGTCAATTTTTAAAAGAGGAAAAGTGACTTCACCACTACATTAAGTTTAGTAGAAAGAATAAGTGAAAAGTTACCTCGTGAATAGACTTCTACCTCACAAAGCTGAAGACTTTGTTCCTTTGTGGTTGAAATCCCTACATATCTACCAGTTTTCAGTGGATTGGTAAAACAAACAGCTGATGCAGTGAAGTTATGAAAATCATAGAGTCCTCCACAGGGGGGGTTAAGTGACACATCATCAGAGCCACCTGCAGATTATGAGGCACTGAAAGTCAGAATTACTAGTAGAGTTTGGTTCCATGTGGCAAACATGATCAATTTGTAATAGATTCTTTAACAAAGTAAACATCCTGGAAATGTTATTTGGCATATAAAAAAGATATTAAAACTGCCAAAACAAGGATTTAATTGCATTAATTTTCTAAGTGTCATAATAGCCTTAACAGAGTGGCCAGGTAAAAAAATTATTACTGGAGGTCAACTTCTGAGTGTCCCATGTGAAGGTACAGTGTAGACAAATGATGACACTTGAGTACCCTGGTTCCAGTACTCCAGTCCCATTTACATGTACATGTACAAGAATAGACCTTGAGAGAAAATCTTAAACTGAGGCCTTGTATTGACTGAGCAATGACAAGTAAAAAACATCTGGGCTGATTAATAACAAGGTCAATACAGCTTAGCCGAGGTTTCAAAAATTCCTGTAACATCCAAACTGGCCTGTTGTTTAGCAGCTGATTATAAGGTGATGTATGCATGGTTGACCTTACATTCAATTAAAGGGTAATAAAACTCACCAAATGTTATTTTGTAGTCTTCAGTTACCACGTGCTGTGAGAACCTGTTGACTATATGAATTTCAGAGACACCAACATGGTCTGAACCCAGGTCCACTCTCCACCAACTGGGGTTTTCTTTTGATGTATGTGAACAGCTCCCTTTTAAAAAGTTAGTGTCAGGATTTCCATCCACTGCGTTTCCAGACACACCATAAACATTGTCAGCAATATTGTTGAATGTTGAAGACTGAGCTGTAGCCTTCCTCAGGGCAAGGTTCTCTGTGAACAAATATTGAAGAAAATGTTACCACATGGGCCAGGAAAAACTTACCATGATTGTAACAGAGTGGTTCCACTCAAGAGATTGTATAACAAAAGAAAAATAGTTGTGTAGTTATTTTCCAAAATTCTTGGCTTTCCTTCCACACCTTTTTTGTTATCTGTAGTTGTACTGTACCTACACTTCTCTGAACCAAATAGTGTCATGTAGGAGATATTTGTGCCAATTAGTTTCATGTTATAGTTCAATCCTACAATAGCTTATGATTTACCCATTTTAGATGAAAGCTATCTCTATCATTTCCTCAGTTCTGTTATAAAATGGCTACCTTTTGCCTAGTTATTCAGTTTATTTAACAATTGCAACATACTACAATTTGTCAAGCCTTTGTTTGTCTATATTTCACTTAACATTGACAAAACCTCCCGCAAAGATAATTTCAAAGAAACTTCATTTTGAACAATAAACTTGCTAAGCAAGCAAACCCTTTAAAAAAGTATCAAAGAATACCAGAATATAAAATCTGCATATATAAATGGGTTATTGACCAAGTGTGAGGTCAAGATGGCTGTATACCAGCCAAGTTCCTTTCTTCATAATTTTATTGACTGAGACAAAGTCAAGGTCCACAAAAATGGAAAAAATAACCAAGCTAATATCCAGCCATCTTAACTGAACAAGCTTGGTCAATAAAGAATTTATTATACAGCTAAAATTTTGCTTTACTAAGAATCAAGAATGTCTTGTTTATTTCATGAGCCAGGAAAGAAAGCTAACTGTGTTTTAGCATAATAAACCCAAAAAGGTTGCTTACATTTTTTTTTTGTTTTGACTATCTTCTGCTACTTTTTGCAACTTTATCACTGCCATTATGCAAAGGTTACTAACTTTTTAAGTCCACTTTTTCTTACACAGGATCAAAGAGCAGACCAGATCAGCTCAGGTAGCCAATCAGAACACAGGATTTGTTTTATATTGCTCACAGGCACTGCCAGCAATATGACAAATGTATATATTGACTTTCCTTTGATTATGTAATATTATCATGCCTGCACATATACCTGGCTTTTGTTTCACTCCAAACACCTCTGTTCTCATACACACCAGACCCTGGTGAGTTTGTGGCAAGAAACGCAGATACCTTGTCAGTAGTCCATAAACAACATGCTTTACCACTGAGTTTCTGTCGTCATTCCCTACGAGGACCTAGATACATAATGAAAATCACTGTAGGCTTCAAGTAAATTGGTGACTAGGTGAAGAAAAAATGAGATTGTTACAAAAGGCAGCCTATGTTAGTACAAAAAAATCTGATTTGTGAGGACAATGTTCATGTATTTTTCACTACATGAAATACATGTAAAACAAGATGTATATTTGTACCTTAACTTGTCCAGCTTCCTTGTAGTCTGTCCAAGTTGTCCCATTTATGGAAAATTGTAGTTTGTAGTTCTTCACCCACTGATCTGCTTGAGAATTCCCTTGGGTAGACACAGCACAGATGATATGAAGTGCCTGTAGATCAATCTGTAGATATGGGTTAGTGTCACTTGTTCCTGCACACCATGATGATCCCGATGTGTAGTTCAGTCTACCATTCGTGGCTGGTGTGCTAGCATTTTGTACTGAAGAAGCGGTTATGTTACCATCTGAAATTCTCTCATTTTCCAAACCAAGATCCACATCGATACATGCCCCTATAAAAAAGGTAAAGATAAAACAGAAAATGATAAAATTAACCATTAAACCAAATTAAGTCAAGCTAAATGAATAGTCGTGGGTAGATTTCGTTTTGAGTTTTTAATTGCAAGAAATTTATTTGCTTCATTGTTCCTGCCGAGATGCGTATTTCCCACAAGGTTCTAACTCTTCTAATTTGTGGTTTGTACAGACATGAAAATCTAGATATCCTTAGAAATTGAGGTCATTCACTTTACAAAAATAACAACTATCTAGCACCACATTTCTACTATCGATACCATTTCTTCAGTATGTGTTCAGCCCGAAAATTTGTTATTTACCTGGATACCTACGCGTTTTATGATCGTTTAAATTACAAAACAGTGCCCAGGGCCCGGTTGTTCAAAACCGCGATTAAACTAATCACCGATTAGGCCTAATCGGCGATTAAATTTCTTAATCGTGGGTTAGTTAATCGTTGGTTAAAAAACGGTTGTTCAAAGGGAGATTACTCGGTCGATTTACTAATCCGCGATTAAGCATAAAATGAATTATATTAATTAATTATAATTTATTTTGTGCCAGTTTACGTCATAAAATTGCCGGAAATTTATTTTTGTCAATATGGCTTCTCCAGCGAAGAAAGTGCGGAAAGCAAACTTTTCACCCGCTGAAATTTCCGTTTTAACGGAAAAATTTGAAGAAAATATGGACATTCTTCAAAGTAAATTTACCAACAGTATAACAAATGCAAAAAAAAACCAGATTTGGGAAGAAATCTCGGAGGCGGTAAACGCCGTCGGTGTGACAGCAAGATCAACGCAGGAAGTACGAGACAAGTGGAAAAACCTCCAGAGTCACGCAAAAAGAGAATTCAGTTCCTTTAAAGTTAACAGAAGAAGACAGGTGGTGGCCATGCTCCCCCGAACCCATCAGAAGCCAGTTTAAAAATAATAAACATGTTCAGTGACACACCGTCATTTACTGGGTTACAGGGGTTTGAAACAGGTAAGTTTATAAATGGAAACATTATTGTAATACCTCTCAATGTCCATACCTTGCATAAAATGTATACTTCGCTAACAAACACAAAGCAAAGTGAAAATTAACGGACTTTAGACTTTTGTTTCTTTCTTATTTTCTTTTACATGTACTCCCATGTAAACAAAAAAACAAATGGCGCCGAAAAGTCTGCCTCGGCACACTCTTCTCTTCTCGGCTTCAAATACAATCTTCGGCCAGCGGCCAACTCTAATCAATTAAATATGGCTGCCTTTTAGAAAGGCAGTCAAGTGCAGTTCAAAACACTGCATTTCAACAGATTGTGGTGCTTCGTTATCTAATAAGACTGGCTGGTCCGTAGGTCCAGAAACTCTTGTCCTCGAGGTGGTGTCGAGCGAGACCTCTGCCGATGAGACCCCTAATTCTGTTGCTGAGAAGCCCGACGAGTTAATAAGCAAACACGAAGCCGTGACCAAAGTTGTCGAAGACACCGCTTCCTGTAAAAAAAACTATCAAGGAGGTAAGCGAAAAGCCCCCAAAGAGGAAAATAACCCACGACATGGTGCTGGAAGAGCAGTACAAGGCTTTACTATTAAAGCAGAGTAATTTGAAGCTTTATAAGAAGAAACTTGAATTGGAGATTGCTCTGTTGGAGCAAAAATGTGCAAATATTAAGGAAACGGAGACCTGTGGTAATTTGATGACCACAATCAATTTAAGCCCTATAGTGGCTGGTCGATCTTTCCTCCCGTAAATTTACATATTTGTCAAGCTGGCTGCAAAAATTTTAAACCATTAAGTACTTGGCTGTTATAAATGCTGACCAACACTTCCTTTTCGGTAAATGGTTTCTTGACAGAAAAAGAAAAAACAATGAAAAATAAATAAATAGGCAGAGGTCACCATGGGGATCCAAACTCCTAATGTCTCACATGGCGAGCCAGTGTTTATCACACTGTGTTACTTACAAGTATATAAGTTACTGAAGGGTGAAAGTATTAATCATATACCTAAGTACAGCAGGCTTAAGTGCCCCACAACCAGGAAGAAATCCTTTCATAGTTTATTTTCCAAGTTCAGTAGGTCATAGCCACTTTGATTTCACTGGCCATCAAACATATGGAATGAGCTGCTTTTATAACTTTTAATCAAGTAAACAGTTCCAAGAAGTGAAGAACTGCAAACATATCGACAATGTCATGCAACCTGTGGTGGACATTCATCATGCTATGTACTTCCATGGCAAAGGAATGTGAACAATTCAATGGAGGGGCGTTATTAGTTTGGAAATCCCTTGGTATTACTATATAGAGATCAAGCATTCTTAGCAAGTGCGAAAAGAAATTTAAGTTGCAAAATAGAGAAAGTTTTTGACTGCTGAGTATACATTGTTTTTCTAAAAAAACTCAGTGCCTGTGAGCTGTTATAGTATGCTAAAGTTGAATTGGTCCACTACAAATTAAAGCACTATTGGTGTGGCATTTCCAAACAAATATCAAGTGCTCTTAGAGGGTTTACACTTGACTGAATTTTTGAGAGTTCACTCCAGAGTCAGAGCATGAATATTTTCTAAGTGTTGAGACATCAAGTTTTGTAGTAAGCCTAAGCTCAAAAATTTCCTCAACTACAAAATAATACTTGAAGTCGCTTGAAATTTGTAAACAAAGATCTACCATTGTCAATTAGAAGAAGAATATTATTGAATGAGCTGTTCCATAGAAATTCAGATCTATAATAATTTCAGACTGCCAGGTATCTAGTTTTTTGAAATCACTTCCTGGTAGTCAGGTATCAAGACCCAGTGGGTGGGGAGGTGCAGGTTACTCTCCGATAGGGTCTATTAAGGTATGTATGTGCGCCTAAGGCGTATGACTTTTCAGCCTCTTTAGCCATAAATAGGGTATCGATTTAAGCCATTTTTTGATCATTATAGGGTCTGTTTTTTTGCTCTCTAGTCCTGAATTTGGCATGTTTTTCAGAAGAAGCTACTTGTTTATCATTATTGATAAGACTGATCAATGAAAGCCCTTCATGATACCTTTAACATTGAACTGAACAAGGAACTAAGTATAAGGCAAGTTTGAAACAAAGTATTGATTTAGGGTCAGGTCATAAATAGGGTATTGAAAATCACAGATTTTGGTCATAAATAGGGTAAGGGTTTTGCAGAGTGGTCTGCACACCCCCACCCAATTGTTCTAGAGTACCCCTGGATCTAGAGACAGTGTATTAAAATAACATACTTAAGATGCTCTTAACAGTCAGTGAATTATTATATAAATAAAACAAGAAAGAGTGGTTAAGTTATTTGTTAATATTATATATATCTTTATATATACAATAATAAAATGTCAACCTTTTACAAGCAGCAAAAGAAGTATTTTATTTTTGTATAATAATAACTCTTGCTTTGATTATATAGTAAACAAGAATGATTTATGCACCTAAGTCGTACCACTTGTATTGATTTCATTGTGAAGAATGTTGGAAATGTTGTACTCTGCTGTCACTTTGAAGCTGGAATAACCCCCTGTCCCTTGGTTGTGTTGAACACAAAACATAAATGTAATTTTATTCTTTTTTTGTAAACCATGTAGATTACAACAACAATTGGGCATGACCTTGAAAACTTCATTGAAAAAGTTGAGTCTTGATGCTCAAAATGCCAACTTAGTAATTCTTAGTATGGCGGCGAGTTTATTTTTCAGGTATCTTCACCATAAATAATATTGTTGCAAATTGCAGACAAAATCCCCAGTTTGGATATGAGATATTGCAAATTATATTTTTAGGTAATTTTGATGTGGGAAAAGATGATGGGTAATACATTGAAGTGAAACTGATTTAAGGGAGAAGAACCATTGCAAGCTAAGCCTATTTTAAGAAGGAAAAAAATATGCAGACTGGAACTGTCAAAAACAATTTCACATCCCAAAAATAAAAAACTTGAATGAGCAAGGAAAACTGAAAATTCTCCACCCAATTATTTTTCTTTGGTACATTACTTATGATACATTTGGTCAAAAGGATGGCATCTAGCTGAAATAGGTTTGAGTAATGTGATTTCTGACAGCTTGTCCTTGATTAGGACCACAGTACACATAATCCTCATTTGCTTCCCCACCAACATCTCCATCCTCCATTGGCTCACTGAGGAAAATTGCGATATTGTGCAAAACAGCACATGCACCAATGATGATGCACACTTTTTCTGGAGCCATACGAATTTCAGAATGGAGAACATGAAAGCGACGTTTCCAGCGGCCAAAAGTTTGTTCAATGATTACCCTTGTTTTACAATGAGCATCATTGTAAGCAACTTGAGCTGGGGTGCTTGGGTTGATATACGGGGTCATCATAAATGGGCGCAATGCATACCCACTGTCCCCGAGGAGAATTCCATCATCCAGTGAGTGATGATTTTCCTCTATGTAGCTACATAGATTTGAGGACCTGAACATGAAGCTGTCATGTGTACTTCCTGGCCATCGAGCTACAATGTTAGTAAACAAACCTGAAATAAAGGCAAACAATGATATCATGTAAGGTAATCTGCAAAGGGATTTTACTTCAATGGTGAAACGTTCACTGCAGCCAATCAGTGTGAATGTGACAAAATTTTCAAGTCTACTCAGTGTAGATCACTTAATTGTGTCTATCCCCTGCTGCTATTGAGTAATCTTACTTGAAGGGACAGGTATAGTTGACTGTGTGTTACATGACGGTTAAGACGTTATCTGAAAATGCAACAGTCTACCAAGATGTAAGAAATGATTTTAAAAGCATCGATTACCTTCGTGGTTACATATGCCTTGGACATTGATAGAGTGGAAACCTTTACGGTTCACGTAGCTGTTCTCGTTCTTGTTGGGCGCTTGGATTCGGATATGCGTGCCATCGACGCATCCGATCACGCAGGGAAATCGTCCTCGCTGGTAAAAGGCAGTTTTAAACTGCCCAGCTCTTGCTGTTGTCTTGGCCACTTGACATACTCTTGTTGTCTAGCAACAAGTGCCAGGGATACATTTGCCACCACTCGTGACACTGTCGACTTGTCAACACCAACGGTGTCTCCCACCACTTGAAGGAAGCTGCCACTTGCGTAGAAGCGCAAAGCAATGAGGACTTGTTGGAGAGCGGAGAGAGGATGATTGCGGTTGGTTTTACGACGAAGATTATCTGCCAAAAGGTCGGTAATATACTCTATAGACTCCTTTCCAAAGCGATACCTTGCTCTTAATTCTTCGTCTGTATATCCATCTATCGTGAAACCGATGCTCCTAAACTCTCTTTTGCTTCCGTTTTCTTCGCCCATCAACACCAACACAACCATACAACAAGTCAGCCATGTTGTGATTTTTATTTTTTAATCTGCCGATTAAGGATTTAATCCACCTAGCGAGCAGGGTTAGATTTAACCCTTGGTTTGATCGAAGGTTAGGAATAATCGGGCTTTGAACAACAGAAACTAATCGGCGACTTAAATTTAATCGGCGATTAGCCTATTTAATCGTGGATTAGCGCTAATCGCAGTTTTGAACAACCGGGCCCAGTTGTTCAAAGGCCGATTAGTGCTAGCCCAGGGTTAAATGTTAACGCAGGTTTATATATTTCTTTTTTCCAAAACCTTTTAGAAAAATTTTCCCTATTCTTTTTTAGAACATCCAATGATCAAAGTTGCAAGCAAAAAGATTTTAACTGAATTTTCTTTTAAAGCTTTCAGACCTGAAATCAAATTCCACGCTAACCCTGGGTTATCTTAACCCAGATTTGAACAACCCGGGCCAGATGTAGTAACTCGGTTTAAAATGAGATTACTGTCTTCCATGTTGAATGTGGCATGCTTAGTAACCATGCCATGATCTTGGCTTTTGGCGGGAAAATAACCCAGCTTCCAAAGTTAGTCACGTGATCAATTAAAATAAGTACTCACATGGTTTTGAGCGCAAGTCGTAATTGGAATACCAGGAAATCTTTCGAAGGCTAACAAAGGTAAAAGTCCGTAGTACGAGTGCAGTTTGTAGCCGATTAATCCCAAATTTCATAGGCTAAATCCTGTAATGATTTGTTCATCATGAACCGTGGAAGGAGTGTAAATGATTCCAGTTTATAGTAGTAGCATTGCGCACCCATTACAAGCAGGCCGACAAACTCACCTCAGGACCCCAAGGTTGTAGGGTTGGGCGTAAACACGGACTATTTTTCAACCACAGTTAGGCGGGTTACCGCAATTTCCTGGGGTTCCTTGCAAACAGGCCCTTAGTGTTACTACAACCATATGGTCTACAGAATTGTTTTAGTAACATTCCGTTGTTTAACCAGTCGTTAATGAAACTCTAAAGCGTAGATTTAACATGATACATTTATCGATGACATAATCAATTGGACTAACTATTGGTGGAGTGCGCCCTATTATTTACTGAAACTAGTATAATCCAAAAACATTTTCAATTGGATACATTTCAAAATTTCACTTCGGAGCGCAAATTTTGGGTATACTTCGAGGACATTTTTCAAGATATTTTTTGTGACCGTCTTAGCAACACGTCACTTTAATCTTTCAGAGCTATACCTTGATTCGGGATTTTTATGAAAGGTCTTTGCAAATCTAAGTTTCTCGGCGTTGAAACAATTGTATTTGAGTTAACAGGAATAAAATGTCTATTAACACATTATGATTGTTTATTTAGTAGTTATTCCGTGTCGTGTCTCATGAATATACATCGAATACTTAAACTCCTACGTCTGAGGCGAGCTGAGTTCATTCTTTATTCAACTTAAACTGTATTTTCTTTTTGATTATGGTGTAATGTTTGAGTAAAATGATGAACATGTGTTAATTCGAACGCTTAGTCAGACAGATGTCCACTTTGGCCGTGTTTGCCTGCTCATTTGTTAAAACAATAGTCGACAATAATATGCCAAGTCACGACAAACCTATTAACATAATTGAACTTTCAGTTTACTTTCTTCTTGAAGTTCTCTGCCCTTTTGATTCGGCTCAAGCTGGCTTACTCAACAATCGTCTTTGTATCTTTAACTCTTTGCCTTCAGCATAGGCTAAATGGCAGTAAATGTATCGAACCAGTTTGTACACCAAAATGGAAAGCTAATAGAGTATTTTGAAATCAGTGACAAATTTGCATAATGACACAACTTTGTGTTCAAGAAATTAGACTCGTAAATTCAACCAAAGGCTCGATATGTTGTAAAAACTGTTTGAAGTAAAAGCAATGGAAAGCAATCGAAATCGTTCAAATTTTAAACTACTCCTCATATAATCATAGCTTTCAAAGATACCTCTCCTCGAGCGATGACCGTGTCATCAGGAGACCATCATATTTTTATCGATAACGAAGCGAGTTAGTTCTGTTCCGACAAAAGTTCAGATCTCTTTCGAGCTACCGCTTCATAAATATCGTGAAACCAAGTAGACAAGATTATGCTCTTACGAAACTAAGAAAAGGCGAGCGACGAAGTCAGTCGATGAGCCGTTGTTACCTCTGAACAGGAAGTAACTCATATTTTGCGAGATAGGTTTGAAAATCGCCACTAGAATTCTCCTAAACTCATTCTACCAGAATAAAAGAACTTGTTAGATGTTTAGGCTTTAAAGAAGATAATTGAATTAACTTGACATTTTTCGGTCGGATTCGACAGTTTGTCAACCGAACGCAATGAAATGGAATTCAATTATCTCATATGTATGGAGTCACTGCCAAAAAAAACAATCGGTGAATTCGAGCAGATCTTAACACGTATGCTCAGATTACAAATGATAGAGAACTCACCAGAACCTAGAGGAATAAGAAAAGCTAAGTAAGCCACTCGGAAGTACAGCTTGGAATCAAACTCCAACATTTCGTCGCTGTTGTTATTTCATAACTCAATAGCCTTTTGCATCTTAAAAAGGTCACCATCTCCGTTGAAGCGCATCTGCCAAGTTACAATTAAACTCATTATCATATATATTCCCGGAGTTTCGGCAGCTAACCGAAAGATCACGTGTTGACAAAACGGGTTTAGACTCCTCTATTTTAAAGGGATGATCTACAGGCAAAAGACAACGGAAGCAATCATGAAATCTAAAAAGAATTTCTGAATATATAAAAAAAAAAAAATGACTTGAAAACTTTCTACAACAATCTCTGGTGTTTTTCCCACAACTGTTGCACTGTTACAGGAAGTCTAAATTTTTTCCTTGTTTTTCATTGTTTCTTGGTGCGAACGTCACTGGTTATAAAATAAACTTGTCAATCATGATTTGTGTGCTGAAACATTTAAAGCTAATCTTTATTGAAATAATTTTTTTGTAAGAATCTAGAAAGGCAAACTTATGCTCAAATATCCTGCGTGGGACTGTTTTGTTCACTTGTGTATCTTGACAAGGTAGGGCCACAGTTTATAGGGAATCTCTTAAGAAACTCTTTACGGTGGCCAATTTACATTATCAACTCAGTTGATAAAACCAAATTATCAGGTTATACCCCCTACCAACCTAGCACCACAATTTCTTTTGAAGCTTACCTCCTTTACCTTTGTCGATCCTGAGAGTTAATCGGTCTGAATATCACTTTCACTGACCATCTTTGTTCCTCTTTTCTTTTTCTTTCCAGCACATCTCTTGTGAAACAATCGCTTCCAATTTAATTATCCATCTCAATTTTGAAAAAACTTACTCCTTCACAAAAACAACCCTACAATCTCTGTATTCCTAAGATTTACAACAAAAACACAGATTAACGGACCACTGAGAAGATACGAAACCGTTAGGTTTAACTGATATCGTCAGTGTTCCATACCAAGTTACGTTAGACCCGAAAACTGTTTGAAAATGTTCGAAAGTAGTTGTTTGACAGCACAGGAAGTTAACCTACAGAAGAGGCGGTTTTTTTGGCTCATCAAGGCAAGTGGAGACGCGAGCCCCTCTTTATTTCACTTGCTTGGAAAACGAAAAAAATTACCCCTGTTCTGCAGGAATTTATAGCTTGATCTGCCTCAGGGAAGAAGGCACAGAATCACTTGCGGGGAGGGGAGGGGGGGGCGATCCAATCGATCCCTTTACTTCATCTTACTTGGGGTGATACAAAAAGGGGGGCACTGGTCGATCGGTTTAAAAAGAAATGATCAGAGTCAAGGTTTAGGTGTTTTTATTAAGCCACCCTCACCAAGTTAAAACAAATAATAGGAGCACATACTTGATAGATTTAATTTTGGCAAGAAAAAGGCAAACGTCATTTGCTGACGTCAAAAACATTCTTTTTTTGGCGAGACAAAGCAAGTGATTGATCGGCCGAGTCCACGACGTCACGCTTCAGGCATAAGACTGATATTGTATCGATATATTTTTGCGACTGTTGTGAAGGTACTTGTCACAAGACCTTTAGTAATATTTGAAGTCCATGATGCGGTTGTAAATCTAAAACTATATAATATTTTCAGTTGAACGACTCAAAGATTTGGTCGTAGAATTTCTATTAGGAGGAAAAAAAGGCGATTTAATGTTACTGGTATTTCTATTTTTGCTTACATTTTCTAGAGGCAAAATAAATCTTTCACTTGAAACATAAATAAAAAAAATCCACACATTTTCCTTCAAAGTATGGTTTGGTTCGAAAAGATACCGACATGGACTGTGGAAAGACAAAATAATCATTTCAACGATGCATTGCTTTATTCAACTCCTACCACAGTACTGAAATCTGATTGCTCTATTTAAAGAGCACTTTCTCCTGGCTGAGCATCTCTTCGACTTCCCATACATTTTACCCAATTTTTAGGCCACAATTCGGGGTAAATCGTTTCCTCTTAAGAGCAACATGGCTAAAAGTGACTCAGAGTTATTTCAAAATTTTCCTTTCTACATTCTACTAAATGTAATTTCATTCATAATGAGCGATTACCAGTACATCAGGTAATTCAGTTGTCATGCGTTACTCCTACAGTTTGTATAAAGGTTTGTGTGTTTCCGTGCCCCGTTAATATGTGGGCGAATATCATCAGGTACACAACAAAGGCTAAGTATAGTAATGCAGTGTAGAAGCGTTCAATTCTGCATTTACAAGATAAAGTTTTTCCTAATTCTTGCTTTGTTTCATTACACGGTCGGTTTTTCACGAAATTTCTTTATAGAGTTAGTCTCTTACGAAAATTCATCATGTGGTTAGCTTTTACGAACGTTCTGATGTTCGTTAAACCAAATCTTCAACAACAAACTGTCTATAGGGCTTACAGACCCACAACCTACCGGGCGGCTTCAATTTAGATCAATCAAGCGTCAAGAGGAGGTACATCCTTCTCCTTTCTAAATAAAGCAGTGATAACATCATTTTTTGGATCAGCATTCTAGTCGGCTGGAATAAGAGAAAGTTTGTCTGCACACCTGTCTTTAAGACAGTTCTATTCAGAACTTTAGCATAGATCCAATTCAAGTCTTAAATGCATATATCGATAGCCTCGCCGATGTTGCACAAAAGCCCAGGATTACACATTTGGAATCCCAAGTAGATTGTAGGGAAAAATGCTCCTTTCCCGAAAAATCTGAGTTTGTACAAAAAGCTGGGGAAGCGTGCCAGCTGGTGTGCGATGTCATTGCTCTAAGAGATGGAAAAGCGTTATTCCAAGCGGTCGTAGACCATGAAGAGAAGTGCAAGACAGCTATTGATGTTGGCCTTCAAACCCTTAAGGCCGCCTATCAGAATGCTCCCACAAAATCACTTAGGACTCAAATATTGAGTATTTATACCGATAGATTTTCAGCTAACGAGCTTAAACGCATGCATCAGCCATTTGAAAACCTCTCCGATAGACAAATAAAGAAGGCAAGAGCACAGTCGAAGAGTGAGGTGCCTGTTGAAAAAAATCCTGCGTCACAGAATCCGACCTTGAGCTCCATATGAACTTGGCGGTTCATCATGTAAGTCCTGTGTCTGCGAGCATGACTGAAAGTCTTTATGGCAAAGTGAAGAGGGAGTGGGTTCATCACTTTCAGTCATTGTCATTAGAGGGTTCGACTGAACTGGTTGCAGCGGCCACAGAACCCTTGACAAGTGCTTCACAGCTTTCCATGGAATGAGCTCTTCATAAGAGAGGTGCAAGTGTACGGCTTTCGCAAAACGTCAGGCAGTACTCGTGTTTGAGGGAGGCCAGGAACACAGTAATGGATGAGATAGGACTGAAAAATCCAATCATGTTTGCTGTCTATGATGTGTGCTCGTTGGCACGAGGGTGAAGGTTGCCCAGCCTCAAAGTCAAGGTACTAAGAGACATGTGCAAACATTTTGAGCTCGCATTCAAAATGCGAGATACAAAGACAACACTTCTTGCAAAAATGGAGGAAATGATTTCGGAGTGGAGTTGTAATGTAGTCTAATTATGACGTCCACCCGTTATGCGAATGCGATATCTTTTTTCACAAGAACTCTCCAAAGTTATGAACAGCGACTGCTATGCAGACAGGTGTGGCGACCAAATATCATTTGTTCCTGTCAGCTAGAAATTCGAGCAATCGCTGCTTTACTTGGACTTGAGAGGTATTCAGGACAATTATACGATGGAATTACGTGACAGAGTCACTGGTCAAGGTGTATTTCAATGTGTGCTGTTATCACCGGTTACACTAAATAGAATCCTGTAGTTTGGTTCTGAAATGTTCATACAGGTTTGAATAGCGTAACCTGTCAGAACTCAAATATGCATGAAGTAGCAGAAGCCAAATTTTTAAGAAAGAGTTTGCCATTAAAATGTTAAGCGAGCGCTAATCAAATTATGATATTCGATGCATTGTTATTGACGTCTTTCGTCACGAGAGGGTAAACTTTGTCAAATTCTGGCCTTTTGAAATGTTTAGAGTATCAATCGGTGTAGTCTAAAAGCTCTGTCCTACTATCTTTTCAACTTAAAATGGTTAAAATCTAAGATTTATTGAGCTACTTTTATAAAACGGTCGGAGTTTGTTCAATGAACTAATTTGCATAATCGGCTGTCACGCTAGCAAAATCGCTGAAAGTTTGAAGTCATTGCGGCGAACAAAATTAATAAGTGCAAGATGTTTTTATATTTTTCTGCAGCCAAACATCTTATTAGAAGAAATCAAGCGGATTTTTCAATGGTCTGTTCTGGACTTGAGCAATATCAACCAAGTGGGAAAGAGTACTTTTGACCAATTTCAGAAAGCTGTCTAAGGAGTGTTTTTAAATAAATTATGACGAACCCCTAAATAAACAAATATCAAAATTGAAATACTTTTTATTCACCTAACATATCACACAGTTTAAAGATACAAAAGATTTTTTGCTGCATGCGGTGTGATACAAGGACCAGGTTATTCAACTTTTGAAATTTTCGATGTCGCAAGAGGTCAAAAAAGGGCCTTTAGCAGCTTTGACTTTTGAGAGCTCTAAAAATTTTATTTTAACCGCGGTATTTCCAGAAACTAATGTGGTTTTATTTACTTGCTACCAAAGATAGTTTATTAGGCAAAGTTTGAGGGAAAACTTTTTCCCGATGCCAAATATCTTGGACCGCTCTTACAGAGATCGCCTCTTAAACACCTACGTCTGAGGCGAGCTGAGTTCATTCTTTGTTTAACTTGAACTGCATTTTCTATTTGCTTATGGTGTATTGTTTGAGTAAAGTGAGGAATACGACTTCATTCCAACGCTTGGTCAGACAGTTGTCCATTTTGGCCGTGTTTGCCTGCTCATTTGTTAAAACAATAGTCGACAGTGATATGCCAAGTCACGACAAACCTATTAACATAATTGAACTTTCAGTTTACTTTGTTCTTGAAGTTCTCTGCCATTTTGATTTGGCTCACGCTGGTTTATTGAATAATCGTCATTACATGTTTATCCAATGCCTTCAGCAGAAGCTAAATGGCAGTAAATGTATCGAACTAGTTTGCACACTAAAATGGAAACTTAAAATAAATAAGCGCCAGATTTGCATAATGACACAACTTTGTGTTCAAGAAATCGGACAGCTCGTAAATTCAAGCAAAGCTCGATATGATGCAGAAACTGTTTTAAGTAAAAGTATAGGAAGGCAGTCGAAATCGTCCAAATTCTAAAACTACTTCTCATGTGATCATAGCTTTCAAATAGGCCTCTCTAAGAATGATGACCTTATAATTAGGAAACCGTCATATTTTAATCGATAACGAAGCGAGCTAGTTCTGTTCCGAAAAAAGTTCAGATCTCTCTCAAGCTACCGCTTCATAAACATCGTGAAGCCAAGTAGAGAAGATCATGCTCTTACGTAACTAAGAAAAGGCGAGCGACGAGGTGAGTCGTTGAGACGCTCTTACTCCTTACCAGGAAGTAACTCATACTATGCCAGATAGGTTTGAAAATCGCAACTACAATTCTCCCAGACTCATTCTCTCAAAATAAAATAACTTGTCAGATGTTTCAGCTTTAAAGATGTTTGAATTCACATGGGATTTTTCGGTCAGACCCGACAGTTTGTCAATTGACGGCAATGAAATGGAATTTAATAACTTCATATCTATGGAGTCACTGCGAAAAACAATCTGTGAATTCGTTGAGATCTTAACTCGTATGCACAGATTATAAATGATAGAGAACTCACCGGAACCTAGAGGAATAAGAAAAGCGAAGAAAGCCACTTGGAAGTGCAGCCCGGAATCAAACTCCGACATTTCGCCGTTGTTGTTACTTCATAACTCACTGAGAAACTGAAACGTTGCAGACACCTGATGTTTCAGTTCAATAACCTTTTGCATCTTAAAAAGTTCATTCTCTCCGTTGGAGCTCATCTGCCAAAATACAATTAAACTCATTATGGTATATATTCCCGGAGTTTCAGCAGTGTGCCGAAAGACGACGCGTTGACAATACGGGTTTAGGTTCCTCTATTTTAAAGGGATGATCTACAGACATAAGACTCTTACCGGAAGTCTAAATTATTTTCTTGTTTTTCATTTTTTCTTGGTGTGAACGTCACTAGTTATAAAGTGAACTTGTCAATTATGATTTGTGTGCTGAAACATTTATAACTAATCTTTATTAAAATGAATTTTTTACATTGAAAACTCAGTTGATAAAACCAAATTATCAGGTTATATCCCCTACCCACCTAGTACCACAGCTTTTTCAGAGACTTACCTCCTTTATTTCTGTTGGTCCTAAGAGTTAATCGGTCTGAATATCACTTTCACTAACCATCTTTGTTCTTCTTTTCTTTTTTTTTTCTTTCTAGCACATCTCTTGTAAAACTATCGCTTCTAATTTAATTATCCTTCTCAATTTTTGAAGAAACTTATTCCTTCACAAAAACAAGCCTAGAATCTCTGTATTCCTAAGATTTCTCACAAAAACAAAGATTAACAGACCAGTGAGAAGATACGAAACCGTAAGGTTTAACTGATATCACCAATGTTGCATACCATGCTACGTTACACTCGAAAACTGTTTAAAAATGTTCGAAAGTAGTTGTTTAACAGCAGAGGAAGATAATCTACAGTAGAAGCAGTTTTTTTGGCTCATTCAGGAAAGTGGAGACGCGAGTCCCTTCTTATTTCCTACCACAGTATTGAAATTTGGTTGTTCCATTTAAAGAGCACTTTCTCCTGACTGAGCATCTCTTCGACTTCCCATACATTTTACCCAATTCTTAGGCTACAATTCGGGGTAAATCGTTTCCTCTTAAGACCAACATGGCTAAAAGTGACTCAGAGTCATTTCAAGATTTTCCTTTCTACATTCTGCTGCATGTAATTTCATTCACAATGAGCGATTACCGGTACCTAAGGTAATTCAATTGTCATGTGTCACTCATACAATTTGTATAAAAGTTTGTATGTTTCCCTGCCCCGTTAATATGTGGGCGAATGTCATCAGGTACATAACAAAGGCTAACTATAATAATGCAGTGCGACGTACAAAGGAACATCATGGTACTTTTACGTATAAATTGATTAACAACCATTTCTGTCACTCTATCCCTGTCACATTCAATGGTAATTTTCAGTTACTACACAAGATCGAGAAATGACATTCGCAAATCTAGTGCCACAAGAAGATGGGGTCATTGGTCGTCAGTAAATTTTAGCGCCGATATATGAAACGGCTTAGACACTTCATTAAGGAATGCAGAGTCATTGCCTGCTTTTAAACGTGGCCTGTCCAAAGTTATCTTTGATTCTTAACGACATTCTTTGCTTTTTACCCTCTGTATATTCTTTTTATCTTTTACATTCCTGTATTTTTAACTGGTTATATTTGATGCTTGATGATTGTATATACTCTTTTAAACTTTTACATTTTTGTATGTTTAACTGGTTCTTAATCTAAACTTAGTATTCTTCTGAGAACCCTTTTGTAAACCACTTCGTAACGTTGGCATCCTCATTAAAGATTACTACTACTACTTTGTACGATAAAATTTTCCTAATTCTTGCTTTGTTTAATTACACGGTCTATTTTTCCACGAAATTTCTTTATAGAGTTAGTCTCTTACGGAAATTCATCATGTGGTTGGGCTTTTACGAACGTTCTGATGTTCGTTAAACCAAGTCTTCAATAACAAACCGTCTGTAGGGCTTACAGACCTATATCTAAACGGGCGGCTTCAATTCAGATCTATCAAGCGTCAAGAGGAGACTAAAGCATTCAACTGTGCGAATTCTCGTAGATTCCGCCGTCTTTCTTCCCTAACCTTTCTTTCTTGAATCCCACATTGTAATAATTGGAAGTCACTTGAGTGTCCTGCAATGACTGGTACTCAGGAGGTTCACGTGACTTCCCTTCCGAAGGCCTGGGGTGGAGTTCCATATAAACACCAGGCTCTGACGCTTGATGACCACCAGATGGGGCGGAGATACCACTGTTTACTGTGGTTGCTTTTTTATTAAGCTCAGTTCGTCTCAACCGCCATATTAGCGCACCAATCACAATGAGCAAGAAGAAAACAATGCAACAAAGAGCGATGACAGCAGCCCGAAAGACTTGGGATTCACCTGTTAGAAAATAGGAGGGATTTACATCAGATATGAAAATCTGTGTCTCCATGAAAATTGGAGAAAATAATGAAGGAATCAAGTGATAGCTTTGAGAGGAATCAAATGATTATTACGAGATTATTCCAACATGCTGTTTAATTATGGATTTATTGGCGCTGTTTAATCAACAATTTAAGACCAGCTTCTTGTGTCCCCACAATACTCACTGGTATCTCCCTTTATGGTTTCTTTAGTATATTTAAGTGACTCTGCAGATTGAAAGAAAATAATAGTTAAACATTAAAATTCATAGAAGAGCAAGCGAGAACAAAAAACCTGCCCTTAATCAAGATTGTGGCCTTTCTCGTCATAGAGCTGAAAGCATCAAGGCGCTTTTGTTAATTACATCAATGGAAGTTGCACAAATTTTACATTTAAGTGAAAATAAAATAACAAAAAATCTACTAAAAAGGATGTTATTCTATGATAATTATGATAAGAATTGAAAGGTGACCAAATGTAAATGCAGACCGGAATAAGAATTATCTAGTAAACACAGAAACAACGGTGGTAGGTTAGTTTGCTTTTCGTAATCAGCAGTGGCCGAGGTTTTAAACCTAACTTATTCAGTTGAAGGGGAGAAATAAGGCCAGGCACAAACTTTTGAAACAGTGGCAGACTTCAACAAGGATCTGCCATTACTTGAGTTTAACTTTTTTCCAATTTGCCCGCGCAACTGTAACAACTGACTCTTGCCAAAAGGGAAGTTTCTCTCCAAGTCACAAAGCTCTCATGAAAGTTTACAGCCCACTAAACTGAAAAGATAGAGAAATTAGTTTCAAGTCTCACGTGAGTGTTAACTCGCATACCTGGTGTCACAGATATCGAGGCCACTTTACTGGCATATCCTTCCAAAATTTGCTAAAAAGTGAACCAAACATGGTCAAAAAGTGACAAACACATCTTAAAATTCATTGATATAAGGAAGTGAGATTTATCCCTAACAGCAAGTGTGACTGCACGTAAAAAAATGGTTTGGTCCAAAATAATTTTCTTCATCAAGTGGATATTATGTTTAGATTATCAACTCTAAATAACAGAACAATTAAACAACACCCAAATTTACTTACACCATTGAAACGAGTTATTGCTCTTTGATAGGCAAAATAGTTTCCTCCTTTCCTCAGTTTTTTGTTGATAAAAGTTCCATACGATTTCCCGTCACCAATAGTAAATTTCCAAGATTTCTCATGCACAGGATCATTTTCGATTTCCGCAGCGATGTAAAACGGATGAAAGTTCAAATTTTCGTCGTTTAAATCTTTCAGCTTCAAATGAAAATCCTTGGGAAGCTCTTGAACACAATCAGAGACTTTAAGAATGATTATTTGATAAGCACTGAAATGTTGAAAACGAACAAAATTCTGGTCAACACCATTGCGGTCATCGCCGTATTGAAAGGTGGTGGTTGTTTGATGGTCTTTAATGACTTGAGTTAAGCACTTAGGAACTTTTGCAACAAAGTCATGTGTTTGTGTTCAATATAGTAGCCAGTTGTGCGATCTGATCGTCTTGGGAAGAATAGTCCTAAACAGAAATGTTGTTGATTGCAGAACTGGCGTTTTGTTAACGTTACAGTCAACAAGGAGATTTTTACCCAGTCTTGTATTGCAACTTAAGTTCGAAAGACCTAATTAAGGCATTGTATCTTTCTCATATCATGGGCTATGTACACAAGATTAACATCATTATGTGCACAGTGAAAGCAAGAATTGTATCCTCCTCAGGTGAGTGTATCATTAATAGTTTATGCTTTTAGCTAATCTGTGACACAAACTATAAAACCATCACCTTATTGGACCATTCCTTTGTTCAGCAGGCCACAGATCAATTTCAGCCTGCAACTCAGCGACCTTCCTGGTGGTCAGTGATAGTACAACTGAAGCCAATGGCTCTGGGAATAAAATAAATATAATAATATGATTCGCAAAATATTTACATCAATTTCAAGATGCATATTCTCCATACTGATCCCATACATTCCTAATCAGAAGTAGGTGATCATTTCCTTTATTCTTGTGACCACATTGTGTGATTCAGGGGTGATATTGTGAAGAGAAATTAGATGCAAACAGTTACTTGCATGTTATTGCTTACCTCCTATTTTTGTTTCTACTTCCAAAGATGAAGGGAATCCGTTGTTTCCACATTTTGAGATTCCATAAACCCGAAGGTCATATTTGGTACCTGGTACCAAATTATCAAGGGTATATTTTGTTGTTCCCTGTACATCTTTGCTGCCTTCGTGTGAAAAGCTGTTGTTGTAAGACTTTTTCCCAGAGTACTCAACCTTAACAATCAAACAATTGAGTCAAAGGCAGGTACAGTAAATACCACACCTGCACTAATTTATTTACAAATAAAATCTCCCACGTGGACGTGCATTTTCGTGATCACAGCACAAAACAAAAAACCCTAATTTTATGTATATACATATAGCTGTGCATGTACATATAACTCCTCTCACTTATTACAGTAACTATTACAGTAGCTGCTCTTAAATGGTAGTCATACTGATGGTACCAGTTCTCTAGTACACTTATGCATTATATTCATTACGACAGATGTCATTTCCGTCAGTGCTCCTTTAACCCTTTAACTCCCATGAATGATCAAGAAAGAATTTCTTCTAACAATTTCAATACAATGTCAAGCATAGGAGTGATGAGAATAAAGTAAAATATTGATTAGGGGATTATTAGTTGATCCAATACCAATTTCTCCAAACTAACATCATAAGAATTGTATAGCAACAAAGAGTTGTATTAAAATTTGTCAAAATCCATGTTTTTACAGCAAAGTAGATTTAAACATTAAGAATATCACCTTCCACTCTTCTTCCATAGCAGGTTGGGGTCTCACCCATTCCAGTGTCATCTCTGTTGACTGAGAGTCTGTTGCCCTCAGGTTGTAAGGTGCCCCTGGTACTTTGTCATATTAGTAAGTAAAACAATATAAGTATGATAGCTTTTTTAGATTCCAGAGTAAGTTCCTTCTTTTGTGTATTCAGTAAATGCGCTTTTATTAATTTCCTACTTTTTCTGTAGTTTTTTTATTTGTACAAATAGTCCATGTTGTAATAAGAATAAATTAAATAATGTGATTATGAGTTAAAATGTACAGCTATTTGCGCTGAAAAATTTATGGGAAACATTGCAACTTGTTTCCCTAGGTACACTTGGGGGCGCATTTTGAATATCACCCCTATTCAATTAATCAATTTCCTGGTTATTAGCCGAATTAAGCTACAACCAAAGACAGCCAAAATGCCTTGCTTTTCTTACTCTTACTAGTGATTTTGAATCAGACTACACATTAAGCTTCTATGCAGTATAAATTAATGAGTTTGAAGCAAAATTTTGCATGCTCTATATTCAATTTGAGGAAAAAAATGAAACTTACTCAATTCCAGAGGTAAGGGTTGACCATATGGTCCAGGGCCAGCTTTAGTGTATGCTCGGACATACACATTGTAACAAGGCTGAATATCATACAGGATAACAAATGCTTTTGTTGTGTTAACAGTTTTGCTGTTGGCTGGAGATCTCTTTTGTCGACTTCCAGACAACACCAATGATATCTTGACCTCATATGAGATAACTTTGCTATAACTCTCTTTTCTTGTCAGGGGTGACCATGAAATATTGAAGGTTGTTTGGTTCAGTCTACTGAAAGACACATCATTTGGTGCTACACTGGGTTCTGACAAAAGGGAATAAAAAAATATACCAATTCAGATAAATGGTCAGCTGTCTGTCATTGAACGAAAAAAATTTAATAAATAATTATTTCTGAATCACATTTGATGAAAAATTTATCCTCAAAGTTTATCTAAATTGTATTTCAGTAATTCTTCTCTCCTTCCCCCTTCATCAAATTTTTATTTTTTTTAGGTATGTAGTCATTGATGTTGACTAATCATGTTCACCAGTCCTTCAAAACTCCATTGGAAAGCACTTGGAGTTGATAAGGAGAGTCCCTCCTTTACCACTCCTATAGTGCAGCTGTTCTCAACTTGTCTACCTTGATATCACTTACCATCTACACTTATCAAATAACATTAAAGTTGAAAGTAAAATTAATAGGCCATTTTCAATGTATTAAAATTCAAACTTTGTGTCAAGGGTTAGGGGAATAAAACAAAGGAAATCACATCAAGGTTGAGGGACAAACAATTAGTTTCTTTTGTTTTATTCCCCCTAGCCTTGCAGCCATGTTAGAATTTTAGTATATCAAAACTAGCCTATAATTTCTGATTTACACCTACCATAATCATTAACAGCAACAGACAAGGTTGCATTTGGTCCAGGTTTGATTGTAGCAGCTCTGACGTGGAACTGATAGGTGGCCCCACCTAACACATCTACTGTGTAACTGAAGATGTTTTGTTTTAATGTTTTAGTGTGAATATTATAAGGATCTTCATTGTGACTATAAAACACAGTGTAACTCCTTATAATCCCATTTTCTTCTGCTGGCTTATACCAGGTGAGCTTTATCTTGGGACCAACTTGTTTATCTGGCATTATCTCAGCCTGCGAAAGGTTTGAAGGAATGGTTGGTGCTAGAGTAGCAAAGAAATGGAAGATGAAGGTCATTATTTAAGCTAGACTGAAATAAAATTGATCTTTGGCAGAAAAAATGAAGAAATTAGATAATCCACTTTAACCTGTTCACTGAAAGTGCTGAAGGAAGTTAACTCATTATACTACTATTACTAATGCTAACAATAATAATAATAATAATAATAATAATAATAATATAATAAAAATGATAATAATAACTTAACTCTCATATTATATCCTGCATCATATCATTACTCTAAACCTGCCAAGATATACTATTATGTTCCAATCTTATTCAAATAAGCTATAATTATGTTTTTGAGTAAAATATTTCTTATAACCTACACTGTTCAATTTTAGTCTCTTACCATCTTCCAAAGTCTGCTCAACCTTTACAGAACTTTTTGGTCCCTCACCACGAGATCCAACAGACAACACTTGAAATTCATATTTGGTGTACTTGTTCAGATTAGTGAAAGCTTTAGTTAATGTTTCTGCTCCAGTAACAGACTCCATGACTAAATTGTCCACTGAGCCCTTCTGTCTGTAAAACAACTTATAACCTGTTATATCTCCATGTCTGGCATATTCTGGCAGTGATGCCCATGATGCTTTTATACTAGTAGATGAGATTGCAGTCACAGTGAAGTTGCCTGGAGCTTGTGATGGAACTGGAATGTTGAATAAAAATGATTATAAGGTATTTTAATGATATTTTCACAATGGTCATGTGCCTATAAAGGAGCTGAATTGGTCAACACAGATGAAAGTTGTTAATATTGATGAAGCATTATTTCTGTACTATCACAGTGCTTGTGTCCTCCCTAAAACTTTGCAAGTCAGAATTTCAAGCTCTTTCAAGTCTGACATCAAGTGAACCTAAGTGACTTCATTCATCCTCAATGGATTAAATGAGTGCCATTTAGGGAGTGACTAAGTGGTAATCTGATTTCTGTAGGGGATAATTTACAAATGTGATTATATACACTGAACATATACATATATCATTCAAATATATACCAGTTATGTAATGCTGAGTGGTATATCATGAAATAATTTATTCCACAAGTCGCTCATAGTCTGTCATTACCTGAACATTAATGTTGAGGGAAGAATTTGGCTCTGACATGGCTCAAACAGCACTTGAAATACACTAGAAGTGGCATTGTACGCTCGATTTTGGCAGGAATAAGATCACAGTACACAATAAAAGGACTGGGCACAATACTATCAAATATACAATGAATTCCTTCTGATTGGCTATATTTTCTGCAGCATGGTATCAGTATTGGTAATGCTGAGTAGTATACCATTGAATATCCCACAAGTCACTTGTATTTAATGTCATTACCTGAACATGAGTGGGTGCAATACCATCAAATATACAATTCCTGAATTCTGATTGGCTGTATTTTTCTACAGCATGGTATCAGTATAGACTATGAGATTTTATGTAACATTTTAAGTAAAGTGAGTCATAATATTCCCTTCCACTTTTTTGTAACACTTGTAGGATTTCAATGATATGGTACAGACAAAATAGAATTGGTACCTGTAGATAGGAGAACTCCATAAACTTCCACTCTCAATGCCTTATAACCATAGTACTCTGTTGGCACAAAACGGATGAACCTTGCCAAAGCATACTCCCTCAGACCGTGTTTTACTATGTCATTTCTCCCAGAGTTTCCATTAAAGACCTAAAATATTAAAGATATCAATGAAAAAGAACAGTTATTGACACTGACATGTTTATTCACTTCAAAAGAAAATTTCAACTTTCCGTGCACAAGTGATGGCAGTTTTCCTTGGCTTTGAATTATCAACAAGCCTTCAACCAACCAATAAAAATGTAGCAAACACCATCACCAAAACAGCGATGAAAAAGGATAATTTACAGCTCTAATTCTAACAAAAATAGTTTAAATCAAACAAAATGAGTCACTTCAAATCAGAGCTACAAGCCACACCAACATTTGATGTTAGTGGGTTACCATACCCTGGACTACATCATGCCTTAAAAAATAAGCATTTCAAAGCCTGAAAGACATGACCTATGAAGCTCATGTCAGATTTTTCACTCATTTCCATCAATACTTGACCTGGTAATAAAACTGGTTCAAATTTACTCTTACCAAAATGCTCTCGCGTAACTGTCTCTAATTCTTCTGCCTATAAAATTAGGCTTGACTGAGTCAGTGTTCTCCCATATTTTAAGCATGACAGGTAAAATAAATTTTCAAACTGGTAAAGCAATCCTTTTACTTGTTGAATTTTCAAGAATTCCAAACAATTTTAAACGGTAATGAGAAACACTTCAGGGGGTAAATGTTACTGGTTACTGCCTGAAAAGGAGAACACTGCTGAGTGTATTTTTAAAGGGGGTAAGTTTATAAAGAAACTGTGGTACTACGTCAGTGGGAGAGTATAGCAGGTAACTTAGTGTTAACAACTGAGTTGAAAACACAACATTGCCTTTTAACTCTTTATGGTGTTTTCAACCCAGTTATTAACACTAAATTACCTGTTAAGTGTATTTTTATGAAACTGCATGAACAAAATATCAAAAAATGAAAAAAAAATTCAAGTAAGTTTAGCATGATGTTTCATTAACATCAAACTGACCTTCTCAGTGTTGTTTTCTTTATATGTGTTAAAGGTGACACCATCCAATGATAATTTAATCTTGTACTTTGTTGTCCACTGATCACTATTGACAGATCCTTGAGTGGCTACAGCACAGATAACATAATCATACTGCAGGTCAATTTGTAGGTAGTCAGTGTGATCAGTATTAGTATTTGGTGCCCAACCCCAGTTATTTCCATTCAGACGACCAGCTGAAGGTCCGCGGCCATCATTAGCTTGTGTTGAGGCTGAGAAGCTGCCATCTGGAATTGCATCACTGCTGGTCACACCGATGGCCTGACTATGACATGCTGTTAAAAGACAATCATAATTACCATAAACTTTGGTTTCAACCCAGAGAATCAGTTTATCATACATGTACAGTAACAATCACAAGTGTGCTGCACCATCTAAACATACCTCAAGTGATTTTACTAGTGATTTGAGGTATTTATATAAAGAACTGTTGTTGTTGTTGTTGAGTGAAAACGCAAGGCTTGAAAAATAAAAAAAATTAATTAACTTTGTCACCTTTTGGCCTCTAATTGAAGAAAAAAATGCCATCAGGAATTTCTAGTTGCCATAATTAATTACACACTATACTACAGGATTCTTACAAATTGCCAGTTCATGAACATAGATCACTCTTAACTACTGAAATATTTATGTCATGTGGTCTTCTTACACCATCAGCTAACTACACAACCACTCCATTATTCTTTACTATTGATTTATAGGTTAATAATAAAAGTTTCACGAAGGGCCACATTTTTAATTTGTAGCATTTATGTTTAAATAGGTCACAACATACATTTATACATGTACATGTAAATATATCAACTTTTAAACCAAACTATCATACTTATCTGCTACACACAACCAGTTTACATTTATTTAACAATGTTGAAGTACCTACATGTCTACATACAGAAATTAAATAGCAAATTTTCCTGAGAATGTAGATTGGAACCTCAACTCAGTAAGGTAGCAGTTAATAGTAGTTCTTCAAAATATCCAGATATGCCATACCTCTTTGTTCTGAATACACTTCAACTTCACAAAGATTGAATCCCGATCTACCTCCCCTAACATCCCTGATGGTGACATATCTTCCTTTCAAACTAGGATGGCAGAAGAATGACAAACCTACTCCTTTAGGAAGGTTATGAGTAGCTGCCCAACCACATTTGGGACTAGTCATACTAGTATCAGTAATACTTGATACTGTGCCTGAAAGAATACCGTAATAATAAATCACTGTTAAAAAGTACAAACAACTTAAAAGAGATGACTGTAAAATATGACATATACTGATCAAATAGAGACATCCACTTTCAAAACAAGCAAGATTTACCTCCCTAGTGAGCCTTTGCCTTAATAAAAGCTGCCCTTTTTCTAGTGCGTAGGCTAGACTGACTCAAATGTTATGCATAGCAAGGGCATGATGCTTGGTAATACAAGCCAATTACCAGAAATAGATACTGCTATTAGTATTATTATTTGTAATAAGCTAGTCCCTGCCAATACTTGTGGTTGTCTGGCAGTTATTTTACACATCATCAAGACGGAGCTCCCAATAAAATTTCAATGTAGCCCCTTAACTATCAAAACTGCTCCTGTCCTTCAAATTATGAAGATTCTTCCCTTCTGTCATTTGGCAGCAGCCATTTCAATGTCACTGAGTTTAATTAGGGAAACTGTCTACAGACCACAACACTCAGTGAAGAAAATATATCAAGTGATGGGAAAACATGACTAATTTGCATGGAGAAAAACTTTCATAAGCTATACTTCATCCAAACACTGGTAAATGTATAAGTGATTTCAATCAATTTAGGATAAAAATGGACTATAAAGTATAACATTAAATTAAAAAATAGGACATGTTTACATCTGTGCCATTTCTCAGACTCATGTTACACATTTATTGTTAAACCATGTGGAACAATAAAAAAACTAATGATTTTAGCCAATGAACATAATCATGCATCCAACTTGAAAAGAGAGTAAAAAGAGCACAGCCAGCCAACCTGCTCAGTAAAATGGCAATGTTTTCCAGTTGCCTGAAGCTAACACTCAGTTCCTTTTGGTAAAGAGGAACCAGCAGAGCACAACCATGTAAGGGTATCTATGTGTACAACTGCCAAATCAAAACACCAACATCTAAACCTAACAGCAATTATATGATGCATGTTCAAACAGAAATAGCTGTGGCTGAGGGTTGACAAGAATGTGGAAACCACAGCAGCATTGACAAAAACCAGGACCAGATCAGATTGGATTATGGATCAGAAAAAAAAGTTTTGAAAAATTAATAATAAACAAAATATAAGATTAAATGAATAAGGGGCTAAGTCTCTGAAGAAACCGTGGTGCTGTGTCAGTGGGAGAATATGACTAAGTAAATTGGTATTATCAACTGAGTTGATAATACAAATAAATTGGCCCCCGTTTAGATTTTAAAAGATGACATTTTGAGTGTTAGCCCTTTGTCAGAGTGAATGACAAAGGAATGTTTCCCTCTGACAAAGGGCTAACACTTGAAACATCAGCTTCTGAAATGTTAACAGAGGCCAATTTACATTATCAACTCATTAATAATACCAAATTACCTCAAAGTAAAAGTCTGAGTGACATAATGGAGCGTATGTAGGCCCCACTGGAAGCCTTTTTGCCCCAAAACTCTGTGTAGTCACTTTCACAGCTTTGTCAAGGAGTTTTGTGTAGTGCCATCATGGACATTAAGGCATGTAAGAGGTACGAATCACTTCATCAGTCAGTTATTACCGTATTTATATGTGTATGAGTCTACTCTCCATTTGCATGGGCAAAAGTCAGATTTTTCATCATTTCTACTCAAAGAAGTAACATTCAAACAGATAGAAATTTCTCAATCTATTATTTCTGAGAATGTATTGAAAACACAGGGAATTAAAAAAACTGCAGAGCAAAATGAAATCATATGCTGCTAAGTTTATTAGCACTTGTTTATATCACCATGACCAAAGCATAAATGAGCACTTTGATTTCCTGGAGAAGTGTTTTACCATATTTTGTAAATCACATTGAAAATGAAATCTTCTTGCATTTAACTAACTTTTTTTCATATCACCTCACATTCAATATTACTAACCACATGCAAAAGAAGAGGCTTGGTGAGGAGTAAGAATGGTTTAAATATGACAGCTGAAATGCATGACTTTTGTGCAATTTATGTAAAGCAGTTTTTTTACGTCACACAGATTTCATTTTGGCTTGTCATGCAACATTTCTAATATAAATTAACATGTTTTAGTTTTTCAATCTTATTTTTATTTATTATTATTTTAAAAACAGTTATATATATATATATATAATATAATGTGTATACATATATATATACACAAGTTAAAGAATTAAAGAGGACGCATTGATTCAGACAGAGAATTGACGCATCCTCTTTAATTCTTTAACTTATGTATACTTAGCTCTGCTACCACAGCATTGAGCACTTTATGCTAAGATAGACTCTATATATATATATATTTTTTTTTTTTTTTTTTTTTTTTTTTTTTTTTTTAAATTTTTTTAAACCTTTTTTGTTTGGTCTGTGATGCAACCCATGATCTGATCCCTGATCCTGACCATGATCCAACCTAGTCCAATCCAGCTTTTGTCAAAGCCGGAAACCACAGCAAACCATTTTCCCCTCTTTTCTTGAGGACATTAAGCTAAGAGTGCATTGACCACTTCAAAAATAACCATTACTGTAAGAGTATTAACCTACCAACTCTGATCTCAAATTTTCTCAGACGATTTACATCAAGTAAACCGACCACATACACTTCAGTCACAATCTCATCTTGTCCTAGATCCACTCTCCACCATGGAAATGGATTCTTTTGCACAAATGAACATGATCCACCCCAAAAGTCCATATTGCTATTTCCATCAACCGCTCTATCACTTGTGCCATTTACTAATGTCTTTGTCTGCTGATATGTTGGTTTTCGAAATGCCAGATTTTCTAGGAGAAAATGTACACACACACAAAAAAGAAAAGTTTCCTTAGACAAAGATGATCGCTGTCCACATACTGACCATAGAATGACAGTTGCATGGAGTTGTATTGAATATGTTTGTTACACTGTACATTACATAGAAAAATTAAAACAAAGGGTATTTTTAAAAAACTGGTTGATGGTAGATATTACATTTTGGGCAGCCTACAGATGTACCAGCCTTTGCCAATAAGCTGGAAAGCAAAGGACACCAAACTGTAATAACTTTGATATAAGAAAAAAATCATGTACAAGTGTATGTGTAAATTTTGAAATAAAAGATATACCTCCATTGTAATTATGGCATTTTACTCCACTCTTAAGCTACAATATACTACTATATAAATTCTACTGGTCATCCTTAACAGGTAAATTAATAGAGAGACATACTTATATTGCTTGATTGATTGTACAATTGAAGATTTAAAATTGCTGACATACTCAGAGATAAATTGTACCATTCTTAGACACTTAATATTAAGGCAACAGACCAAAGGTAAGTTTTAAGACCCAAATATCAAGAAAGGAAAAAGTGTTGTAATATACATATATTCAAATAGCAAATAAACCTATATTTAAATTACTTATCAAAAGACAATTCTTACAAGCATGACTATAAAATAATTCCCAACAAAACTTTTCTAAGATCTTTATGGTTAAAGGGTTTCTGTGAGATTAAACAATAGTCTCGATTTATCCACTTGACAAGAACATATTCCAAGGGCACTTGTTGAATTATCTACTTTTGATTACATTCAAATGTTTATCAATATAATTATAAAATCAGGTGTACTTTTCAAGGCTTTTGTGCAACTTAAAATTCAATGTGACTTTTGGCTGTAGTAATTATCATAATGGTAAATACAGTTTGTACATTAAACATGCAAACATAAGTATACTCAACCTAAATGAATGCATATATGTTTTGAGATACATAAGAAAGTCTTGGATGAGTCAATTTTTAAAAGAGGAAAAGTGACTTCACTACTACATTAAGTTTAGTAGAAAGAGTAAGTGAAAAGTTACCTCGTGAATAGACTTCTACCTCACACAGCTCAAGACTTTGTTTCTTTGTGGTTAAAACCCCTACATATCTACCAGTTTTCAGTGGATTGGTAAAACAAACAGCTGATGCAGTGAAGTTCTGAAAATCATAGAGTCCTCCACAGGGGGAGTTAAGTGACACATCATCAAAGCTACCTGCAGATTATGAGGCACTGAAAGTCAGAATTACTAGTAGAGTTTGGTTCCATGTGGCAAACATGATCAATTTGTAATAGATTCTTTAGCAAAGTAAACATCCTGGAAATGTTATTTGGCATATTAAAAAGAAATTAAAACTACCAAAACAAGGATTTAATCACATTAATTTTGTACATGCCATAATAGCCTTAACAGAGTGGCCAGGTAAAAAAGTTATTACTGAAGGTAAACTTAGTGTCCCATGTGAAGGTACAGTGTAGACAAATGATGACACTTGAGTATCCTGCTTCTAGTACTCTGGTCCCATTTACATGTACTAACTGAACTCTACAAGAAACCACAGGTAAGATCCTTGCTAGAAAATCTTAAACTGAGGCCCTGTATTGACTGAGCAATGACAAGTAAAAAACATCTAGGTTGATTAATAACAAGGTCAAAACAGCTTAGCTGAGGTTTCAAAAATTCCTGTAACATCCAAACTGGCCTGTTGTTTAGCAGTTGATTATAACGTGATGTATGCATGGTTGACCTTACATTTGATCAAAGGATAACAAAACTCACCAAATGTTATTTTGTAGTCTTCAGTAACCACATGCTGTGAGAACCTGTTGACTATATGAACTTCAGAGACATCAACATGGTCTGAACCCAGGTCCACTCTCCACCAACTGGGGTTATTATTCTGAGTATGTGAACAGCTCCCTTTTAAAAAGTTAGTGTCAGGATTTCCATCCACTGCATTTCCAGACACACCATAAACATTGTCAGCAGTAATGTTGAATGTTGAAGACTGAGTTGTAGCCTTCCCTAGGGCAAGGTTCTCTGTGAACAGATATTGAAGAAAATCTTACCACATGGGCCAGGAAAAACTTACTATTGCAACAGAGTGGTTCCACTCAAGATATTATAAAACAAAAGAAAAAGAGTTATGCAGTTTTTTTTTCCCAAATTCCTCGCTTTCCTTCCATTCCTTTTTTTTTGTTATGTGTAGTTGTACTGTACCAACACTTCTCTGAACCAAATAGTGTCATCTAGGAGATATTTGTGCCAATTAGTTTCATGTTATAGTTCAACCCTGCAATAGCTTATGAATTACCCATTTCAGATTAAAGCTATTTCTATCACTTCCTCACTTCTGTTATAAAATGACTACCTTTTGCCTAGTTATTCAGTTGATTTAACAATTGCAACATACTACAATTTGTCAAGCCTTTGTTTGTCTATATTTCACTTAGCACTGACAAAACCTTCCACAAAGATAATCTCAAAGAAACTTAGTTTTGAACAATGGACTTGCTAAGCAAGCAAATCTTTTCTAAAAGTATCAAAGAATACCAGAATATAAAATCTACATATATAAATGGGTTATTGACCAAGTGTGAGGTCAAGATGGCTGTATACCAACCAAGTTCTTTTTTCCATAATTTTGTTGACAGAGACAAAGTCAAGGTCCACAAAAATAGAAAAAGTAACCAAGTCAATAACCAGCCATCTTACCTAAACAAGTTTGGTCAATAAGGGATTTATTATATAGCTAAACATTTTGCTTTCATAAGAATCAAGAATAACTTGTTAATTTCAAGAGCCAGGGAAGGAAGCTAACCGTGTTTGTAGCATAATAAACCCAAAAATGTTGCTTATGTTTTTTCTGTTTTGACTATGTTCTGCCTCTTTTTGCAACTTTATCACATTATGCAAAAGTTACTAACTTTGTAAGTCCACTTTTTCTTACACAGGATCAAAGAGGGCAATCTTGAGCAAGCAAGATGAGCTCAGATAGCCAATCAGAACACAGGATTTGCTTCATATTGCCCACATGCACTGCCAGCAATATGATAAATGTATATATTGAACCTCCTTTGGTTATGTAATATTATCATGCCTGACATATACCTGGCTTTTGTTTCACTCCAAACACTTCTGTTCTCAGACACACCAAACCCTTGTAAGTTTGTGGCAGGAAACGCACATATCTTGTCAGCAGTCCATAAACAACATGCTTCACCACAGAGTTTCTGTCACCATTTCCCATGAAGACCTAAGATTTTAAAAAGTTATAACATTAAATAATATTACAGATACATGATGAAAATTACTGTAGGCTTCAAGTAAATTGGTGACTTAAGGTTAAGAAAAAATGAGATTATGTTAGAACAAAAAATACTGATTTGTAAGCACAATGTCCATGTATTTGTTATTACATGAAATACATGTAAACAAGTTGTATTTTTGTACTCAAATTCTTATTACTCAGAAAAACATTGCACCTTAACTTGTCCAGCTTCCTTGTAGTCTGTCCAAGTTGTCCCATTTATGGATAATTGTAGAGTGTAGGTCTTCACCCACTGATCTGCTTGAGAATTTCCTTGAGTAGAGACAGCACAGATGATATGAAGAGTCTGTAGATCAATCTGTAGATATGGGTTAGTGTCACTCGTTCCTGCACACCATGATGATCCTGATGTGTAATTCAGTCTACCATTCTTGGCTGGTGTGTTGGCATTTTGTACCGAAGAAGCGGTTATGTTACCATCTGAAATTCTCTCATTTTCCAAACCAAGATCCAAATCGATATATACCCCTATTAGAAAGTTAACAGATAAAACAGAAAATTATAACCAAACTAAGTAAAGCTCAATGAATAGTCGCGGGTATATTTCGTTTTGAGTTTTTGATTGCAAGAAAATTCATTTGCTTCATTGCTCCTGCCTAGATATACATTTCTAACAAGGTTCTGACTCTTTTAATTTGTGCTTTATACGGACATGAAAATTTAGATATCCCCAGAAATTGAGGTCATTTCCTTCACAGACACAAAAACAATAACTACATCGTACGACATTTCTACCATCGATACTATTTCTTCAGGATATGTTCAGCCCGAAAAATAACTAGTTATTTACCTGGATACCTAGGAGTTTTATGATCGTTTTAGTTATAGAACACACGTTACGGTAGTAACTTGGTCTAAAAGTGAGATTACTGTCCTCCATGTTGACTGTGGCATGCTTAGTAACCATGCCACGACCTTGGGTTTTGGCGGGAAAATAACCCAGCGTGCAAAGTTAGTCACGTGATCATTAAATAGGTAGCCATATGGTTTTGTGAGTAATTTGTAATCGTACTACCAGGATATTTTTCAAAGGCTAACAAAGGTAAACTCCGTAGTGCAGGTGCAGTTTGTAGTCATTTATTCCCAAATTCCATAGGCTGAATCCTGTTTTCATTTGTTCATCGTGAACCGTAAAAGGAGTGTAAATGATCCCAGTTTATAGTAGTGGCATTGCGACCTCACCAAGGGATTCCGGGGCCGTAGGATTGTGTGTAAAAGCGGATTAATTTTTTACCACGGCTAGGTGGGTTACCTTAATTACCTGAGATCACCCAATTTCATGTAAACAGAACCTTAGTGTTACGACTACCATCTGGTCTCAGGAATTGTTCTAGTAACACTCTGTCGTTTAACCGATCGTTAATAAAACTCCATAGAGCAGATTTAACATGATAAATTTAACGATGACATCATCAATTGGACCAACGATTGATGGAGTGTGTCCAATTATTTACTGACACTAGTACACTTTCAGATCATTTGCAATTGAACACATTTCAAAATTTCACTTTACATCGCAAATTCTCCTTATGCCTTCAGAACATCTATAGAGATACTTTTGTGATCCTCTTTGCAACACGTCACTTAAACCCGAAACCCTTTTTCTTGGTCTGGTCTTAAAGGTTGTTTCAGAGCTATACCTTGACTCGGGATTTTCATGAAAGGTCTCTGCTAATCTCAGTTTTTCGGCGTTGAAGAAAATTCTATGAGTTAAGACGAATGAAATGTCTATTAACACATTATGATTGGTTATTTAGTAGTTGTTTCGTGCCTAGTTTCATGAATATACACCGAATACTTAAGAGGCGATCTCTGTGAGAGCGGTCCAAAGTATTTCGCATCGGAAAAAAGTTTTCCCTCAAACTTTGCCCGATAAACTATCTTTGGTAGCAAGTAAATAAAACCACATTAGTTTCTGGAAATACCGCGGTTAAAATAAAATTTTTAGAGCTCTCAAAAGTCAAAGCTGCTAAAGGCCCTTTTTTGACCTCTTGCGACACATCGAAAATTTCAAAAGTTGAATACCCTGGTCCTCGTATCACACCGCATGCAGCAAAAAATTTCTTGTATTTTTAAACTGTCTGATATGTTAGGTGAATAAAAAGTATTTCAATTTTGATATTTGTTTATTCAGGGGTTCGTCATAATTTATTTAAAAACACTCGTTAGACAGCTTTCTGAACTTGGTCAAAAGTACTCTTTCCTTCTTGGTTGATATTGCTCAAGTCCAGACCAGACCATTGAAAACTCCGCTTAATTTTTTCTAATAAGATGTTTGGCTGCAGAAAAATATAAAAACATCTTGCACTTATTCATTTTGTTCGCCGCGGTGACTTCAAACTTTCAGCGATTTTGCTAGCGTGACAGCCGATTATGCAAATTAGTTCATAGAACAAACTCCGACCGTTTTGTATAAGTAGCTCAATAAATCTTAGATTTTAACCATTTTAAGTTGAAAAGATAGTAGGACAGAGCTTTTAGACTACACTGATTGATACTCTAAACATTTCAAAAGGCCAGAATTTGACAAATTTTACCCTCTCGTGACGAAAGACGTCAACAACAATCATCGAATATCATAATTTGATTAGCGCTCGCTTAACATTTTAAAGGCAAACTCTTTCTTAAAAATTTGGCTTCTGCTACTTCATGCATATTTGAGTTCTGACAGGTTACGCTATTCAAAACCTGTATGAACATTTCAGAACCAAACTACAGGATTCTATTTAGTGTAACCGGCGATAACAGCACACATTGAAATACACCTTGACCAGTGACTCTGTCACGTAATTCTATCGTATAATTGTCCTGAATACCTCTCAAATCCAAGTAAAGCAGCGATTGCTCGAATTTCTAGCTGACAGGAACAAATGATATTTGGTGTCACACCTGTCTGCATAGCAGTCGCTGTTCATAACTTTGGAGAGTTCTTGTGAAAAAGGATATCGCATTCGCATAACGGGTGGACGTCATAATTAGACTGCATTACAACTCCATTCCGAAATCATTTCCTCCATTTTTGCCTCCAAGATAGTTTATTGGGCAAAGTTTAAGGACTGTGTAATTTGATGACTGTGTAATTAGGGAACCGTCATATTTTAATCGATAACGAAGCGAGCTAGTTCTGTTTCGAAAAAAGTTCAGATCTCTCTCAAGCTACCGCTTCATAAACATCGTGAAGCCAAGTAGAGAAGATCATGCTCTTACGTAATTAAGAAAAGACGAGCGACGAGGTTAGTCAGTGAGACGCTCTTACCCCTTACCAGGAAGTAAATCATACTCTGCCAGATAGATTTGAAAATCGCAACTACAATTCTCCCAAACTCATTCTCTCAAAATAAAATAACTTGTCAGATGTTTCAGCTTTAAAGAAGATGTTTGAATTCACATGGGATTTTTCGGTCGGACTCGACAGTTTGTCAATTGACGGCAATGAAATGGAATTTAATTATGTCATATCTATGGAGTCCCTGCCGAAAAACAATCTGTGATTTCGTTGAGGTATTAACTCATATGCCCAGATTACAAATGATAGAGAACTCACCGGATCCCAGAGGAATAAGAAAAGCGAAGAAAGCCACTCGGAAGTACAGCCCGGAATCAAACTCCGACATTTCGCCGCTATTGTTACTTCATAACTCACTCAGAAACTGAAACGTTGCAGACACCTGATGTTTCAGTTCAATAACCTTTTGAATCTTAAAAGCTCATTCTCTCCGTTGAAGCGTATCTGCCAAAATACAACTAAACCCATTATGGTATGTATTCCCGGAGTTTCAGCAGTGTGAAAAGACGACGCGTCGACGGTACGGGTTCACTGTGGGAAAACTCTTTACGGTGGCCAATTTCCATTACCAACTCAGTTGATAAAACCAAATTATCAGGTTATACCCCCTACCAACCTAGCACCACAATTTCTTTTGAAGCTTACCTCCTTTACCTTTGTCGATCCTGAGAGTTAATCGGTCTGAATATCACTTTCACTGACCATCTTTGTTCCTCTTTTCTTTTCTTTTTCTTTCCAGCACATCTCTTGTGAAACAATCGCTTCCAATTTAATTATCCATCTCAATTTTGAAAAAACTTACTCCTTTACAAAAACAACCCTACAATCTCTGTATTCCTAAGATTTACAACAAAAACACAGATTAACGGACCACTGAGAAGATACGAAACCGTAAGGTTTAACTGATATCGTCAGTGTTCCATACCATGTTACGTTAGACCCGAAAACTGTTTGAAAATGTTCGAAAGTAGTTGTTTGACAACACAGGAAGTTAACCTACAGAAGAGGCGGTTTTTTTGGCTCATCAAGGCAAGTGGAGACGCGAGCCCCTCTTTATTTCACTTGTTTGGAAAACGAAAAAAATTACCCCTGTTCTGCAGGAATTTATAGCTTGATCTGCCTCAGGGAAGAAGGCACAGACACTTGCGGGGAGGGGGGCGATCCAGTCGATCCCTTTACTTCATCTTGCTTGGGGTAATACAAAAAGGGGGGCACTGGTCGATCGGTTTAAAAAGAAATGATCAGAGTCAAGGTTTAGGTGTTTTTATTAAGCCACCTTAACCAAGTTAAAACAAATAATAGGAGCACATACTTGATAGATTTAATTTTGGTAAGAAAAAGGCAAAGCAGGTGATTGATCAGCCGAGTCCACGACGTCACGCTTCAGGCATAAGACTGATATTGTATCGATATATTTTTTCGACTGTTGTGAAGGTACTTGTCACAAGACCTTTAGTAATATTTGAAGTCCATGATGCGGTTGTAAATCTAAAACTATCGAATATTTTCAATTGAACGACTCAAAGATTTGGTCGTAGAATTTCTATCAAGAGGAAAAAAGGCGATTTAATGTTACTGGTATTTCTATTTTTGCTTATATTTTCCAGAGGCAAAATAAATCTTTCACTCGAAACATAAATAAAAAAAAAATCCACACATTTTCCTTCGAGGCATCGTTTGGTTCGAAAAGATACCGACATGAACTGTGGAAAGACAAAATAATCATTTTCAACGGTGCATTGCTTTATTCAACTCCTACCACAGTATTGAAATTGGTTGTTCTATTTAAAGAGCACGTTCTCCTGGCTGAGCATCTCTTCGACTTCCCATACATTTTACCCAATTTTTAGGCCACAATTCAGGGTAAATCGTTTCCTCTTAAGAGCAACATGGCTAAAAGTGACTCAGAGTTATTTCAAAATTTTCCTTTCTACATTCTACTGCATGTAATTTCATTCATAATGAGCGATTACCAGTACATCAGGTAATTCAGTTGTCATGCGTTACTCCTACAGTTTGTATAAAGGTTTGTGTGTTTCCGTGCCCCGTTAATATGTGGGCGAATATCATCAGGTACACAACAAAGGCTAAGTATAGTAATGCAGTGTAGAAGCGTTCAATTCTGCATTTACAAGATAAAATTTTTCCTAACTCTTGCTATGTTTCATTACACGGTCGGTTTTTCACGAAATTTCTCTATAGAGTTAGTCTCTTACGAAAATTCATCATGTGGTTAGCTTTTACGAACGTTCTGATGTTCGTTAAACCAAATCTTCAACAACAAACTGTCTATAGGGCTTACAGACCCACATCTTACCGGGCGGCTTCAATTTAGATCAATCAAGCGTCAAGAGGAGGTACATCCTTCTCCTTTCTAAATAAAGCAGCGATAACATCATTTTTTGGATCAGCATTCTAGTCGGCTGGAATAAGAGAAAGTTTGTCTGCACACCTGTCTTTAAGACAGTTCTATTCAGAACTTTAGCATAGATCCAATTCAAGTCTTAAATGCATATATCGACGGCCTCGCCGATGTTGCACAAAAGCCCAGGATTACACGTTTGGAATCCCAAGTAGATTGTAGGGAAAAATGCTCCTTTCCCGAAAAATCTGAGTTTGTACAAAAAGCTGGGGAAGCGTGCCAGCTGGTGTGCGATGTCATTGCTCTAAGAGATGGAAAAGCGTTATTCCAAGCGGTCGTAGATCATGAAGAGAAGTGCAAGACAGCTATTGATGTTGGCCTTCAAATCCTTAAGGCCGCCTATCAGAATGCTCCCACAAAATCACTTAGGACTCAAATACTGAGTATTTATGCCGATAGATTTTCAGCTAACGAGCTTAAACGCATGCATCAGCCATTTGAAAACCTCTCAGATAGACAAATAAAGAAGGCAAGAGCACAGGCGAAGAGTGAGGTGCCTGTTGAAAAAAATCCTGCGTCACAGAATCCGACCTTGAGCTCCATATGAACTTGGTGTTTCATCATGTAAGTCCTATGTCTGCGAGCATGACTGAAAGTCTTTATGGCAAAGTGAAGAGGGAGTGGGTTCATCACTTTCAGTCATTGTCATTAGAGGGTTCGACTGAACCGGTTGCAGCGGCCACAGAACCCTTGACAAGTGCTTCACAGCTTCCCATGGAATGAGCTCTTCATAAGAGAGGTGCAAGTGTACGGCTTTCGCAAAACGTCCGGCAGTACTCGTGTTTGAGGGAGGCCAGGAGCACAGTAATGGATGAGATAGGACTGAAAAGTCCAATCATGTTTGCTGTCTATGATGTGTGCTCGTTGGCAAGAGGGTGAAGGTTGCCCAGCCTCAAAGTCAAGGTACTAAGAGACATGTGCAAACATTTTGAGCTCGCATTCAAAATGCGAGATACAAAGACAACACTTCTTGCAAAAATGGAGGAAATGATTTCGGAGTGGAGTTGTAATGCAGTCTAATTATGACGTCCACCCGTTATGCGAATGCGATATCCTTTTTCTCAAGAACTCTCCAAAGTTATGAACAGCGACTGCTATGCAGACAGGTGTGGCGACCAAATATCATTTGTTCCTGTCAGCTAGAAATTCGAGCAATCGCTGCTTTACTTGGACTTGAGAGGTACTCAGGACAATTATACGATGGAATTACGTGACAGAGTCACTGGTCAAGGTGTATTTCAATGTGTGCTGTTATCGCCGGTTACACTGAATAGAATCCTGTAGTTTGGTTCTGAAATGTTCATACAGGTTTGAATAGCGTAACCTGTCAGAACTCAAATATGCATGAAGTAGCAGAAGCCAAATTTTTAAGAAAGAGTTTGTCATTAAAATGTTAAGCGAGCGCTAATCAAATTATGATATTCGATGCATTGTTGTTGACGTCTTTCGTCACGAGAGGGTAAAATTTGTCAAATTCTGGCCTTTTGAAATGTTTAGAGTATCAATCGGTGTAGTCTAAAAGCTCTGTCCTACTATCTCTTCAACTTAAAATGGTTAAAATCTAAGATTTATTGAGCTACTTATATAAAACGGTCGGAGTTTGTTCAATGAACTAATTTGCATAATCGGCTGTCACGCTAGCAAAATCGCTGAAAGTTTGAAGTCATTGCGGCGAACAAAATTAATAAGTGCAAGATGTTTTTATATTTTTCTGCAGCCAAACATCTTATTAAAAGAAATCAAGCGGAGTTTTCAATGATCTGGTCTGGACTTGAGCAATATCAACCAAGAAGGAAAGAGTACTTTTAATCAATTTCAGAAAGCTGTCTACGAGTGTTGTTCCATTTAAAGAGCACTTTCTCCCGACTGAGCATCTCTTCGACTTCCCACACATTTTACCCAATTCTTAGGCTACAATTCGGGGTAAATCGTCTCCTCTTAAGACCAACATGGCTAAAAGTGACTCAGAGTCATTTCAAGATTTTCCTTTCTACATTCTGCTGCATGTAATTTCATTCACAATGAGCGATTACCGGTACATAAGGTAATTCAGTTGTCATGCGTTACTCATACAATTTGTATTAAAGTTTGTATGTTTCCCTGCCCCGTTTATATGTGAGCGAATGTCATCAGGTACACAACAAAGGCTAACTATAATAATGCAGTGCGACGTACAAAGGAACATCATGGTATTTTTACGTATAAATTGATTAACAACCATTTCTGTCACTCTATCCCTGTCACATTCAATGGTGATTTTCATAGTTACTACACAAGATCGAGAAATGACATTCGCAAATCTAGTGCCACAAGAAGATGGGGTCATTGGTCGTCAGTAACTTTTAGCGCCGATATATGAAACGGCTTAGACACCTCATTAAGGAATGCAGAGTCATCGCCTGCTTTTAAACGTGGCCTGTCCAAAGTTGTCTTTGATTCTTAACAACATTCTTTGCTTTTTACCCACTGCATATTCTTTTTATCTTTTACATTCCTGTATTTTTAACTGGTTATATTTGATGCTTGATAACTGTATATACTCTTTTAAACTTTTACATTTTTGTATGTTTAACTGGTTCTTAATCTAAACTTAGTATTCTTCTGAGAACCCTTTTGTAAACCACTTTGTGACGTTGGCATCCTCATTAAAGATTACTACTACTACTTTGTAAGATAAAAATTTTTTAAAAATTTTTGTTTAATTACACGGTCTATTTTTCCACGAAATTTCTTTATAGAGTTAGTCTCTTACGGAAATTCATCGTGTGGTTGGGCTTTTACGAACGTTCTGATGTTCGTTAAACCAAGTCTTCAATAACAAACCGTCTGTAGGGCTTACAGACCCATATCTAAACGGGCGGCTTCAATTCAGATCAATCAAGCGTCAAGAGGAGACTAAAGCATTCAACTGTGCGAATTCTCGTAGATTCCGCCGTCTTTCTTCCCTGACCTTTCTCTCTTGAATCCCACATTGTAATAATTGGAAGTCACTTGAGTGTCCTGCAATGACTGGTACTCAGGAGGTTCACGTGACTTCCCTTCCGAAGGCCTGGGGTGGAGTTCCATATAAACACCAGGCTCTGACACTTGATGACCACCAGATGGGGCGGGGATACCACTGTTTACTGTGGTTGCTTTTTTGTTAAGCTCAGTTCGTCTCAACCGCCATATTAGCGCACCAATCACAATGAGCAAGAAGAAAACAATGCAACAAAGAGCGATGACAGCAGCTCGAAAGACTTGGGATTCACCTGTTAGAAAATAGGAGGGATTTACATCAGATATGAAAATCTGTGTCTCCATGAAAATTGGAGAAAATAATGAAGGAATCAAGTGATAGCTTTGAGAGGATTCAAATGATTATTACGAGATTATTCCAACATGCTGTTTAATTATGGATTTATTGGCGCTGTTTAATCAACAATTTAAGACCAGCTTTTCGTGTCCCCACAATACTCACTGGTATCTCCCTTTATGGTTTCTTTAGTATATTTAAGTGACTCTGCATATTGAAAGAAAATAATAGTTAAACATTAAAATTCATAGAAGAGCAAGCGAGAACAAAAAACCTGCCCTTAATCTAGATTGTGGCCTTTCTCATCATAGAGCTGAAAGCATCAAGGCGCTTTTGTTAATTACATCAATGGAAGTTGCACAAATTTTACATTTAAGTGAAAATAAAATAACAAAAAATCTACTAAAAAGGATGTTATTCTATGATAATTATGATAAGAATTGAAAGGTGACCAAATGTAAATGCAGACCGGAATAAGAATTATCTAGTAAACACAGAAACAACGGTGGTAGGTTAGTTTGCTTTTCGTAATCTGCAGTGGCCGAGGTTTTAAACCTAACTTATTCAGTTGAAGGGGAGAAATAAGGCCAGGCACAAACTTTTGAAACAGTGGCAGACTTCAACAAGGATCTGCCATTACTTGAGTTTAACTTTTTTCCAATTTGCCCGAGCAACTGTAACAATTGACTCTTGCCAAAAGGGAAGTTTCTCTCAAGTCACAAAGCTCTCATGAAAGTTAACAGCCCACTAAACTGAAAAGATAGAGAAATTACTTTCAAGTCTCACGTGAGTGTTAACTCGCATACCTGGTGTGACAGATATCGAGGCCACTTTCCTGGCATATCCTTCCAAAATTTGCTAGAAAGTGAACCAAACATGGTCAAAAAGTGACAAACACATCTTAAAATTCATTGATATAAGGAAGTGAGATTTAAAATAATTTTCTTCATCAAGTGGATATTATGTTTAGATTATCAACTTTAAATTACAGAACAATTAAACAACACCCAAATTTACTTACACCATTGAAACGAGTTATTGCTCTTTGATAGGCAAAATAGTTTCCTCCTTTCCTCAGTTCTTTGTTGATAAAAGTTCCATACGATTTCCCGTCACCAACAGTAAAGTTCCAAGATTTCTCATGCACAGGATCATTTTCGATTTCCGCAGCGATGTAAAACGGATGAAAGTTCAAATTTTCGTCGTTTAAATCTTTCAGCTTCAAATGAAAATCCTTGGGAAGCTCTTGAACACAATCAGAGACTTTAAGAATGATTATTTGATAAGCACTGAAATGTTGAAAACGAACAAAATTCCGGTCAACATCATTGCGGTCATCGCCGTATTGAAAGGTGGTGGTTGTTTGATGGTCTTTAATGACTTGAGTTAAGCACTTGGGAACTTTTGCGAAAGACTTTGCAAGAAAGTTATGTGTTTGTGTTCAATATAGTAGCCAGTTGTGCGACCTGATCGTCTTGGGAAGAATACTCCTAAACAGAAATGTTGTTGATTGCAGAACTGGCGTTTTGTTAACGTTACAGTCAACAAGGAGATTTTTACCCAGTCTGGTATTGCAACTTAAGTTCGAAAGACCTAATTAAGGTATTGTATCTTTCTCATATCATGGGCTATGTACACAAGATTAACATCATTATGTGCACAGTGAAAGCAAGAATTGTATCCTCCTCAGGTGAGAGTATCATTAATAGTTTATGCTCTTAGCTAATCTGTGACACAAACTATAAAACCATCACCTTATTGGACCATTCCTTTGTTCAGCAGGCCACAGATCAATTTCAGCCTGCAACTCAGCGACCTTCCTGGTGGTCAGTGATAGTACAACTGGAGCCAATGGCTCTGGGAATAAAATAAATGTAATAATATGATTCGCAAAATATTTACATCAATTTCAAGATGCATATTCTCCATACTGATCCCATACATTCCTAATCAGAAGTAGGTGATCATTTCCTTTATTCTTGTGACCACATTGTGTGATTCAGGGGTGATATTGTGAAGAGAAATTAGATGTTAGTTTCTCTTGGGGTCAAATGGTTACCTGCATGTTATTGCTTACCTCCTATTTTTGTTTCTACTTCAAAAGATGAAGGAAATCCGTTGTTTCCACATTTTGAGATTCCATAAACCCGAAGGTCATATTTGGTACCTGGTACCAAATTATCAAGGGTATATTTTGTTGTTCCCTGTACATCTTTGCTGCCTTCGTGTGAAAAGCTGTTGTTGTAAGACTTTTTCCCAGAGTACTCAACCTTAACAATCAAACAATTGAGTCAAATGCAGATACAGTAAATACCACACCTGCACTAATTTATTTACAAATAAAATCTCCCACGTGGACGTGCATTTTCGTGATCACAGCACAAAACAAAAAACCCTAATTTTATGTATATACATATAGCTGTGCATGTACATATAACTCTTCTCACTTATTACAGTAACTATTACAGTAGCTGCTCTTAAATGGTAGTCATACTGATGGTACCAGTTCTCTAGTACACTTATACATTATATTCATTACGACAGATGTCATTTCCGTCAGTGCTCCTTTAACCCTTTAACTCCCATGAATGATCAAGACAGAATTTCTTTAACAATTTCAATACAATGTCAAGCATAGGAGTGATGAGAATAAAGTAAAATATTGATTAGGGGATTTCTCCAAACTAACATCATAATAGTATGGCAGACAGTAAAGAGAATTACTAATGAGATCTAGAGAGTTTAACAAAAATCACAAAAATAGTATTTCTGATTCTCAACTTAAAAGAGTTGTATTAAAATTTGTCAAAATCCATGTTTTTACAGCAAAGTAGATTTAAACATTAAGAATATCACCTTCCACTCTTCTTCCATGGCAGGTTGGGGTCTCACCCATTCCAGTGTCATCTCTGTTGACTGAGAGTCTGTTGCCCTCAGGTTGTTGGGTGCCCCTGGTACTTTGTCATATTAGTAAGTAAAACAATGTAAGTATGATAGCTTTTTTAGATTCCAGAGTAAGTTCCTTATTTTGTGTATTCAGTAAATGCGCTTTTATTAATTTCCTACTTTTTCTGTAGTTTTTTTATTTGTACAAATAGTCCATGTTGTAATAAGAATAAATTAAATAATGTGATTATGAGTTAAAATGTACAGCTATTTGCGCTGAAAAAAAATTATGGGAAACATTGCAACTTGTTTCCCTAGGGTACACTTGGGGGCGCATTTTGAATATCACCCCTATTCAATTAATCAATTTCCTGGTTATTAGCCAAATTAAGCTACAACCAAAGACAGCCAAAATGCCTTGCTTTTCTTACTCTTACTAGTGATTTTGAATCAGACTACACATTAAGCTTCTATGCAGTATAAATTAATGAGTTTGAAGCAAAATTTTGCATGCTCTATATTCAATTTGAGGAAAAAAAATGAAACTTACTCAATTCCAGAGGTAAGGGTTGACCATATGGTCCAGGGCCAGCTTTAGTGTATGCTCGGACATACACATTGTAACAAGGCTGAATATCATACAGGATAACAAATGCTTTTGTTGTGTTAACAGTTTTGCTGTTGGCTGGAGATCTCTTTTGTCGACTTCCAGACAACACCAATGATATCTTGACCTCATATGAGATAACTTTGCTATAACTCTCTTTTCTTGTCAGGGGTGACCATGAAATATTGAAGGTTGTTTGGTTCAGTCTACTGAAAGACGCATCATTTGGTGCTACACTGGGTTCTGACAAAAGGGAATAAAAAAATATACCAATTCAGATAAATGGTCAGCTGTCTGTCATTGAACGAAAAAAATTTAATAAATAATTATTTCTGAATCACATTGGATCAAAAATTTATCCTCAAAGTTTATCTAAATTGTATTTCAGTAATTCTTCTCTCCTTCCCCCTTCATCAAATTTTTATTTTTTTTAGGTATGTAGTCATTGATGTTGACTAATCATGTTCACCAGTCCTTCAAAACTCCATTGGAAAGCACTTGGAGTTGATAAGGAGAGTCCCTCCTTTACCACTCCTATAGTGCAGCTGTTCTCAACTTGTCTACCTTGATATCACTTACCATCTACACTTATCAAATAACATTAAAGTTGAAAGTAAAATTAATAGGCCATTTTCAATGTATTAAAATTCAAACTTTGTGTCAAGGGTTAGGGGAATAAAACAAAGGAAATCACATCAAGGTTGAGGGACAAACAATTAGTTTTTTTGTTTTATTCCCCTAGCCTTGCAGCCATGTTAGAATTTTAGTATATCAAAACTAGCCTATAATTTCTGATTTACACCTACCATAATCATTAACAGCAACAGACAAGGTTGCATTTGGTCCAGGTTTGATTGTAGCAGCTCTGACGTGGAACTGATAGGTGGCCCCACCTAACACATCTACTGTGTAACTGAAGATGTTTTGTTTTAATGTTTTAGTGTGAATATTATAAGGATCTTCATTGTGACTATAAAACACAGTGTAACTCCTTATAATCCCATTTTCTTCTGCTGGCTTATACCAGGTGAGCTTTATCTTGGGACCAACTTGTTTATCTGGCATTATCTCAGCCTGCGAAAGGTTTGAAGGAATGGTTGGTGCTAGAGTAGCAAAGAAATGGAAGATGAAGGTCATTATTTAAGCTAGACTGAAATAAAATTGATCTTTGGCAGAAAAAATGAAGAAATTAGATAATCCACTTTAACCTGTTCACTGAAAGTGCTGAAGGAAGTTAACTCATTATACTACTATTACTAATGCTAACAATAATAATAATAATAATAATAATAATAATATAATAAAAATGATAATAATAACTTAACTCTCATATTATATCCTGCATCATATCATTACTCTAAACCTGCCAAGATATACTATTATGTTCCAATCTTATTCAAATAAGCTATAATTATGTTTTTGAGTAAAATATTTCTTATAACCTACACTGTTCAATTTTAGTCTCTTACCATCTTCCAAAGTCTGCTCAACCTTTACAGAACTTTTTGGTCCCTCACCACGAGATCCAACAGGCAACACTTGAAATCCATATTTGGTGTACTTGTTCAGATTAGTGAAATCTTTAGTTAATGTTTCTGCTCCAGTAACAGACTCCATGACTAAATTGTCCACTGAGCCCTTCTGTCTGTAAAACAACTTATAACCTGTTATATCTCCATGTCTGGCATATTCTGGCAGTGATGCCCATGATGCTTTTATACTAGTAGATGAGATTGCAGTCACAGTGAAGTTGCCTGGAGCTTGTGATGGAACTGGAATGTTGAATAAAAATGATTATAAGGTATTTTAATGATATTTTCACAATGGTCATGTGCCTATAAAGGAGCTGAATTGGTCAACACAGATGAAAGTTGTTAATATTGATGAAGCATTATTTCTGTACTATCACAGTGCTTGTGTCCTCCCTAAAACTTTGCAAGTCAGAATTTCAAGCTCTTTCAAGTCTGACATCAAGTGAACCTAAGTGACTTCATTCATCCTCAATGGATTAAATGAGTGCCATTTAGGGAGTGACTAAGTGGTAATCTGATTTCTGTAGGGGATAATTTACAAATGTGATTATATACACTGAACATATACATATATCATTCAAATATATACCAGTTATGTAATGCTGAGTGGTATATCATGAAATAATTTATTCCACAAGTCGCTCATAGTCTGTCATTACCTGAACATTAATGTTGAGGGAAGAATTTGGCTCTGACATGGCTCAAACAGCACTTGAAATACACTAGAAGTGGCATTGTACGCTCGATTTTGGCAGGAATAAGATCACAGTACACAATAAAAGGACTGGGCACAATACTATCAAATATACAATGAATTCCTTCTGATTGGCTATATTTTCTGCGGCATGGTATCAGTATTGGTAATGCTGAGTAGTATACCATTGAATATCCCACAAGTCACTTGTATTTAATGTCATTACCTGAACATGAGTGGGTGCAATACCATCAAATATACAATGAATTCCTGAATTCTGATTGGCTGTATTTTCTACAGCATGGTATCAGTATAGACTATGAGATTTTATGTAACATTTTAAGTAAAGTGAGTCATAATATTCCCTTCCACTTTTTTGTAACACTTGTAGGATTTCAATGATATGGTACAGACAAAATAGAATTGGTACCTGTAGATAGGAGAACTCCATAAACTTCCACTCTCAATGCCTTATAACCATAGTACTCTGTTGGCACAAAACGGATGAACCTTGCCAAAGCATACTCCCTCAGACCGTGTTTTACTATGTCATTTCTCCCAGAGTTTCCATTAAAGACCTAAAATATTAAAGATATCAATGAAAAAGAACAGTTATTGACACTGACATGTTTATTCACTTCAAAAGAAAATTTCAACTTTCCGTGCACAAGTGATGGCAGTTTTCCTTGGCTTTGAATTATCAACAAGCCTTCAACCAACCAATAAAAATGTAGCAAACACCATCACCAAAACAGCGATGAAAAAGGATAATTTACAGCTCTAATTCTAACAAAAATAGTTTAAATCAAACAAAATGAGTCACTTCAAATCAGAGCTATGCTATGTGCTGTACTGTGCCCCAGATATAACAGGGAAACTGAAGGTGGGCGCACTTTTCTCGTCACCGGAACCAAAATTTGGAACGAGATACCACTACGCATACGGATGGCGGACAGCATAAGGTGCTTTAAGCACAACATGTGGACTAATATTTTTTCGCAGCAACAATTTTTAAGTCATTTTCGTGTATAGTTTCCTTTTTAGTTTCTTTACTTATCTTGCAATTATATTATATTATATTAGTTTCTATTTTTATATTGTATTATACTAGTTTTTATATTGTAATTATTTCTGAGTGAGGGCCACAAGTTTATTAGCTATGCTATTATGTGTTACCCTCGTAAAATAAAGTCTTTATTATTATTATTATAGCTACAAGCCACACCAACATTTGATGTTAGTGGGTTACCATACCCTGGACTACATCATGCCTTAAAAAATAAGCATTTCAAAGCCTGAAAGACATGACCTATGAAGCTCATGTCAGATTTTTCACTCATTTCCATCAATACTTGACCTGGTAATAAAACTGGTTCAAATTTACTCTTACCAAAATGCTCTCGCGTAACTGTCTCTAATTCTTCTGCCTATAAAATTAGGCTTGACTGAGTCAGTGTTCTCCCATATTTTAAGCATGACAGGTAAAATAAATTTTCAAACTGGTAAAGCAATCCTTTTACTTGTTGAATTTTCAAGAATTCCAAACAATTTTAAACGGTAATGAGAAACACTTCAGGGGGTAAATGTTACTGGTTACTGCCTGAAAAGGAGAACACTGCTGAGTGTATTTTTAAAGGGGGTAAGTTTATAAAGAAACTGTGGTACTACGTCAGTGGGAGAGTATAGCAGGTAACTTAGTGTTAACAACTGAGTTGAAAACACAACATTGCCTTTTAACTCTTTATGGTGTTTTCAACCCAGTTATTAACACTAAATTACCTGTTAAGTGTAATTTTATGAAACTGCATGAACAAAATATCAAAAAATGAAAAAAAAATTCAAGTAAGTTTAGCATGATGTTTCATTAATATCAAACTGACCTTCTCAGTGTTGTTTTCTTTATATGTGTTAAAGGTGACACCCAATGATAATTTAATCTTGTACTTTGTTGTCCACTGATCACTATTGACAGATCCTTGAGTGGCTACAGCACAGATAACATAATCATACTGCAGGTCAATTTGTAGGTAGTCAGTGTGATTAGTATTAGTTTTTGGTGCCCAACCCCCGTTATATCCATTCAGACGACCAGCTGAAGGTCCGCGGCCATCATTAGCTTGTGTTGAGGCTGAGAAGCTGCCATCTGGAATTGCATCACTGCTGGTCACACCAATTGCCTGACTATGACATGCTGTTAAAAGACAATCATAATTACCATAAACTTTGGTTTCAACCCAGAGAATCAGTTTATCATACATGTACAGTAACAATCACAAGTGTGCTGCACCATCTAAACATACCTCAAGTGATTTTACTAGTGATTTGAGGTATTTATATAAAGAACTGTTGTTGTTGTTGTTGAGTGAAAACGCAAGGCTTGAAAAATAAAAAAAATTAATTAACTTTGTCACCTTTTGGCCTCTAATTGAAGAAAAAAATGCCATCAGGAATTTCTAGTTGCCATAATTAATTACACACTATATTACAGGATTCTTACAAATTGCCAGTTCATGAACATAGATCACTCTTAACTACTGAAATATTTATGTCATGTGGTCTTCTTACACCATCAGCTAACTACACAACCACTCCATTATTCTTTACTATTGATTTATAGGTTAATAATAAAAGTTTCACGAAGGGCCACATTTTTAATTTGTAGCATTTATGTTTAAATAGGTCACAACATACATTTATACATGTACATGTATATATATCAACTTTTAAACCAAACTATCATACTTATCTGCTACACACAACCAGTTTACATTTATTTAACAATGTTGAAGTACCTACATGTCTACATACAGAAATTAAATAGCAAATTTTCCTGAGAATGTAGATTGGAACCCCAACTCAGTAAGGTAGCAGTTAATAGTAGTTCTTCAAAATATCCAGATACGCCATACCTCTTTGTTCTGAATACACTTCAACTTCACAAAGATTGAATCCCGTTTTACCTCCCCTAACATCCCTGATGGTGACATATCTTCCTTTCAAACTAGGATGGCAGAAGAATGACAAACCTACTCCTTTAGGAAGGTTATGAGTAGCTGCCCGACCACATTTGGGACTAGCCATACTAGTATCAGTAATACTTGATACTGTGCCTGAAAGAATACCATAAATTATAAATCACTGTTAAAAAGTACAAACAACTTAAAAGAGATGACTGCAAAATAAGACATATACTGATCAAATACTATCCACTTTCAAAACAAACAAGATTTACCTCCCTGGTGAGCCTTGCCTTAATAAAAGCTGCTTTTTTTCTAGTGCGTAGGCTAGACTGACTCAAAAGTTATGCATAGTAAGGGCATGGTGCTCAATAATACAAGCAAATTACCAGAAATAGATACTGCTATTAGTATTATTATTTGTAATAAGCTAGTCCTTGCCAATACTCATGATTGTCTGGCAGTTATTTTACACATCATCAAGACGGAGCTTCCACTAAAATTTCAATGTAGCCCCTTAACTATCAAAACTGCTCCTGTTTCTTCAAATTATTAAGATTCTTCCCTTTTGTCATTTGGCAGCAGCCATTTCATTGTCACTGAGTTTAATCAGGGAAACTGTGTACAGGCCACAAAACTCAGTGAAGACAATATGTCAAGTGACAAGAAAACATGACTAATTTGCATGGAGAAAAACTTTCATAAGCTATACTTCGTTCAAACACTGGTAAATGTATAAGTGATTTCAATCAAAAGGATAAAAATGGACTATAAAGTATTACATTAAATTAAAAAATAGGACATATTTACATCTGTACCATTTCTCAGACTCATGTTACACATTTATTGTTAAATCATGTGGAACAATAAAAAACTTATGATTTTAGCCAATGAACATAATCATGCATCCAACTTGAAAAGAAAGTTAAACGAGCACAGCCAGCCACCCCACTCAGCAAAATGGCAATGTTTTTCAATTACCTGAAGCTAAAACTCAGTTCCTTTTGGTAAACAGGAATCAGCAGAGCATAACCGTGTAAGGGTATCTATGTGTACAACTGTCAAATCAAAACACCAACATCTAAACCTAACAGCAATTAGATGATGCATGTTCATGCAGAAATAGCTGTGGCTGAGGGTTGACAAGAATGTGGAAACTACAACAGCATTGACAAAACTAGGACCAGATCGGATCGGATCATGGATCAGAAAAAAAAGTTTTGAAAAATTAAAAAAATCAAATTGTTATTGAAATAATAATAAATAAAATTTGAGATTAAATGAATAAGGGGCTAAGTCTCTGAAGAAACCATGGTGCTGTGTTGGTGGGAGAATATGACTAGGTAAACTGGTATTATCAACTGAGTTGATAATGTAAATAAATTGGCCATCGTTTAGATTTTAAAAGATGACATTTTCAGCGTTCGCTTTTTGTCAGAGTGAATGACAAAGGAATGTTTCCCTTTGACAAAGGGCTAACACTTGAAACATCAGCTTCTGAAATATTAACAGAGGCCAATTTATGTTATCAACTCATTAATAATACCAAATTACCTCAAAGTAAAAGTCTGCCTGACATAATGGAGCGTAGGCCCCACTGGAAGTTTTTTGCTCCAAAACTCCATGTAGTCACTTTCACAGCTGTGTCAAGGAGTAAGAATGGTTTAAATATGACAGCTTAAATGCATGTGTACAATTTATGTAAAGCAATTTTTTATGTCATGCAGATTTCATTTTGGCTTGTCATGTAACATTTCTAAGTTAAATTAACATGTTTTAGTTTTTCATTCCTATTTTTATTTATTATTATTTTAAAAACAGTTATATATACATAAGTTAAAGAATTAAAGAGGATGCATTGATTCAGACAGAGAATTGATGCGTCTTCTTTAATTCTTTAACTTATGTATACTTAGCTCTGCTACCATAGCATTTAGCACTAGATAGACTCTCTCTCTCTCTCTATCTATATATATATATATACTTTTTTTTTTTTTTGGTTATTTTTTTGAAACCTTTTTTGTTTGGTCTGTGATGCAACCCATGATCTGATCCCTGATCCTGACCATGATCCAACCTAGTCCAATCCAGCTTTTGTCAAAGCTGGAAACCACAGCACATCATTTTCCCCTCTTTTCCTGAGGACATTAAGCTAAGAGTGCATTGACCACTTCAAAAATAACCATTACTGTAAGATTATTAACCTACCAACTCTGATCTCAAATTTTCTCAGACGATCTACATCAAGTAAACCGACTACATACACTTCAGTCACAATCTCATCTTGTCCTAGATCCACTCTCCACCATGGAAATGGATTGTCTTGCACAAATGAACATGAACCACCCCAAAGGTCCATATTGCTATTTCCATCAACCGCTCTATCACTTGTGCCATTTACTAATGTCTCTGTGTGCTGATATGTTGGCTTTTGAAATGCCAGATTTTCTAGTAGAAAATGTACACACACACAAAAAAATAAAAGTTTCCTTAGACAAAGATGATTGCTGTCCACATACTGATCATAGAATGACAATTGCATTGAGTTGTATTGAATATGTTTGTTACACTGTACATTATATAGAAAAATTAAAACAAAGGGTATTTTTAAAAAACTGGTTGATGGTAGATATTACATTTTGGGCAGCCTACAGATGTACCAGCTTTGCTGGAAAGCAAAGGACACCAAACTGTAATAACTTTGATATAAGAAAAAATCATGTACAGGTGTATGTGTAAATTTTGAAATGTAAAGTATACCTCCATTGTAATTATGGCATTTTACTCAATTCTTAAGCTACAATGTACTACTATATAAATTCTACTGGTCATCCTTAACAGGTAAATTAATAGAGAGACATACTTATATTGCTTGATTGATTGTACAATTGAAGATTTAAAATTGCTGACATACTAGAAGATAAATTGTACTATTCTTAGATACTGTAATATTAAGGCAACAGACCAAAGGTAAGTTTTAAGACCCAAATATCAAGAAAGGAAAAGTGTTGTAATATACATATATTCAAATAGAAAATAAACCTATATTTAAATTACTTATCAAAAGACATTTTTTACAAGCATGACTGTAAAATAATTCCCAACAAAACTTTTTTAAGATCTTTATGGTTAAAGGGTTTCTGTGAGATTAAACAAGAGTCTCGATTTATCCACTCTACAAGAACATATTCCAATGGCACTTGTCGATTTATCTACTTTTGATTACATTCAATTGTTTATCAATGTAATTATAAAATCATATGTACTTTTCAAGGCTTTTGTGCAACTTAAAATTCAATGTTACTTTTGGCTGTAGTAATTATGGTAAATACAGTTTGTACATTAAACATGCTAACATAAGTATGTTCAACCTACATGAATATGTATATGTTTTGAGATACATAAAAAGTCTTGGATGAGTAGATTTTTAAAAGAGGAAAAGTGACTTCACAACTACATTAAGTTTAGTATAAAGAGTAAGTGAAAAGTTACCTCGTGAATAGACTTCTACCTCACAAAGCTGAAGACTTTGTTTCTTTGTGGTTGAAATCCCTACATATCTACCAGTTTTCAGTGGATTGGTAAAACAAACAGCTGATGCAGTGAAGTTATGAAAATCATAGAGTCCTCCACAGGGGGGGTTAAGTGACACATCATCAGAGCCACCTGCAGATTATGAGGCACTGAAAGTCAGAATTACTAGCAGAGTTTGGTTCCATGTGGCAAACATGATCAATTTGTAATAGATTCTTTAACAAAGTAAACATCCTGGAAATGTTATTAGGCATATAAAAAAGAAATTAAAACTGCCAAAACAAGGATTTAATCGCATTAATTTTCTAAGTGTCATAATAGCCTTAACAGAGTGGCCAGGTAAAAAAATTATTACTGGAGGTCAACTTCTGAGTGTCCCATGTGAAGGTACAGTGTAGACAAATGATGACACTTGAGTACCCTGGTTCCAGACTACTCCAGTCCCATTTACATGTACATGTAAAAGAATAGACCTTGAGAGAAAATCTTAAACTGAGGTCTTGTATTGACTGAGCAATGACAAGTAAAAAACATCTGGGCTGATTAATAACAAGGTCAATACAGCTTAGCCAAGGTTTCAGAAATTCCTGTAACATCCAAACTGGCCTGTTGTTTAGCAGCTGATTATAAGGTGATGTATGCATGGTTGACCTTACATTCAATTAAAGGATAACAAAACTCACCAAATGTTATTTTGTAGTCTTCAGTAACCACATGCTGTGAGAACCTGTTGACTATATGAACTTCAGAGACATCAACATGGTCTGAACCCAGGTCCACTCTCCACCAACTGGGGTTTTCTTTTGTTGTATGTGAACAGCTCCCTTTTAAAAAGTTAGTGTCAGGATTTCCATCCACTGCATTTCCAGACACACCATAAACATTGTCAGCAGTATTGTTGAATGTTGAAGACTGAGCTGTAGCCTTCCTCAGGGCAAGGTTCTCTGTGAACAAATATTGAAGAAAATGTTACCACATGGGCCAGGAAAAACTTACCATGATTGCAACAGAGTGGTTCCACTCAAGAGATTGTATAACAAAAGAAAAATAGTTGTGTAGTTATTTTCCAAAATTCTTGGCTTTCCTTCCACACCTTTTTTGTTATCTGTAGTTGTACTGTACCTGCACTACTCTGAACCAAATAGTGTCATGTAGGAGATATTTGTGCCAATTAGTTTCATGTTAGAGTTCAATCCTGCAATAGCTTATGAATTACCCATTTCAGATTAAAGCTATTTCTATCATTTCCTCACTTCTGTTATAAAATGACTACCTTTTGCCTAGTTATTCAGTTGATTTAACAATTGCAACATACTACAATTTGTCAAGCCTTTGTTTGTCTATATTTCACTTAGCACTGACAAAACCTTCCACAAAGATAATCTCAAAGAAACTTAATTTTGAACAGTGAACTTGCTAAGCAGGCAAATCTTTTCAAGAAGTATCAAAGAATACCAGAATATAAAACCTACATAATATATAAATGGGTTATTGACCAAGCGTGAGGTCAAGATGGCTGTATACCAACCAAGTTCCTTTTTCCATAATTTTGTTTACAGAGACAAAGTCAAGGTCCACAAAAATAGAAAAAGTAACCAAGTCAATAATCAGCCATCTTACCTAAACAAGTTTGGTCAATAAGGGATTTATTATATAGCTAAACATTTTGCTTTCATAAGAATCAAGAATGACATGTTAATTTCGAGAGCCAGGGAAGGAAGCTAACTGTCTTTATAGCATAATAAACCCAAAAATGTTGCTTAGGTTTTTTCTGTTTTGACTATGTTCTGCCTCTTTTGCAACTTTATCACTGGCATTATGCAAAAGTTATTAACTTTGTAAGTCCACTTTTTCTTGCACAGGATCAAGGAGGGCAATCTTAAGCAAGCAAGATGAGCTCAGATAGCCAATCAGAACACAGGATTTACTTCATATTGCCCACATGCACTGCCAGCAATATGATAAATGTATATATTGAACCTCCTTTGGTTATGTAATATTATCATGCCTGCACATATACCTGGCTTTTGTTTCACTCCAAACACCTCTGTTCTCATACACACCAAACCCTGGTAAGTTTGTGGCAGGAAACGCACATATCTTGTCAGTAGTCCATAAACAACTTGCTTCACCACTGAGTTTCTGTCACCATTTCCCATGAAGACCTAAGATTTTAAAAAGTTATAACATTAAATAATATTACAGATACATGATGAAAATTACTGTAGGCTTCAAGTAAATTGGTGACTTAAGGTTAAGAAAAAATGAGATTATGTTAGAACAAAAAATACTGATTTGTAAGCAAAATGTCCATGTATTTGTTATTACATGAAATACATGTAAACAAGTTGTATTTTTGTACTCAAATTCTTATTACTCAGAAAAACATTGCACCTTAACTTGTCCACCTTCCTTATAGTCTGTCCAAGTTGTCCCATTTATGGATAATTGTAGAGTGTAGGTCTTCACCCACTGATCTGCTTGAGAATTTCCTTGAGTAGAGACAGCACAGATGATATGAAGAGTCTGTAGATCAATCTGTAGATATGGGTTGGTGTCACTCGTTCCTGCACACCATGATGATCCTGATGTGTAATTCAGTCTACCATTCTTGGCTGGTGTGTTGGCATTTTGTACCGAAGAAGCGGTTATGTTACCATCTGAAATTCTCTCATTTTCCAAACCAAGATCCAAATCGATACATACCCCTATTAGAAAGTTAACAGATAAAACAGAAAATTATAAAATTAAACATTAAACCAAACTAAGTAAAGCTAAATGAATAGTCGTGGGTAGATTTCGTTTTGAGTTTTTGATTGCAAGAAAATTCATTTGCTTCATTGCTCCTGCTAAGATATACATTTCTAACAAGGTTCTGACTCTTCTGATTTGTGCTTTATACGGACATGAAAATCTTGATATCCCCAGAAATTGAGGTCATTTGCTTCACAAACAAAACAACAACAACTATATCGTACGACATTTCTATCATCGATACTATTTCTACAGGACATGTTCAGCCCGAAAAATAAGTTAGTTATTTACCTGGATACCTTGGTGTTTTATGATCGTTTTAGTTATAGAACACACGTAGTAACTTGGTCTAAAAGTGAGATTACTGTCCTCCATGTCGACTATGGCATGCTTAGTAACCATGCCACGACCTTGGGTTTTGGTGGGAAAATAACCCAGCGTGCAAAGTTAGTCACGTGATCATTAAATAGGTAGCCATATGGTTTTGTGAGTAATTTGTAATCGTACTACCAGGATATTTTTCAAAGGCTAACAAAGGTAAACTCCGTAGTGCGAGTGCACTTTGTAGTCATTTATTCCCAAATTCCATGGGCTAAATCCTGTTTTCATTTGCTCATCGTGAACCGTGAAAGGAGTGTAAATGATCCCAGTTTATAGTTGTGGCATCGCGACCTCACCCAGGGATTCCGGGGCCGTAGGATTGTGTGTAAAGGCGGATTAATTTTTGACCACGGCTAGGTGGGTTACCTTAATTACCTGAGATTTCACCCAATTTCATGTAAACAGACCCTTAGTGTAACGACTACCATCTGGTCTCAGGAATTGTTCTAGTAACACTCTGTCGTTTAACCGGTCGTTAATAAAACTCCATAGAGCAGATTTAACATGATAAATTTAACGATGACATCATCAATTGGACCAACGGAGTGGACGGATGGAGTGTGTCCAATTATTTACTGACACTAGTACACTTTCAGACCATTTGCAATTGGACACATTTCAAAATTTCACTTTACATTGCAAATTCTCGTTATGCCTTCAGAACATCTATAGAGATACTTTTTGTGATTCTCTTTGCAACACGTCACTTAAACCCGAAACGCTTTTTCTTGGTCTGGTCTTAAAGGTTGTTTCAGAGCTATACCTTGACTCGGGATTTTCATGAAAGGTCTCTGCTAATCTAAGTTTTTCGGCGTTGAAGAAAATTCTATGAGTTAAGACGAATGAAATGTCTATTAACACATTATGATTGTTTATTTAGTAGTTGTTTCGTGCCGAGTTTCATGAATATACACCGAATACTTAAGAGGCGATCTCTGTAAGAGCGGTCCAAGGTATTTCGCATCGGAAAAAAGTTTTCCCTCAAACTTTGCCCGATAAACTATCTTTGGTAGCAAGTAAATAAAACCACATTAGGTTCTGGAAATACGTTAAAATAAAATTTTTAGAGCTCTCAAAAGTCAAAGCTGCTAAAGGCCCTTTTTTTACCTCTTGCGACACATCGAAAATTTCAAAATTTGAATACCCTGGTCCTCGTATCGCACCGCATGCAGCAATAAATCTCTTGTATTTTTAAACTGTGTGATATGTTAGGTGAATAAAAAGTATTTCAATTTTGATATTTGTTTATTCAGGGGTTCGTCATAATTTATTTAAAAACACTCGTTAGACAGCTTTCTGAACTTGGTCAAAAGTACTCTTTCCTTCTTGGTTGATATTGCTCAAGTCCAGACCAGACCGTTGAAAACTCCGCTTGATTTCTTCCAATAAGATGTTTGGCTGCAGAAAAATATAAAAACATCTTGCACTTATTAATTTTGTTCGCCGCGGTGACTTCAAACTTTCAGCGATTTTGCTAGCGTGACAGCCGATTATGCAAATTAGTTCACTGAACAAACTCCGACCATTTTATATAAGTAGCTCAATAAATCTTAGATTTTAACCATTTTAAGTTGAAGAGATAGTAGGACAGAGCTTTTAGACTACACCGATTGATACTCTAAACATTTCAAAAGGCCAGAATTTGACAAATTTTACCCTCTCGTGACGAAAGACGTCAACAACAATCATCGAATATCATAATTTGATTAGCGCTCGCTTAACATTTTAATGGCAAACTCTTTCTTAAAAATTTGGCTTCTGCTAGTTCATGCATATTTGAGTTCTGACAGGTTACGCTTTTCAAACCTGTATGAACATTTCAGAACCAAACTACAGGATTCTATTTAGTGTAACCGGCGATAACAGCACACATTGAAATACACCTTGACCAGTGACTCTATCACGTAATTCCATCGTATAATTGTCCTGAATACCTCTCAAGTCCAAGTAAAGCAGCGATTGCTCGAATTTCTAGCTGACAGGAACAAATGATATTTGGTCGTCACACCTGTCTGCATAGCAGTCGCTGTTCATAACTTTGGAGAGTTCTTGTGAAAAAGGATATCGCATTCGCATGATTAGACTGCATTACAACTCCACTCCGAAATCATTTCCTCCGTTTTTGCAAGAAGTGTTGTCTTTGTATCTCGCATTTTGAATGCGAGCTCAAAATGTTTGTACATGTCTCTTAGTACCTTGACTTTGAGGCTGGGCAACCTTCACCCTCTTGCCAACGAGCACACATCATAGACAGCAAACATTATTGGATTTTTCAGTCCTATCTCATCCATTACTGTGCTCCTGGCCTCCCTCAAACACGAGTACTGCCTGACGTTTTGCGAAAGCCGTACATTTGCACCTCTCTTATGAAGAGCTCATCCCATGGGAAGCTGTGAAGCACTTGTCAAGGGTTCTGTGGCCGCTGCAACCAGTTCAGTCGAACCCTCTAATGATTATGACTGAAAGTGATGAACCCACTCCCTCTTCACTTTGCCATAAAGACTTTCAGTCATGCTCGCAGACACAGGACTGACATGATGAACTACCAAGTTCATATGGAGCTCAAGGTCGGATTCTGTGACGCAGGATTTTTTTCAACAGGCACCTCACTCTTCGCCTGTGCTCTTGCCTTCTTTATTTGTCTATCGGAGAGGTTTTCAAATGGCTGATGCATGCGTTTAAGCTCGTTGGCTGAAAATCTATCGGCATAAATACTCAGTATTTGAGTCCTAAGTGATTTTGTGAGAGCATTCTAATAGGCGGCCTTAAGGGTTTGAAGGCCAACATCAATAGCTGTCTTGCACTTCTCTTCATGGTCTACGACCGCTTGGAATAACGCTTTTCCATCTCTTAGAGCAATGACATCGCACACCAGCTGGCACGCTTCCCCAGCTTTTTTTTACAAACTCGGATTTTTCGGGAAAGGAGCATTTTTCCCTACAATCTACTTGGGATTCCAAATGTGTAATCCTGGGCTTTTGTGCAACATCGGCGAGGCTATCGATATATGCATTTAAGACTTGAATTGGATCTATGCTAAAGTTATGAATAGAACTGTCTTAAAGACAGGTGTGCAGACAAACTTTCTCTTATTCCAGCCGACTAGAATGCTGATCTAAAAAATGATGTTATAGCTGCTTTATTTAGAAAGGAGAAGCAATTCAGGATAATTACACAATTGAATTACGTGACAGAGTCACTGTTCACGGTGTATTTTAGTATGTGCTGTTATCGCCGGTTACACTGAATAGAATCCTGTAGTTTGGTTCTGAAATGTTCATACAGATTTGAATAGCATAACCTGTCAGAACTCAAATATGTATGAAGTAGCAGAAGCCAAATTTTTAAGAAAGAGTTTGTCATTAAAATGTTAAGCGAGCGCTAATCAAATTATGATATTCGATGCATTGTTGTTGACGTCTTTCGTCACGAGAGGGTAAAATTTGTCAAATTCTGGCCTTTTGAAATGTTTAGAGTATCAATCGGTGTAGTCTAAAAGCTCTGTCCTACTATCTTTTCAACTTAAAATGGTTAAAATCTAAGATTTATTGAGCTACTTATATAAAACGGTCGGAGTTTGTTCAGTGAACTAATTTGCATAATCGGCTGTCACGCTAGCAAAATCGCTGAAAGTTTGAAGTCACCGCGGCGAACAAAATTAATAAGTGCAAGATGTTTTTATATTTTTCTGCAGCCAAACATCTTATTAGAAGAAATCAAGCGGAGTTTTCAATGGTCTGGTCTGGACTTGAGCAATATCAACCAAGAAGGAAAGAGTACTTTTGACCAAGTTCAGAAAGCTGTCTAACGAGTGTTTTTAAATAAATTATGACGAACCCCTGAATAAACAAATATCAAAATTGAAATACTTTTTATTCACCTAACATATCTCACAGTTTAAAAATTCAAGAGATTTTTTGCTGCATGCGGTGTGATACGAGGACCAGGGTATTCAACTTTTGAAATTTTCGATGTCGCAAGAGGTAAAAAAAGGGCCTTTAGCAGCTTTGACTTTTGAGAGCTCTAAAAATTTTATTTTAACCGCGGTATTTCCAGAAACTAATGGGGTTTTATTTACTTGCTAACGAAGATAGTTTATTGGGCAAAGTTTGAGGGAAAACTTTTTTCCGGTGCGAAATATCTTGGACCGCTCTTACAGAGATCGCCTCTTAAACACCTACGTCTGAGGCGAGCTGAGTTCATTCTTTGTTTAACTTGAACTGTATTTTCTATTTGCTTATGGCGTATTGTTTGAGTAAAGTGATTAATACGACTTCATTCCAACGCTTGGTCAGACAGTTGTCCACTTTGGCCGTGTTTGCCTGCTCATTTGTTAAAACAATAGTCGACAGTGATATGCCAAGTCACGACAAACTTATTAACCTAATTGAACTTTCAGTTTCCTTTGTTCTTGAAGTTCTCTGCCTTTTTGATTTGGCTCACGCTGGTTTATTGAATAATCGTCATTACATGTTTATCCAATACCTTCAGCAGAAGCTAAATGGCAGTAAATGTATCGAACTAGTTTGCACACTAAAATGAAAACTTAAAATAAGCGCCAGATTTGCATAATGACACAACTTTGTGTTCAAGAAATTGGACAGCTCGTAAATTAAAGCAAAGCTCGATATGGTGCAGAAACTGTTTTAAGTAAAGTATAGGAAGGCAGTCGAAATCGTCCAAATTCTAAAACTACTTCTCATGTGATCATAGCTTTCGAATATGCCTCTCTAAGAATGATGACTGTGTAATTAGGAAACCGTCATATTTTAATCGATAACGAAGCGAGCTAGTTCTGTTCCGAAAAAGTTCAGATCTCTCTAAAGCTACCGCTTCATAAACATCGTGAAGCCAAGTAGAGAAGATCATGTTCTTACGTAACTAAGAAAAAAACGAGCGACGAGGTCAGTCGGTGAGACGCTCTTACCCCTTACCAGGAAGTAAATCATACTATGCCAGATAGATTTGAAAATCGCAACTACAATTCTCCCAAACTCATTCTCTCAAGATAAAATAACTTGTCAGATGTTTCAGCTTTAAAGAAGATGTTTGAATTCACATGGAATTTTTCGGTCGCACTCGACAGTTTGTCAATTGACGGCAATGAAATGGAATTTAATTATGTCATATCTATGGAGTCCCTGCCGAAAAACAATCTGTGATTTCGTTGAGGTATTAACTCATATGCCCAGATTACAAATGATAGAGAACTCACCGGATCCCAGAGGAATAAGAAAAGCGAAGAAAGCCACTCGAAAGTACAGCCCGGAATCAAACTCCGACATTTCGCCGCTGTTGTTACTTCATAACTCATTAAGACACTGAAACGTTGCAGACACCTGATGTTTCAGTTCAATAACCTTTTGCATCTTAAAAAGCTCATTCTCTCCGTTGAAGTGTATCTGCCAAAATACAACTAAACCCATTATGGTATATATTCCCGGAGTTTCAGCAGTGTGCCGAAAGACGACGCGTTGACGGTACGGGTTCACTGGTTCCTCTATTTTAAAAGGATGATCTACAAGCATAAATCAACGGAAACAATCATGAAATCTCAAAAGAATTTCCGAATAAAAAAAATGACTTGAAAACTTTCTACAACAATCTCTGGTGTTTTTCCCACAACTGTTGCACTATTACCGGAAGTCTAAATTATTTCTTTGTTTTTCATTGTTTCTTGGTGCGAACGTCACTGGTTATAAAATAAACTTGTCAATCATAATTTGTGTGCTGAAACATTTAAAGCTAATCTTTATTGAAATAACTTTTTTGTAAGAATCTAGAAAGGCAAACTTATGCTCAAATGTCCTGTGTGGGAATGTTTTGTTCACTTGTGTATCTTGACAAGGTAGGGCCACAGTTTATAGAGAATGTCTTAAGAAACTCTTTACGGTGGCCAATTTACATTATCAACTCAGTTGACAAAACCAAATTATCAGGTTATACCCCCTACCGACCGAGCACCACAATTTCTTTTGAAACTTACCTCCTTTACCTTTGTCGATCCTGAGAGTTAATCGGTCTGAATATCACTTTCACTGACCATCTTTGTTCCTCTTTTCTTTTCTTTTTCTTTCCAGCACATCTCTTGTGAAACAATCCCTTCCAATTTAATTATCCATCTCAATTTTGAAAAAACTTACTCCTTCACAAAAACAACCCTACAATCTCTGTATTCCTAAGATTTACAACAAAAACACAGATTAACGGACCACTGAGAAGATACGAAACCGCAAGGTTTCACTGATATCGTCAGTGTTCCATACCATGTTACGTTAGACCCGAAAACTGTTTGAAAATGTTCGAAAGTAGTTGTTTGACAGCACAGGAAGTTAACCTACAGAAGAGGCGGTTTTTTTGGCTCATCAAGGCAAGTGGAGACGCGAGCCCCTCTTTATTTCACTTGTTTGGAAAACGAAAAAAATTACCCTGTTCTGCAGGAATTTATAGCTTGATCTGCCTCAGGGAAGAAGGCACAGAATCACTTGCGGGGAGGGGGGGGCGATCCAATCGATCCCTTTACTTCATCTTGCTTGGGGTGATACAAAAAGGGGGGCACTGGTCGATCGGTTTAAAAAGAAATGATCAGAGTCAAGGTTTAGGTGTTTTTATTAAGCCACCCTAACCAAGTTAAAACAAATAATAGGAGCACATACTTGATAGATTTAATTTTGGTAAGAAAAAGGCAAACGTCATTTGCTGACGTCAAAAATATTCTTTTATTGGCGAGACAAAGCAGGTGATTGATCAGCCGAGTCCACGACGTCACGCTTCAGGCATAAGACTGATATTGTATCGATATATTTTTGCGACTGTTGTGAAGGTACTTGTCACAAGACCTTTAGTAATATTTGAAGTCCATGATGCGGTTGTAAATCTAAAACTATCTAATATTTTCAGTTGAACGACTCAAAGATTTGGTCGTAGAATTTCTATCAAGGGGAAAAAAGGCGATTTAATGTTCCTGGTATTTCTATTTTTTCTTACATTTTCCAGAGGCAAAATAAATCTTTCACTCGAAACATAAATAAAAAAAATCCACACATTTTCCTTCGAGGCATCGTTTGGTTCGAAAAGATACCGACATGGACCGTGGAAAGACAAAATAATCATTTTCAACGGTGCATTGCTTTATTCAACTCCTACCACAGTATTGAAATTGGTTGTTCTATTTAAAGAGCACGTTCTCCTGGCTGAGCATCTCTTCGACTTCCCATACGTTTTACCCAATTTTTAGGCCACAATTCGGGGTAAATCGTTTCCTCTTAAGAGCAACATGGCTAAAAGTGACTCAGAGTTATTTCAAAATTTTCCTTTCTACATTCTACTGCATGTAATTTCATTCATAATGAGCGATTACCAGTACATCAGGTAATTCAGTTGTCATGCGTTACTCCTACAGTTTGTATAAAGGTTTGTGTGTTTCCGTGCCCCGTTAATATATGGTCGAATATCATCAGGTACACAACAAAGGCTAAGTATAGTAATGCAGTGTAGAAGCGTTCAATTCTGCATTTACAAGATAAAATATTTTCCTAACTCTTGCTTTGTTTCACTACACGGTCGGTTTTTCACGAAATTTCTTTATAGAGTTAGTCTCTTACGAAAATTCATCATGTGGTTAGCTTTTACGAACGTTCTGATGTTCGTTAAAACAAATCTTCAACAACAAACTGTCTATAGGGCTTACAGACCCACATCTTACCGGGTGGCTCCAATTTAGATCAATCAAGCGTCAAGGGGAGGTACATCCTTCTCCTTTCTAAATAAAGCAGCGATAACATCATTTTTTGGATCAGCATTCTAGTCGGCTGGAATAAGAGAAAGTTTGTCTGCACACCTGTCTTTAAGACAGTTCTATTCAGAACTTTAGCATAGATCCAATTCAAGTCTTAAATACATATATCGATAGCCTCGCCGATGTTGCACAAAAGCCCAGGATTACACATTTGGAATCCCAAGTAGATTTTAGGGAAAAATGCTCCTTTCCCGAAAAATCTGAGTTTGTACAAAAAGCTGGGGAAGCGTGCCAGCTGGTGTGCGATGTCATTGCTCTAAGAGATGGAAAAGCGTTATTCCAAGCGGTCGTAGACCATGAAGAGAAGTGCAAGACAGCTATTGATGTTGGCCTTCAAACCCTTAAGGCCGCCTATCAGAATGCTCCCACAAAATCACTTAGGACTCAAATATTGAGTATTTATGCCGATAGATTTTCAGCTAACGAGCTTAAACGCATGCATCAGCCATTTGAAAACCTCTCAGATAGACAAATAAAGAAGGCAAGAGCACAGTCGAAGAGTGAGGTGCCTGTTGAAAAAAATCCTGCGTCACAGAATCCGACCTTGAGCTCCATATGAACTTGGTGGTTCATCATGTAAGTCCTGTGTCTGCGAGCATGACTGAAAGTCTTTATGGCAAAGTGAAGAGGGAGTGGGTTCATCACTTTCAGTCATTGTCATTAGAGGGTTCGACTGAACTGGTTGCAGCGGCCACAGAACCCTTGACAAGTGCTTCACAGCTTCCCGTGGGATGAGCTCTTCATAAGAGAGGTGCAAGTGTACGGCTTTCGCAAAACGTCAGGCAGTACTCGTGTTTGAGGGAGGCCAGGAACACAGTAATGGATGAGATAGGACTGAAAAATCAAATCATGTTTGCTGTCTATGATATGTGCTCGTTGGCAAGAGGGTAAAGGTTGCCCAGCCTCAAAGTCAAGGTACTAAGAGACATGTGCGAACATTTTGAGCTCGCATTCAAAATGCGAGATACAAAGACAACACTTCATGCAAAAATGGAGGAAATGATTTCGGAGTGGAGTTGTAATGCAGTCTAATTATGACGTCCACCCGTTATGCGAATGCGATATCCTTTTTCACAAGAACTCTCCAAAGTTATGAACAGCGACTGCTATGCAGACAGGTGTGGCGACCAAATATCATTTGTTCCTGTCAGCTAGAAATTCGAGCAATCGCTGCTTTACTTGGACTTGAGAGGTATTCAGGACAATTATACGATGGAATTACGTGACAGAGTCACTGGTCAAGGTGTATTTCAATGTGTGCTGTTATCGCCGGTCACACTAAATAGAATCCTGTAGTTTGGTTCTGAAATGTTCATACAGGTTTGAATAGCGTAACCTGTCAGAACTCAAATATGCATGAAGTAGCAGAAGCCAAATTTTTAAGAAAGAGTTTGTCATTAAAATGTTAAGCGAGCGCTAATCAAATTATGATATTCGATGCATTGTTGTTGACGTCTTTCGTCACGAGAGGGTAAAATTTGTCAAATTCTGGCCTTTTGAAATGTTTAGAGTATCAATCGGTGTAGTCTAAGAGCTCTGTCCTACTATCTTTTCAACTTAAAATGCTTAAAATCTAAGATTTATTGAGCTACTTATATAAAACGGTCAGAGTTTGTTCAATGAACTAATTTGCATAATCGGCTGTCACGCTAGCAAAATCGCTGAAAGTTTGAAGTTATTGCAGCGAACAAAATTAATAAGTGCAAGATGTTTTTATATTTTTCTGCAGCCAAACATCTTATTAGAAGAAATCAAGCGGAGTTTTCAATGGTCTGGTCTGGACTTGAGCAATATCATCCAAGAAGGAAAGAGTACTTTTGACCAATTTCAGAGAGCTGTCTAACGAGTGTTTTTAAATAAATTATGACGAACCCCTGAATAAACAAATATCAAAATTGAAATACTTTTTATTCACCTAACATATTACACAGTTTAAAAATACAAGAGATTTATTGCTGCATGCGATGTGATACGAGGACCAGGGTATTCAACTTTTGAAATTTTCGATGTCGCAAGAGGTCAAAAAGGGCCTTTAGCAGCTTTGACTTTTGAGAGCTCTAAAAATTTTATTTTAACCGCGGTATTTCCAGAAACTAATGGGGTTTTATTTACTTGCTAACGAAGATAGTTTATTGGGCAAAGTTTGAGGGAAAACTTTTTTTCCGATGCGAAATATCTTGGACCGCTCTTACAGAGATCGCCTCTTAAACACCTACGTCTGAGGCGAGCTGAGTTCATTCTTTGTTTAACTTGAACTGTATTTTCTATTTGCTTATGGCGTATTGTTTGAGTAAAGTGATGAATACGACTTCATTCCAACGCTTGGTCAGACAGTTGTCCACTTTGGCCGTGTTTGCCTGCTCATTTGTTAAAACAATAGTCGACAGTGATATGCCAAGTCACGACAAACTTATTAACATAATTGAACTTTCAGTTTACTTTGTTCTTGAAGTTGATTGGTTTGATTTGATTGGGCTCACGCTGGTTTATTGAATAATCGTCTATTTATCCAATACCTTCAGCAGAAGCTAAATGGCAGTAAATGTATCGAACTAGTTTGCACACTAAAATGGAAACTTAAAATAGGCGCCAGATTTGCATAATGACACAACTTTGTGTTCAAGAAATCGAACAGCTCGTAAATTCAAGCAAAGCTCGATATGATGCAGAAACTGTTTTAAGTAAAGTATAGGAAGGCAGTCGAAATCGTCCAAATTCTAAAACTACTTCTCATGTGATCATAGCTTTCAAATATGCCTCTCTAAGAATGATGACTGTGTAATTAGGAAACCGTCATATTTTAATCGATAACGAAGCGAGCTAGTTCTGTTCCGAAAAAGTTCAGATCTCTCTCAAGCTACCGCTTCATAAACATCGTGAAGCCAAGTAGAGAAGATCATGCTCTTACGTAACTAAGAAAAGACGAGCGACGAGGTCAGTCGGTGAGACGCTCTTACCCCTTACCAGGAAGTAAATCATACTATGCCAGATAGATTTGAAAATCGCAACTACAATTCTCCCAAACTCATTCTCTCAAGATAAAATAACTTGTCAGATGTTTCAGCTTTAAAGAAGATGTTTGAATTCACATGGGATTTTTCGGTCGCACTCGACAGTTTGTCAATTGACAGCAATGAAATGGAATTTAATTATGTCATATCTATGGAGTCCCTGCCGAAAAACAATCTGTGATTTCGTTGAGGTATTAACTCATATGCCCAGATTACAAATGATAGAGAACTCACCGGATCCCAGAGGAATAAGAAAAGCGAAGAAAGCCACTCGAAAGTACAGCCCGGAATCAAACTCCGACATTTCGCCGCTGTTGTTACTTCATAACTCATTAAGACACTGAAACGTTGCAGACACCTGATGTTTCAGTTCAATAACCTTTTGCATCTTAAAAAGCTCATTCTCTCCGTTGAAGCGTATCTGCCAAAATACGACTAAACCCATTATGGTATGTATTCCCGGAGTTTCAGCAGTGTGCCGAAAGACGACGCGTTGACGGTACGGGTTCACTGTTTCCTCTATTTTAAAGGGATGATCTACAAGCATAAATCAACGGAAGCAATCATGAAATCTCAAAAGAATTTCCGAATAAAAAAAAATGACTTGAAAACTTTCTACAACAATCTCTGGTGTTTTTCCCACAACTGTTGCACTATCACAGGAAGTCTAAATTATTTCTTTGTTTTTCATTGTTTCTTGGTGCGAACGTCACTGGTTATAAAATAAACTTGTCAATCATAATTTGTGTGCTGAAACATTTAAAGCTAATCTTTATTGAAATAACTTTTTTGTAAGAATCTAGAAAGGCAAACTTATGTTCAAATGTCCCGCGTGGGAATGTTTTTTTCACTTGTGTATCTTGACAAGGTAGGGCCACAGTTTATAGGGAATCTCTTAAGAAACTCTTTACGGTGGCCAATTTACATTACCAACTCAGTTGATAAAACCAAATTATCAGGTTATACCCCCTACCGACCGAGCACCACAATTTCTTTTGAAACTTACCTCCTTTACCTTTGTCGATCCTGAGAGTTAATCGGTCTGAATATCACTTTCACTGACCATCTTTGTTCCTCTTTTCTTTTCTTTTTCTTTTTCTTTCCAGCACATCTCTTGTGAAACAATCGCCTCCAATTTAATTATCCATCTCAATTTTGAAAAAACTTACTCCTTCACAAAAACAACCCTACAATCTCTGTATTCCTAAGATTTACGACAAAAACACAGATTAACGGACCACTGAGAAGATACGAAACCGTAAGGTTTAACTGATATCGTCAGTGTTCCATACCATGTTACGTTAGACCCGAAAACTGTTTGAAAATGTTCGAAAGTAGTTGTTTGACAGCACAGGAAGTTAACCTACAGAAGAGGCGGTTTTTTTGGCTCATCAAGGCAAGTGGACATGCGAGCCCCTCTTTATTTCACTTGTTTGGAAAACGAAAAAAATTACCCCTGTTCTGCAGGAATTTATAGCTTGATCTGCCTCAGGGAAGAAGGCACAGAATCACTTGCGGGGAGGGGGGGGGGGCCGATCCAATCGATCCCTTTACTTCATCTTGCTTGGGGGGATACAAAAAGGGGGGTACTGGTCGATCGGTTTAAAAAGAAATTATCAGAGTCAAGGTTTAGGTGTTTTTATTAAGCCACCCTCAACAAGTTAAAACAAATAATAGGAGCACATACTTGATAGATTTAATTTTGGTAAGAAAAAGGCAAACGTCATTTGCTGACGTCAAAAATTTTCTTTATTGGCGAGACAAAGCAGGTGATTGATCAGCCGAGTCCACGACGTCACGCTTCAGGCATAAGACTGATATTGCATCGATATATTTTTGCCACTGTTGTGAAGGTACTTGTCACAAGACCTTTAGTAATATTTGAAGTCCATGATGCGGTTGTAAATCTAAAACTATCTAATATTTTCAATTGAACGACTCAAAGATTTGGTCGTAGAATTTCTATCAAGAGGAAAAAAGGCAATTTAATGTTACTGGTATTTCTATTTTTGCTTACATTTTCCAGAGGCAAAATAAATCTTTCACTCGAAACATAAATAAAAAAAATCCACACATTTTCCTTCGAGGCATCGTTTTGTTCGAAAAGATACCGACATGGACTGTGGAAAGACAAAATAATCATTTTCAACGGAGCATTGCTTTATTCAACTCCTACCACAGTATTGAAATTGGTTGTTCTATTTAAAGAGGACGTTCTCCTGGCTGAGCATCTCTTCGACTTCCCATACATTTTACCCAATTCTTAGGCTACAATTCGGGGTAAATCGTTTCCTCTTAAGACCAACATGGCTAAAAGTGACTCAGAGTCATTTCAAGATTTTCCTTTCTACATTCTGCTGCATGTAATTTCATTCACAATGAGCGATTACCGGTACATAAGGTAATTCAGTTGTCATGCGTTACTCATACAATTTGTATAAAAGTTTGTATGTTTCCCTGCCCCGTTAATATGTGGGCGAATGTCATCAGGTACACAACAAAGGCTAACTATAATAATGCAGTGCGACGTACAAAGGAACATCATGGTATTTTTACGTATAAATTGATTAACAACCATTTCTGTCACTCTATCCCTGTCACATTCAATGGTGATTTTCATAGTTACTACACAAGATCGAGAAATGACATTCGCAAATCTAGTGCCACAAGAAGATGGGGTCATTGGTCGTCAGTAAATTTTAGCGCCGATATATGAAACGGCTTAGACACTTCATTAAGGAATGCAGAGTCATTGCCTGCTTTTAAACGTGGCCTGTCAAAAGTTGTCTTTGATTCTTAACGACATTCTTTGCTTTTTACCCTTTGTATATTCTTTTTATCTTTTACATTCCTGTATTTTTAACTGGTTATATTTGATGCTTGATGATTGTATATACTCTTTTAAACTTTTACATTTTTGTATGTTTAACTGGTTCTTAATCTAAACTTAGTATTCTTCTGAGAACCCTTTTGTAAACCACTTCGTGACGTTGGCATCCTCATTAAAGATTACTACTACTACTTTGTAAGATAAAAATTTTTTAAAAATTTTTGTTTAATTACACGGTCTATTTTTCCACGAAATTTCTTTATAGAGTTAGTCTCTTACGGAAATTCATCATGTGGTTGGGCTTTTACGAACGTTCTGATGTTCGTTAAAACAAGTCTTCAATAACAAACCGTCTGTAGGGCTTACAGACCCATATCTAAACGGGCGGCTTCAATTCAGGTCTATCAAGCGTCAAGAGGAGACTAAAGTATTCAACTGTGCGAATTCTCGTAGATTTCGCCGTCTTTCTTCCCTAACCTTTCTTTCTTGAATCCCACATTGTAATAATTGGAAGTCACTTGAGTGTCCTGCAATGACTGGTACTCAGGAGGTTCACGTGACTTCCCTTCCGAAGGCCTGGGGTGGAGTTCCATATAAACACCAGGCTCTGACACTTGATGACCACCAGATGGGGCGGGGATACCACTGTTTACTGTGGTTGCTTTTTTATTAAGCTCAGTTCGTCTCAACCGCCATATTAGCGCACCAATCACAATGAGCAAGAAGAAAACAATGCAACAAAGAGCGATGACAGCAGCTCGAAAGACTTGGGATTCACCTGTTAGAAAATAGGAGGGATTTACATCAGATATGAAAATCTGTGTCTCCATGAAAATTGGAGAAAATAATGAAGGAATCAAGTGATAGCTTTGAGAGGATTCAAATGATTATTACGAGATTATTCCAACATGCTGTTTAATTATGGATTTATTGGCGCTGTTTAATCAAAAATTTAATACCAGCTTCTTGTGTCCCCACAATACTCACTGGTATCTCCCTTTATGGTTTCTTTAGTATATTTAAGTGACTCTGCAGATTGAAAGAAAATAATAGTTAAACATTAAAATTCATAGAAGAGCAAGCGAGAACAAAAAACCTGCCCTTAATCTAGATTGTGGCCTTTCTCATCATAGAGCTGAAAGCATCAAGGCGCTTTTGTTAATTACATCAATGGAAGTTGCACAAATTTTACATTTAAGTGAAAATAAAATAACAAAAAATCTACTAAAAAGGATGTTATTCTATGATAATTATGATAAGAATTGAAAGGTGACCAAATGTAAATGCAGACCGGAATAAGAATTATCTAGTAAACACAAAAACAACGGTGGTAGGTTAGTTTGCTTTTCGTAATCTGCAGTGGCCGAGGTTTTAAACCTAACTTATTCAGTTGAAGGGGAGAAATAAGGCCAGGCACAAACTTTTGAAACAGTGGCAGACTTCAACAAGGATCTGCCATTACTTGAGTTTAACTTTTTTCCAATTTGCCCGCGTAACTGTAACAATTGACTCTTGCCAAAAGGGAAGTTTCTCTCCAAGTCACAAAGCTCTCATGAAAGTTAACAGCCCACTAAACTGAAAAGATAGAGAAATTACTTTCAAGTCTCACGTGAGTGTTAACTCGCATACCTGGTGTGACAGATATCGAGGCCACTTTACTGGCATATCCTTCCAAAATTTGCTAAAAAGTGAACCAAACATGGTCAAAAAGTGACAAACACATCTTAAAATTCATTGATAGAAGGAAGTGAGATTTATCCCTAACAGCAAGTGTGACTGCACGTAAAAACATGCTTTGGTCCAAAATAATTTTCTTCATCAAGTGGATATTATGTTTAGATTATCAACTCTAAATTACAGAACAATTAAACAACACCCAAATTTACTTACACCATTCAAACGAGTTATTGCTCTTTGATAGGCAAAATAGTTTCCTCCTTTCCTCAGTTCTTTGTTGATAAAAGTTCCATACGATTTCCCGTCACCAACAGTAAATTTCCAAGATTTCTCATGCACAGGATCATTTTCGATTTCCGCAGCGATGTAAAACGGATGAAAGTTCAAATTTTCGTCGTTTAAATCTTTCAGCTTCAAATGAAAATCCTTGGGAAGCTCTTGAACACAATCAGAGACTTTAAGAATGATTATTTGATAAGCACTGAAATGTTGAAAACGAACAAAATTCTGGTCAACATCATTGCGGTCATCGCCGTATTGAAAGGTGGTGGTTGTTTGATGGTCTTTAATGACTTGAGTTAAGCACTTAGGAACTTTTGCGAAAGACTTTGCAACAAAGTCATGTGTTTGTGTTCAATATAGTAGCCAGTTGTGCGATCTGATCGTCTTGGGAAGAATAGTCCTAAACAGAAATGTTGTTGATTGCAGAACTGGCGTTTTGTTAACGTTACAGTCAACAAGGAGATTTTTACCCAGTCTTGTATTGCAACTTAAGTTCGAAAGACCTAATTAAGGCATTGTATCTTTCTCATATCATGGGCTATGTACACAAGATTAACATCATTATGTGCACAGTGAAAGCAAGAATTGTATCCTCCTCAGGTGAGTGTATCATTAATAGTTTATGCTTTTAGCTAATCTGTGACACAAACTATAAAACCATCACCTTATTGGACCATTCCTTTGTTCAGCAGGCCACAGATCAATTTCAGCCTGCAACTCAGCGACCTTCCTGGTGGTCAGTGATAGTACAACTGGAGCCAATGGCTCTGGGAATAAAATAAATATAATAATATGATTCGCAAAATATTTACATCAATTTCAAGATGCATATTCTCCATACTGATCCCATACATTCCTAATCAGAAGTAGGTGATCATTTCCTTTATTCTTGTGAACACATTGTGTGATTCAGGAGTGATATTGTAAGGAGAAATTAGATGTTAGTCACTCTTGGGGGTCAAACGGTTACCTGCATGTTATTGCTTACCCCCTATTTTTGTTTCTACTTCCAAAGATGAAGAGAATCCGTTGTTTCCACATTTTGAGATTCCATACACCCGAAGGTCATATTTGGTACCTGGTACCAAATTATCAAGGGTATATTTTGTTGTTCCCTGTACATCTTTGCTGCCTTCGTGTGAAAAGCTGTTGTTGTACGACTTTTTCCCAGAGTACGCAACCTTAACAATCAAACAATTGAGTCAAAGGCAGGTACAGTAAATACCACACCTGCACTAATTTATTTACAAATAAAATCTCCCACGTGGACGTGCATTTTCGTGATCACAGCACAAAACGAAAAACCCTAATTTTATGTATATACATATATCTGTGCATGTACATATAACTCCTCTCACTTATTGCAGTAACTATTACAGTAGCTGCTCTTAAATGGTAGTCATACTGATGGTACCAGTTCTCTAGTACACTTATGCATTATATTCATTACGACAGATGTCATTTCCGTCAGTGCTCCTTTAACCCTGTAACTCCCATGAATGATCAAGACAGAATTTTTCCTTACAATTTCAATACAATGTCAAGCATAGGAGTGATGAGAATAAAGTAAAATATTGATTAGGGGATTATTAGTTAATCCAATACCAATTTCTCCAAACTAACATCATAAGAATAGTATGGCAGACAGTAAAGAGAATTACTAATGAGATCTAGAGAGTTTAAGCGTTAAAAACACTCTAAGTTAGGAATTACAAAAATCACAAAAATAGTAGTTTCTGATTCTCAACTTAAAAGAGTTGTATTAAAAATTTGTCAAAATCCATGTTTTTACAGGAAAGTAGACTTAAAAATTAAGAATATCACCTTCCACTCTTCTCCCATAGCAGGTTGGGGTATTTCCCATTCCAGTGTCATCTCTGTTGACTGAGAGTCTGTTGCCCTCAGGTTGTTGGGTGCCCCTGGTACTTTGTCATATTAGTAAGTAAAATAATGTAAGTATCATAGCTTTTTTAGATTCCAGAGTAAGTTCCTTCTTTTGTGTATTCAGTAAATGCACTTTTATTAATTTCCTACTTTTTCTGTACTTTTTTTATTTGTACAAATAGTCCATGTTGTAATAAGAATAAATTAAATAATGTGATTATGAGTTAAAATGTACAGCTATTTATGATGAAAAATTTATGGGAAACATTGCAACTTGTTTCCCTAGGTACACTAGGGGGTGCATTTTGAATATCACCCCTATTCAATTAATCAATTTCCTGGTTATTAGCCGAATTAAGCTACAACCAAAGATAGCCAAAATGCCTTGCTTTTCTTACTCTTACTGGTGATTTTGAATCAGACTAAACATCAAGCTTCTATACACTCTAAATTAATGACTTTGAAGCAAAATTTTGCATGCTCTACATTTAATTTGTGGGGAAAAAAATGAAACTTACTCAATTCCAGAGGTAAGGGTTGACCATATGGTCCAGGGCCAGCTTTAGTGTATGCTCGGACATACACATTGTAACAAGGCTGAATATCATACAGGATAACAAATGCTTTTGTTGTGTTAACAGTTTTGCTGTTGGCTGGAGATCTCTTTTGTCGACTTCCAGACGACACCAATGATATCTTGACCTCATATGAGATAACTTTGCTATAACTCCCTTTTCTTGTCAGGGGTGACCATGAAATATTGAAGGTTGTTTGGTTCAGTCTACTGAAAGACACATCATTTGGTGCTACACTGGGTTCTGACAAAAGGGAATAAAAAAATATACCAATTCAGATAAATGGTCAGCTGTCTGTCATTGAACGAAAAAATTTAATAAATAATTATTTCTGAATCACATTGGATCAAAAATTTATCCTCAAAGTTTATCTAAATTGTATTTCAGTAATTCTTCCCTCTTTTCCCCTTCATCACATTTTTATTTTTTTTTTAGGTATGTAGTCATTCATGTTGAATACAATCATGTTTACCAGTCCTTCAATACTACATGTATCTTGGAAAGAACTTGGAGTTGATAAGGAGAGTCCTTCCTGTACCACTCCTGTAATGCAGCTGTTCTCTATTTGTCTACCTTGATATAACTTACCATCTACACTGATCAGATAACATTAAAGTTGAAAGTGAATTTAATAGGCAATTTTCAATGTAATAAAATTCAAACTTGGCACCGAGGGTGAGGGGAATAAAACAAAAAAAATCACATGGAGGTTGTGAGATGAATAATTAGTTTTTTTAGTTTTATTCCCCTTAGCAACAGAGCTATGTTAGAATTTTAGCATATCAAAACTGGCCTATTGATCATAATCTTTTCTAATTTACACCTACCATAATCATTAATAGTAACAGACAAGGTTGCATTTGGTCCAGGTTTGATCGTTGCAGCTCTGACGTCGAACTGATAGGTGGCCCCACCTAACACATCTACTGTGTAACTTAACATGTTTCCTCCTAAGGTTTCAGTGTTAATGTTATGAGGATCTTCATCATGACTATAAAACACAGTGTAACTCCTGATAATTCCATTTTCTTCTGCTGGCTTATGCCAGGTGAGCTTTAACTTTGGACCAACTTGTTTATCTGGTTTTATCTCAGAGTGAGAAAGAGTTGAAGGAATACTTGGTGCTAAAGTAGTAAAGAAATGGAAGATGAAGGTTATTATTTAAACTGTACTGAAATAAACTTGATCTTTCAGAGAAAAAATGTACAAATTAGATGATGCACTTTTACCTGTTCACTTAAAATGCAGAGGGCAGTTAACTCTTAATAATTATAATAGCTTAACTCTGACAATATCATGCACAATATCAATACAATAAACCTGGCAAGATGTACACATGAAGTATGTTCCAGTCTCATGACAAAAAGCTAAGTGTTTTTTTGGAAAAAATGTTTCTTACAACCTACACTATTTAGTTTTAGCCTTCTTACCATCTTCCAGTGTCTGCCCAACCATTACAGGACTTTTTGGTCCCTCACCATGAGATCCCATGGCCAACACTTGAAATTCATATTTGGTATACTTGTTAAGATTAGCAAAATCTTTAGTTAAAATTCCTGTTCCAATAACAGACTCCACGACTGAATTGTTTGCTGAACCCTTCTGTCTGTAAAACACCTTATAACCTGTTATTGTTCCATGTCTGGCATATTCTGGCAGTGATGTCCATGATGCTCTTATACTAGTAGATGACGTAGCAGTCACAGTGAAGTTGCCTGGAGCTTGTGATGGAACTGGAGTGTTGAATAAAATGATTATATGGTATTTTAATTATACAGTTTCACAATGTTCATGTGCCTATAAAGGAACTGAATTGATTAACAAAGATGAAAGTTGTTAATAATGATGAAGAGTTATTTCTGTAGTATCACAGTGGTTGTGTCCTCCCTAAAAGTTTGCAAGTCAGAATTTCAAGCTCTTTCGAGTCTGACACGAAGTGAACCTCAGTGACTATATGAATCCCTGATGGATTAAATGAGTGCCATTAAAGATGTGACTAAATGCTAATCTGAATTCCTTAAATTAAGGAATAACTTATAAATTTGATTATATACACAGAACATATACATATATCACTCAAATATACACCAGTTATGCAATGCTGAGTGGTATACCATGGAATATCCCACAAGTCACTTGTTTTTTGTCATTACCTGAACATTAATGTTGAGGGAAGAATGGCTTAAACAGTACTCGAAATACACTAGAAATGGTATCAAATGCTTGGTTTTGGCAGGAATAAGATCACAGCACACAATAAGAGGAGTGGGTGCAATACCATCAAATATACATTGAATTCCTGAATTCCATCTGATTGGCTATATTTTCTACAGCATGATATCAGTAGGCTATGTGATTATATACAACATTTTTAAGTAAGGTAAGTCATCCACCTTTTGCAACACTTGTAGGATTTCAATGATATGGCACAGAGAAAATAGAATTAGTACCTGTAGATAAGAGAACTCCATAAACTTCCACTCTCAATGCCTTATAATCATGATACTCTATTGGCACAAAACGGATGAACCTTGCCAAAGCATACTCCCTCAGACCATGTTTTACTATGTCATTTCTCCCAGAGTTTCCACTGAAGACCTAAAATATCAAAAGATTACACAAAACTAATAAATGATGCTGTTTGCAAAAGCAAGCCAACAATAATAGACACTGACAAGTTTATTCACTTCACATGAAAATTTGAACTTTTTGTGCACCAGTGACAACAGTTTTCCTTGGCTTTGAATTATCAACAAGCCTACATCCAACCAATAAAAATTGTAGCTAACACCATCACAGAAACACTGATGAAAGAGGATAATCTACAGCTGTAATTCTAACAGAAACAGTTTTAAATCATTTGATCAAGCGAAATGAGTCACTTCATATCAAACTGTAAGCCATATCAACATTCCATGTTAGTAGGTTATCATATACTGGTCTACATTACGCCCTCAAAAATAAGCATTTTAAAGCCTGAGAGACCTGACCTATGAAGCTCATTTCAGTTCTTTCATTCATTTCCACCAACACTTAACCTGGTAATAAAACTGATTCAAATTTACACATACCAAAATGCTCTTACATAATTATCCATTCTTCTGTTTTACATAAAATTAGGCACAACTAAGTGTATTTCTATGTAACTACAAGAAAAAAATATATGAAAAAATTCAACCAAGTTAAGCATGATATTTCAATTAGATCAAACTGACCTTCTCAGCGTTGTTTTCTCTATAAATGTAAAAGGTGGTATCATTTAATGATAACTGAATCTTGTACTTTGTTACCCAATGATCAGCACCAACAGCTCCTTGGGTAGCTACAGCACAGATGACATAATCATAGAGCAGGTCAATTTGAAGGTAATCAGCAGGATTGGTGTTAGTCATTGCTAACCAACCCCAGCTATTTAGATTCAGACGACCAACCCAAGGTTGGCGGGCATTACTAAAAGATGATGAGGCTGAGAAGCTGTCATCTGGAATTGCATCACTGCTGGTCACACCAATGGCCTGACTGTGACATGCTGTTTAAAGACAATCATAATTACCATAAACAGTGGTTTCAACCCAGAGAATCAGTATTGGTATATCATACATGTACAGTAACAATCACAAGTGTACTGCAACATATAAACATGCCTCAACTATTTTACCAGTGATTTGAGGTATTTGTGTAAAGACCTGTTGTTGTTGTTGAGTGCAAACTCAAGGCTCAAAAAATGAAAAATGAAAAATAAATTAGCTTTATCACCTTTTAGCCTCTAATTGAAGATAAAAACACCAATTGATTTACAGGTTAATAATAAAAGTTTTAAGGTGGGCCACATTTTTAATTTTTAACATTTATGTTTAAATAGGTCATGACATACATTTATACATGTACATGTATGTATATTGACTGTTAAACCAAACTTAATCATACTTATCTGCTACACACAACTTTACATTTATTTAACAATGTTGAAGTACCTACATGTCTACATACAGAAATTAAACGCCAAATTTTCCTGAGAATGCAGATTGGAACCTCAGCTGAATAAAGTGGCAGTTAAGAGTAGTTCTTCAAAATATCCAGATATGCCATACCTCTTTGTTCTGAATACACTTCAACTTCACAAAGATTGAATCCTGATAGACCTGGCCTAACATCCCTGATGGTGACATATCTTCCTTTCAAACTAGGATGGCAGAAGAATGACAAACCTTCTCCTGGACGAAGGTTATGAGTAACTGCCCTACCACATTTGGGACTAGTCATACTAGTATCATTAATACTTGATACTGTGCCTGAAAGAATACCGTAATAATAAATCACTGTCAAAAAGTACAAACAACTTAAAAGAGATGACTGTAAAATAAGACATATACTGATCAAACAGAGATATCCACTTTCAAAACAAGCAAGATTTACCTCCCTAGTGAGCCTTTACCTTAATAAAAGCTGCCCTTTTTCTAGTGTGTAGGCTAGACTGACTCAAAAGTTATGCATAGCAAGGGCATGATGCTCAGTAATACAAGCCAATTACCAGAAACAGTTACTGCTATTAGTATTATTATTTGCAATAAGCTAGTCCCTGCCAATACTTGTGATTGTCTGGCAGTTATTTTACACATCATCAAGACAGAGCTCACACTAAAAATTTCAATGTAGCCCCTTAACTATCAAAACTGCTCCTGTTCCTTCAAATTATGAAGATTCTTCCCTTCTGTCATTTGGCAGCAGCCATGATTTTAGCCAATGAGCATAATCATGCATCCAACTTGAAAAGAGAGTAAAAAGAGCACAGCCAGCCAACCCACTCAGCAAAATGGCAATGTTTTCCAGTTGCCTGAAGCTAAAACTCAGTTCCTTTTGGTAAACAGGAACCAGCAGAGCACAACCGTGTAAGGGTATCTATGTGTACAACTGTCAAATCAAAATACCAATATCTAAACCTAACAGCAATTATATGATGCATGTTCATACAGAAATAGCTCTGGCTGAGGGTTGACAAGAATGTGGAAACCACAGCAGCGTTGGCAAAACCAGGACCAGATCAGATTGGATCATGGATCAGAAAAAAGAGTTTTGAAAAATTAATAATAAACAAAATATAAGAGTTGATAATGTAAATAAATTGGTCCCCGTTTAGATTTTAAAAGATGACATTTTGAGTGTTAACCCTTTGTCAGAGTGAATGACAAAGGAATGATTCTCTCTGACAAAGGGCTAACACTTGAAACATCAGCTTCTGAAATCTTAACAGAGGCCAATTTACTTTATCAACTCATTAATAAAACCAAATTACCTCAAAGTAAAAGTCTGAGTGACATAATGGAGCATATGTAGGCCCCACTGGAAGCTTTTTTGCCCCAAAACTCCATGTAGTCACTTTCACAACTGTGTCAAGGAGTTTTGTGTAGTGCCACCATGGACAAAGGCAAGCAAGAGGTATGAATCATTTCAACAGTCCATTATTACTGTATTTATATGTGTATGAGTTGACTCCCCATTTGCAAGGGCAAAAATCAGATTTTTCATCTTTTCTACTCAAAGAAGTAACATTCAAACGGATAGAAATTTCCCAATCTATTATTTCTGAGAATGTATTGAAAACACAGGGAATTAAAAAAACTGCAGAGCAAAATGTCATCATGTGCTGCAAAGTTTATTAGCACTTGTTTATATCACCATGACCAAAGCATAAACGAGCACTTTAGTTTCCTGGAGAAGTATTTTACCATATTTTGTAAATCATATTGAAAATGAAATCTTCTTGCATTCAACTAACTTTTTTTAATATCATCTCACATTCAATATTACTAACCACACACAAGAGAAGAGGCTTGGTGAGGAGTAAGAATGGTTTAAATATGACAGCTGAAATGCATGAGTGCAATTTATGTAAAGCAATTTTTTATGTCACACAGATTTCATTTTGGCTTGTCATGCAACATTTCTAATTTAAATTAACATGTTTTAGTTTTTCAATCTTATTTTTATTTCTTATTTCAAAAACAGTTATATATATATATATATATACATAAGTTAAAAAATTAAAGAGGTTGCATTGATTCATACAGAGAATTGATGCGTCCTCTTTAGTTCTTTAACATATGTATACTTAGCTCTGCTGCCACAGCATTGAGCACTTTAGAAAGAGATAGACCAAGATAGACTCTACCCCCACATTTATATATATATATATATATATATTTTTTTTTTTTTTTTGTCTAATTTTTTGAAAACTTTTTTGTTTGGTCTATGATGCAACCCATGATCTGATCCCTGATCATGACCATGATCCAACCTGGTCCAATCCAGCTTTTGTCGAAGCTGGAAACCATAGCACACCATTTTCCCCTCTTTTCTTGAGGACATTAAGCTAAGAGTGCATTGACCACTTCAAAAATAACCATTACTGCAAGTGTATTAACCTACCAACTCTGATCTCAAATTTCCTCAGACGATCTCTATCAAGTAAACTAACTACATACACTTCAGTCACAAACTCATCTTGTCCTAGATCCACTCTCCACCATGGAAATGGATCGTCTTGCACAAATGAACATGATTCACCTGCAAAGTTCATATTGCTATTTCCATCAACTGCTCTATCACTTGTGCCGCCTGCTAATGTCCTTATGTGCTGATATGTTGGTTTTTGAAATGCCAGATTTTCTAGGAGAAAATGTACACACCATGATGACTTCAACATGGACAAAGTGTGTAATTCTGCAAACCCCACTTGAGTGGGGTTCGTGCATATGTATGAGCACTGTTACCCAGTAACATGTGATGTATTTTACGTCATGTTCCACTGGGAGTCTTAGATGGAAGCTGTGTAATAAAACCTTTTTGGATGCAGTCTGAGAAACTAGGATAGATCGAAAAATTCAAAGTGAACTATGTCTGGTGTTTTGAATGTAATTTGGAAAGCTTTGTTTGCTAAGTGGATAAAGATAAAGATAAAGCAGATGTAGTTTAGAAAATGGTTTTGATCTTTGAAAGTCATAAAGATTTCGTCCATGAAAGATTATGCGAATTCATGCCTAAAATTGAGGAGAACTGTAATTTGAGCTTTTTGTTTACATAATTTTGGGTGATATTTAAAAGTAAAAGTCAGTTTTCTTAGAGCAAAGACATTGTTCACTGAAGGGAAAGGTTTCTTCCCTTGCTTTTCTGATCAGGCAATGTTCAATCCCTGATCTCTCGTGGATCACAGACACAGCCATTCCATTCTGCATTCCAGCCATCAAAGGAAATGATCACGTAAACATTGTCTACTTCTTCAACAGTGCACGCACACCAAACTCTTTCTTTATTGACTGCTTCAGCTTTGAAGCCCACAGTTTGTGGAAGTGCCATCATGTTTTTATTTAACCATGCGTTTAGCTCATGTGATCAAGACAGGTGTGTGATCGATAAAGCCGGTCAACTTGTTTTGCTGAATCTGCAATCGGTCGCTAGGATACTTGGTGGTGTCCAGTGTCCCTAGGTAATTCTAGCACCTCATTGCACATGTGTCAATTAAAACCGGAATCCTTAATGAATTACACGCTTTGTCCATGTTGAAGTCGTATTGACAAAAAAAAGAAAAGTTTCCCTGGACGAAGGTGATCGCTGTCCACATACTGATCATAGAATGACAGTTGCATTGAGTTGTACTGAATATGTTTGTTACACTGTACATTATATAGAAAAATTAAAACAAAGGGTATTTTTAAAAAACTGGTAGATGGTAGATATTACATTTTGGGCAGCCTACAGATGTACCAGCCTTTGCCAAAAAGCTGGAAAGCAAAGGACACCAAACTGCAATAACTTTGATATAAGAAAAAAAAAATAATGTACAGGTGTATGTGTAAATTTTGAAATTGAAAATATATCTCCATTGTAATTATAGCATTTTACTCCATTCTTAAGCTACAGTGTACTACTATATAAATTCTACTGGTCATCCCTAACTGGTAAATTAATAGAGAGACATACTTATATTGCTTGATTGATTGATTGATTGATTGAAGACTTAAAATTGCTGACATACTGGAAGACAAATTGTACTATTCTTAGACACTTATTAAGGCAACAGACCAAAGGTAAATTTTAAGACCTAAATATCAAGGAAAAGTGTTCTAATATATATATATTCAAATAGCAAATAAACCTATATTTAAATTACTTATCAAAAGACAATTCTTACAAGCATGACTATAAAATAATTCCCAACAAAACTTTTCTAAGATCTTTATGGTTAAAGGGTTTCTGTGAGATTAAACAAGAGTATCGATTTATCCACTCAGCAAGAACATATTCCAGGGGCACTTGATTTATCAATATCATCATAAAATCAGGTGTACTTTTCAAGGCTTTTGTGCTACTTAAAATTCAATATGACTTTTGGCTGTAGTAATTATCATAATGGTAAATACAGTTTGTACATTAAACATGCAAACATAAGTATACTCAACCTAAATTAATGTGTATATAAAAAAGTCTTGGATGAGTCAATTTTTAAAAGAGGAAAAGTGACTTCACTTCTACATTAAGTTTAGTATAAAGAGTAAGTGAAAAGTTACCTCGTGAATAGACTTCTACCTCACACAGCTGAAGACTTTGTATCTTTGTGGTTAAAATCCCTACATATCTACCAGTTTTCAGTGGTTTGGTAAAACAAACAGCTGATACAGTGAAGTTATGAAAATCATAGAGTCCTCCACAGGGGGTGTTGCCTACAACATTAGGAGAGCTACCTGCAGATTATGAGGCACTGAAAGTCAGAATTACTAGACAGTAGAGTTTGGTTCCATGTGGCAACCATGATCAATTTGTAATAGATTCTTTAACAAAGTAAACATCCTGGAAATGTTATTTGGCATATTAAAAAGAAATTAAAACTACCAAAACAAGGATTTAATCACATTAATTTTGTACATGCCATAATAGCCTTAACAGAGTGGCCAGGTAAAAAAGTTATTACTGAAGGTAAACTTAGTGTCCCATGTGAAGGTACAGTGTAGACAAATGATGACACTTGAGTATCCTGCTTCTAGTACTCTGGTCCCATTTACATGTACTAACTGAACTCTACAAGAAACCACAGGTAAGATCCTTGCTAGAAAATCTTAAACTGAGGCCCTGTATTGACTGAGCAATGACAAGTAAAAAACATCTAGGTTGATTAATAACAAGGTCAAAACAGCTTAGCTGAGGTTTCAAAAATTCCTGTAACATCCAAACTGGCCTGTTGTTTAGCAGTTGATTATAACGTGATGTATGCATGGTTGACCTTACATTTGATCAAAGGATAACAAAACTCACCAAATGTTATTTTGTAGTCTTCAGTAACCACATGCTGTGAGAACCTGTTGACTATATGAACTTCAGAGACATCAACATGGTCTGAACCCAGGTCCACTCTCCACCAACTGGGGTTATTATTCTGAGTATGTGAACAGCTCCCTTTTAAAAAGTTAGTGTCAGGATTTCCATCCACTGCATTTCCAGACACACCATAAACATTGTCAGCAGTAATGTTGAATGTTGAAGACTGAGTTGTAGCCTTCCCTAGGGCAAGGTTCTCTGTGAACAGATATTGAAGAAAATCTTACCACATGGGCCAGGAAAAACTTACTATTGCAACAGAGTGGTTCCACTCAAGATATTATAAAACAAAAGAAAAAGAGTTATGCAGTTTTTTTTTCCCAAATTCCTCGCTTTCCTTCCATTCCTTTTTTTTTATTATGTGTAGTTGTACTGTACCAACACTTCTCTGAACCAAATAGTGTCATCTAGGAGATATTTGTGCCAATTAGTTTCATGTTATAGTTCAACCCTGCAATAGCTTATGAATTACCCATTTCAGATTAAAGCTATTTCTATCACTTCCTCACTTCTGTTATAAAATGACTACCTTTTGCCTAGTTATTCAGTTGATTTAACAATTGCAACATACTACAATTTGTCAAGCCTTTGTTTGTCTATATTTCACTTAGCACTGACAAAACCTTCCACAAAGATAATCTCAAAGAAACTTAGTTTTGAACAATGGACTTGCTAAGCAAGCAAATCTTTTCTAAAAGTATCAAAGAATACCAGAATATAAAATCTACATATATAAATGGGTTATTGACCAAGTGTGAGGTCAAGATGGCTGTATACCAACCAAGTTCTTTTTTTCCATAATTTTGTTGACAGAGACAAAGTCAAGGTCCACAAAAATAGAAAAAGTAACCAAGTCAATAACCAGCCATCTTACCTAAACAAGTTTGGTCAATAAGGGATTTATTATATAGCTAAACATTTTGCTTTCATAAGAATCAAGAATAACTTGTTAATTTCAAGAGCCAGGGAAGGAAGCTAACCGTGTTTGTAGCATAATAAACCCAAAAATGTTGCTTGTTTTTTCTGCTTTGACTATGTTCTGCCTCTTTTTGCAACTTTATCACATTATGCAAAAGTTACTAACTTTGTAAGTCCACTTTTTCTTACACAGGATCAAAGAGGGCAATCTTGAGCAAGCAAGATGAGCTCAGATAGCCAATCAGAACACAGGATTTGCTTCATATTGCCCACATGCACTGCCAGCAATATGATAAATGTATATATTGAACCTCCTTTGGTTATGTAATATTATCATGCCTGACATATACCTGGCTTTTGTTTCACTCCAAACACTTCTGTTCTCAGACACACCAAACCCTTGTAAGTTTGTGGCAGGAAACGCACATATCTTGTCAGCAGTCCATAAACAACATGCTTCACCACAGAGTTTCTGTCACCATTTCCCATGAAGACCTAAGATTTTAAAAAAAGTTATAACATTAAATAATATTACAGATACATGATGAAAATTACTGTAGGCTTCAAGTAAATTGGTGACTTAAGGTTAAAAAAAATGAGATTATGTTAGAACAAAAAATACTGATTTGTAAGCACAATGTCCATGTATTTGTTATTACATGAAATACATGTAAACAAGTTGTATTTTTGTACTCAAATTCTTATTACTCAGAAAAACATTGCACCTTAACTTGTCCAGCTTCCTTGTAGTCTGTCCAAGTTGTCCCATTTATGGATAATTGTAGAGTGTAGGTCTTCACCCACTGATCTGCTTGAGAATTTCCTTGAGTAGAGACAGCACAGATGATATGAAGAGTCTGTAGATCAATCTGTAGATATGGGTTAGTGTCACTCGTTCCTGCACACCATGATGATCCTGATGTGTAATTCAGTCTACCATTCTTGGCTGGTGTGTTGGCATTTTGTACCGAAGAAGCGGTTATGTTATCATCTGAAATTCTCTCATTTTCCAAACCAAGATCCAAATCGATACATACCCCTATTAGAAAGTTAACAGATAAAACAGAAAAATTATAACCAAACTAAGTAAAGCTCAATGAATAGTCGCGGGTATATTTCGTTTTGAGTTTTTGATTGCAAGAAAATTCATTTGCTTCATTGCTCCTGCCTAGATATACATTTCTAACAAGGTTCTGACTCTTTTAATTTGTGCTTTATACGGACATGAAAATTTAGATATCCCCAGAAATTGAGGTCATTTGCTTCACAGACACAAAAACAATAACTACATCGTACGACATTTCTACCATCGATACTATTTCTTCAGGATATGTTCAGCCCGAAAAATAACTAGTTATTTACCTGGATACCTAGGAGTTTTATGATCGTTTTAGTTATAGAACACACGTTACGGTAGTAACTTGGTCTAAAAGTGAGATTACTGTCCTCCATGTTGACTGTGGCATGCTTAGTAACCATGCCACGACCTTGGGTTTTGGCGGGAAAATAACCCAGCGTGCAAAGTTAGTCACGTGATCATTAAATAGGTAGCCATATGGTTTTGTGAGTAATTTGTAATCGTACTACCAGGATATTTTTCAAAGGCTAACAAAGGTAAACTCCGTAGTGCAGGTGCAGTTTGTAGTCATTTATTCCCAAATTCCATAGGCTAAATCCTGTTTTCATTTGTTCATCGTGAACCGTAAAAGGAGTGTAAATGATCCCAGTTTATAGTAGTGGCATTGCGACCTCACCAAGGGATTCCGGGGCCGTAGGATTGTGTGTAAAAGCGGATTAATTTTTTACCACGGCTAGGTGGGTTACCTTAATTACCTGAGATCACCCAATTTCATGTAAACAGAACCTTAGTGTTACGACTACCATCTGGTCTCAGGAATTGTTCTAGTAACACTCTGTCGTTTAACCGATCGTTAATAAAACTCCATAGAGCAGATTTAACATGATAAATTTAACGATGACATCATCAATTGGACCAACGATTGATGGAGTGTGTCCAATTATTTACTGACACTAGTACACTTTCAGATCATTTGCAATTGAACACATTTCAAAATTTCACTTTACATCGCAAATTCTCCTTATGCCTTCAGAACATCTATAGAGATACTTTTTGTGATCCTCTTTGCAACACGTCACTTAAACCCGAAACCCTTTTTCTTGGTCTGGTCTTAAAGGTTGTTTCAGAGCTATACCTTGACTCGGGATTTTCATGAAAGGTCTCTGCTAATCTCAGTTTTTCGGCGTTGAAGAAAATTCTATGAGTTAAGACGAATGAAATGTCTATTAACACATTATGATTGGTTATTTAGTAGTTGTTTCGTGCCGAGTTTCATGAATATACACCGAATACTTAAGAGGCGATCTCTGTGAGAGCGGTCCAAAGTATTTCGCATCGGAAAAAAAGTTTTCCCTCAAACTTTGCCCGATAAACTATCTTTGGTAGCAAGTAAATAAAACCACATTAGTTTCTGGAAATACCGCGGTTAAAATAAAATTTTTAGAGCTCTCAAAAGTCAAAGCTGCTAAAGGCCCTTTTTTTTGACCTCTTGCGACACATCGAAAATTTCAAAAGTTGAATACCCTGGTCCTCGTATCACACCGCATGCAGCAAAAAATCTCTTGTATTTTTAAACTGTGTGATATGTTAGGTGAATAAAAAGTATTTCAATTTTGATATTTGTTTATTCAGGGGTTCGTCATAATTTATTTAAAAACACTCGTTAGACAGCTTTCTGAACTTGGTCAAAAGTACTCTTTCCTTCTTGGTTGATATTGCTCAAGTCCAGACCAGACCATTGAAAACTCCGCTTAATTTCTTCTAATAAGATGTTTGGCTGCAGAAAAATATAAAAACATCTTGCACTTATTCATTTTGTTCGCCGCGGTGACTTCAAACTTTCAGCGATTTTGCTAGGGTGACAGCCGATTATGCAAATTAGTTCATAGAACAAACTCCGACCGTTTTGTATAAGTAGCTCAATAAATCTTAGATTTTAACCATTTTAAGTTGAAAAGATAGTAGGACAGAGCTTTTAGACTACACTGATTGATACTCTAAACATTTCAAAAGGCCAGAATTTGACAAATTTTACCCTCTCGTGACGAAAGACGTCAACAACAATCATCGAATATCATAATTTGATTAGCGCTCGTTTAACATTTTAAAGGCAAACTCTTTCTTAAAAATTTGGCTTCTGCTACTTCATGCATATTTGAGTTCTGACAGGTTACGCTATTCAAAACCTGTATGAACATTTCAGAACCAAACTACAGGATTCTATTTAGTGTAACCGGCGATAACAGCACACATTGAAATACACCTTGACCAGTGACTCTGTCACGTAATTCTATCGTATAATTGTCCTGAATACCTCTCAAATCCAAGTAAAGCAGCGATTGCTCGAATTTCTAGCTGACAGGAACAAATGATATTTGGTCGCCACACCTGTCTGCATAGCAGTCGCTGTTCATAACTTTGGAGAGTTCTTGTGAAAAAGGATATCGCATTCGCATAACGGGTGGACGTCATAATTAGACTGCATTACAACTCCATTCCGAAATCATTTCCTCCATTTTTGCCTCCAAGATAGTTTATTGGGCAAAGTTTAAGGACTGTGTAATTTGATGACTGTGTAATTAGGGAACCGTCATATTTTAATCGATAACGAAGCGAGCTAGTTCTGTTTCGAAAAAAAAAGTTCAGATCTCTCTCAAGCTACCGCTTCATAAACATCGTGAAGCCAAGTAGAGAAGATCATGCTCTTACGTAACTAAGAAAAGACGAGCGACGAGGTTAGTCGGTGAGACGCTCTTACCCCTTACCAGGAAGTAAATCATACTCTGCCAGATAGATTTGAAAATCGCAACTACAATTCTCCCAAACTCATTCTCTCAAAATAAAATAACTTGTCAGATGTTTCAGCTTTAAAGAAGATGTTTGAATTCACATGGGATTTTTCGGTCGGACTCGACAGTTTGTCAATTGACGGCAATGAAATGGAATTTAATTATGTCATATCTATGGAGTCCCTGCCGAAAAACAATCTGTGATTTCGTTGAGGTATTAACTCATATGCCCAGATTACAAATGATAGAGAACTCACCGGATCCCAGAGGAATAAGAAAAGCGAAGAAAGCCACTCGAAAGTACAGCCCGGAATCAAACTCCGACATTTCGCCGCTATTGTTACTTCATAACTCACTCAGAAACTGAAACGTTGCAGACACCTGATGTTTCAGTTCAATAACCTTTTGAATCTTAAAAAGCTCATTCTCTCCGTTGAAGCGTATCTGCCAAAATACAACTAAACCCATTATGGTATGTATTCCCGGAGTTTCAGCAGTGTGAAAAGACGACGCGTCGACGGTACGGGTTCACTGTGGGAAAACTCTTTACGGTGGCCAATTTACATTACCAACTCAGTTGATAAAACCAAATTATCAGGTTATACCCCCTACCAACCTAACACCACAATTTCTTTTGAAGCTTACCTCCTTTACCTTTGTCGATCCTGAGAGTTAATCGGTCTGAATATCACTTTCACTGACCATCTTTGTTCCTCTTTTCTTTTCTTTTTCTTTCCAGCACATCTCTTGTGAAACAATCGCTTCCAATTTAATTATCCATCTCAATTTTGAAAAAACTTACTCCTTTACAAAAACAACCCTACAATCTCTGTATTCCTAAGATTTACAACAAAAACACAGATTAACGGACCACTGAGAAGATACGAAACCGTAAGGTTTAACTGATATCGTCAGTGTTCCATACCATGTTACGTTAGACCCGAAAACTGTTTGAAAATGTTCGAAAGTAGTTGTTTGACAACACAGGAAGTTAACCTGCAGAAGAGGCGGTTTTTTTGGCTCATCAAGGCAAGTGGAGACGCGAGCCCCTCTTTATTTCACTTGTTTGGAAAACGAAAAAAATTACCCCTGTTCTGCAGGAATTTATAGCTTGATCTGCCTCAGGGAAGAAGGCACAGACACTTGCGGGGAGGGGGGGGGGCGATCCAATCGATCCCTTTACTTCATCTTGCTTGGGGTGATACAAAAAGGGGGGCACTGGTCGATCGGTTTAAAAAGAAATGATCAGAGTCAAGGTTTAGGTGTTTTTATTAAGCCACCTTAACCAAGTTAAAACAAATAATAGGAGCACATACTTGATAGATTTAATTTTGGTAAGAAAAAGGCAAACGTCATTTGCTGACGTCAAAAATCTTCTTTTATTGGCGAGACAAAGCAGGTGATTGATCAGCCGAGTCCACGACGTCACGCTTCAGGCATAAGACTGATATTGTATCGATATATTTTTGCGACTGTTGTGAAGGTACTTGTCACAAGACCTTTAGTAATATTTGAAGTCCATGATGCGGTTGTAAATCTAAAACTATCTAATATTTTCAATTGAACGACTCAAGGATTTGGTCGTAGAATTTCTATCAAGAGGAAAAAAAGGCGATTTAATGTTACTGGTATTTCTATTTTTTTCTTACATTTTCCAGAGGCAAAATAAATCTTTCACTCGAAACATAAATAAAAAAAAAAAAATCCACATTTTCCTTCGAGGCATCGTTTGGTTCGAAAAGATACCGACATGGACTGTGGAAAGACAAAATAATCATTTTCAACGGTGCATTGCTTTATTCAACTCCTACCACAGTATTGAAATTGGTTGTTCTATTTAAAGAGCACTTTCTCCTGGCTGAGCATCTCTTCGACTTCCCATACATTTTACCCAATTTTTAGGCCACAATTCGGGGTAAATCGTTTCCTCTTAAGAGCAACATGGCTAAAAGTGACTCAGAGTTATTTCAAAATTTTCCTTTCTACATTCTACTGCATGTAATTTCATTCATAATGAGCGATTACCAGTACATCAGGTAATTCAGTTGTCATGCGTTACTCCTACAGTTTGTATAAGGAGGAGGGCCATTATGAAAACTACTGGGTGACCAGTAATCAATGTCTTTACCCTCGTTAAATAAAGTTATTATTATTATTATTATCATTATTATTATTATTATTATTATGTATAAAGGTTTGTGTGTTTCTGTGCCCC